CACCAGAGACAGATGGAAAAATCAGGCGGATTAATAGGATCTTTAAAATAATCAGCAGCACATCAGCATCAACCCTCCCCAAGTCGTGGTACGTGGCACGGTAATCATCATCTTTATCATAACCAATAAGTATTTGTCTTTTATCAGTGATTAAGAATCTGTCGAAAACATGTAACTAGCTTTGTTTAGCTTTTAAAATTGTAATGTGTATAGAGTAATGGAATCATTGATGACTTTTTATACCAAAATATTCATTGTGTATTCTTTCTATTTTGCTCGTTACAGATGGCTGGACACATATTCAGAGGGCCGATATGAAAAAGCCGTTTCGGTCGACCACTCCAGGAAACTACAGGCTGACTGAGATTACACTGATGTAAATAAGAAAAGAAAAGACAAGGACTAAAAAGACATTAATGCTTGAGATTTTGAAAGAGAAAATTCTGTTCATTTACTTTCTAGGCTTGAAAAAAAAAACAGATTATCGTTACATAATTCATCAACTTGAGCCTTTACATTGAGCCATTCAAGACAAACGCTCTGCTTCAACACCTCCACGAGATTTAAAGCCTCACTGCCAGTGCTGATGATAAATCCTTTTAGCGCACTCAGAGACACACACACATTCCCTTGAATATTCACGAGTGACTTCCCTGACTACAAAGGACACAAATTCTGACTGCATGAGCTCTCTGGAGTTCAGCTCTGATGAGCAACTCTCCAGGTGTCTGTCAACATGCCAAACTTCAACTGCAAGGCCAGAAATTACACAGGTTCTCTGAGTAACTCACAAACCTGCAGGCTGATCAAGACATACATTTACACACAGCACTACTGTGTTTCCACAACATCGCTTGAGATTTATCTAGCAAACTGGGATGATGAAGTCCCAGCTGATGCAGGAACACACAGGGCCTCAGCGGCAGATGCTCCGCCGGGAGACTTTAGGATGATATGTTTAGACAGGCAGGTGAGAGGTCGCACCTTTCAGTCCTGCAGCACAGTTACCCCCTTGAGACCCGTGGGAAGTTAATGACGCCATGACGGAGTGTAAAAGCAGGGTATTTTTGGGAAGGGTAATTAGGTAACAGGAGAAGAAAAAGCGCGAGAGTGAAAAGGTGAGAGAACATCCAACTGAGGGTGAACAGATTTATTTTTCATGCGCAAGCAGAGCTCAGACCTGCCAACATCTGAGCCTGCAACCATGTGCCTCAGCAGGAAAAGACCGACTGACAGTAATTAACTCTCCAAAAGGCACATGATACAAAGCTCAGTGCTGGTCATTATGTGGAAGTATAATAGCAAATGGAGTGAGTGAGTTCAACGCAGGTCAAAACATTAAAGAAAACAATACAAATAGCGAACTGACACTTAACCCAGGAGTACTAATTGCAATGCAATAGGATACCAAGGCATAGCAGCCATATACAGCTTATGCAATAGGTAATACTTCCCATGTATTGATGTTTAAATCAAATATGGTTTACATTGGATCAAGCAGAGTGCAGCAGCAGCAGCAGAAACAACAGGAGCTGAGCAGTTGAGATGTAATTAACCTGACACATGAACCCATTACTTTGAGTTGAACCATTTATCCAAAGCTCGCTGAAAATGAAGGGTGGGGAGAGAAAGCGAACATGACAACCTGTTCTGTAAGTGACAGCAGCCATGATGGGTCTCCAATCCAGCCAAAACATACAAAAAAGCGTTGCGCCAGCACCTGACATTAATAAATTTGTACTTTCAAGGAAACACACTCAAAGTTTTATATCTTCACATATTTTTTAAACTGTCTGTAGTAATGCATTGCGTAGAAAAGATTTGTCTAACTACCACTGACAAAAATATTCACATATTCCAGTCTAACCCTTTACAAACCCAAAGCTAGATCCTCCATATTGATCCAAACCTCTCTGCAGGACTCCAACAAACAAATTACCACATCTATCAAGGTAAGATTGCATTAATTTATTATGAGCCAAAACAAGAGCAACTCTTTCAAAAGTAAATATTACCCAATTCAGACCATGAATCAAGAACGACAGTGCAACAGTGATACTGACACTGATAGGCCTATTTCACCATGCAGGCCTATGACTCAGCACCACACTGCATCCAACACCATACACCAAATAAATTAGCAAAGCTTAAACAAAACAGTAAAAACTTTCACCACATGCAGCAAATACTGTATATCAGCTCAAGGTGAGTGCCTCAAAGCAGAAAATGAGCTGATGACTCCAGCCAGCCAAGACAGTGACCACAAACCAGCAGCACTCATTTCTAACAAAGCCTAATGTAACCAAGCACAAATGAACCCACAGAGCGCAGAAAATAGCAGAAGGAGTAAGTCTTACTTGGTGTAGAGTCTCCGGGAGAAAGTTGAAGCGAGTAGTCCAGAGAGTCCTCAAACACGGCAGGGCAGATCTTCAGGCCCGGAGTCAGCGTCCAGGCCGCGGTTTATCAGGAAGACGAACTCCAGGAGCAACAGCGGAATAATCCCGTCCAGAAAGTAAGATTTCCTTGAGCGAAATGTGGACTTTGACAAAAAGTTTGACTAGAAACTGAGCCAACAAACACCAGCTACTCCACATGAAGCTTACTGCCGAAACAGAGGACAGGGTCGCGACACTTCAAATGAACCGCCAAACTCCGGGGGGGCGGGTTACCGCGCGTTTGAAAATGGTCACGTGGGTACTTCAGGTACCCACCTGGACACGATTTTTTTTTTTTTTTTTTTTTTTTTTTTGTTAAGATGATAGGGGAAAGTCCCGCCCTCCTTCGCCTCTGATAGGCTAGAAGTGCTGGGCTCCTATTGGTTATTCTTAATGGCTGTGAAAGTCATCATCTGTCAGGTTAGGTTTAGGGTTAAGATGAGGGTTAGGGTTGATGGCTATGTCCGAAATAAATCACTCAATCCCTATCCCCTAACTCCCATATTGGGTTTCTCTATATACTTGACTATGTAGTGAACTCAATCACCCCTCAAAATGGCGCCAACCCCCATATAGTCGCCTATACAGGAGTTAGGGATCCATTTCGGACACAGCCAGGGTTAGGAGATTAAGAAGTGTGATAATGGCTTGAGCATGTGTTGACATTTCCAGCTTTTCTAGCCAATCAGAGGCAAAGGAAAAACAAAAAATGTTTCGCCACCTGGACTGGCTCACGTAAAAGAGGTCACGTGGGCACTTCAGGTAGGCCTACCCACCTGGACTGGCTGCTGTACAATATCAAATAAAAGCAAATTCGGCATGAAAACAAATAGTCACTAATATTGATAATCACACAGGGAGCTACAAGCAGCCTGTTGAAACAAAACCCACACAATTGATTTTAATATAGGTGCTGCTTCTAACAAGGAAATAGCTAGTGATAGTTTGGGATTTTGGGCTGCTTCTGGGGTGGCCTGTCAGATTGCAGGGCCATGGCCACCCAGGCTCGCCCCTGGGTCCGCCACTGCCTCAAAAGGATGAAGAATGAATATTGCAAGAGTAAGTTAACCTATAAGATGAGAATTTAACACATAAAAATGTAAGAAGTAATGTTTGTCTTCCCTTCATTCTCAGGGAATTTTCGTGTCAGTGCTTGTGAATAACATCATTGTGCTTAAAGTCCAAGTCAAGCTGCATCATCATCAGCCCACCATCCAAAGGTAAGTGTGCCAGGGGGCACTGTCTGGACATAAGCGGTTAGCAGGTTCAGCCTGCAATACAGCTTCACTGGGAAGTGCATTTGTAAATATGTAAACATGTGTCTGTGTTTGTGCAGCAATGTCGACAGAATAAAGGTGAAAGTTTAGGTAAGGCTCAGGTGATTAAAATGAGGTTCAAGTCATCAGTAATTTCAGGCATTTTCACCAGATACAGAGAGAGCACAACAATTAAGTTTCTACAATTGCACTAATGGGGTATTAAATTTATTACGTCATATTGAAAAAAAAAAAACTGAAAATAAACCACACTTATTAATGACCTCAGTGATCTTACATTTGCAATCAAAGTTGCATTAACATAAGATTTGTACTTGTAATGGCTAATCTGCTACTATCGTGATATAATAGGTTCTGCATGTGGTCTAAAGAGAAAAACGGGAAAATGTATAAATACAGCAATAAAAGTAGGCTATATGTTTAATAATTAGTAAGATGATGAGGACAAAAAACAAAATTTTTTAGTTTTAAGTGAGAAAGAAAACTATGATCACAAATTCTAACAAGTTATTTTTGCCTTTCTCTAACATGGTGAAATACAAAATAATAAGTTTACATTTTTGAATGTACAATCCCAATTCCAAACAAATTGGGACATTGTGTAAAATATTGATAAAAACAACATGTTTCAAAATGTTGGGAAAGGGACAATGACACGTCAAAATCCTAATATCATGTTAAATTAACACCTAGAGGAACATCTCCTGACTAATCAAGAGAATTTGCAGCAATTTAATAAAATAACTGGATATGAAAAGAGTTTTCCAGAGAGACTGAGTCGCTCAGGGGTAAAAATCAGAACAGGTTCATTCTGTAAAAGGCTTCAAAAACTAATAAACAATTCAGAGAAATATTCCTGAGCAATTCCAAAGAAATCTGGGTGTTTATTTATCATACAGGTCATATAGTCGAATAGTCTTTTAGCCCTCGGGTGGCACTGCTTTAAAAACAAACATGACACTGAAGTGTAAATCACTGCATGAGTTCAAATCACATAAGAAAAACACTACACATGAGTGCCTCTGCGAATGCAGTTTGATGTAGGGGAGAGTGGGGTAAGTTGAGATGTTTAGTCTGTTTTACACTGAATTTATTTCATCATTGTGAAAAAAATAAGTGTAAGAAATAAAAATGCATGCTTGAAATTCAATAGGTTCGATATTCACAGTCTGATTCTGATGCAAAAAAAAATCAGCTTTCTAAATCCAAATACAAAATCAGATGGCACAGATTTACTTCCATACAATTCCAACTGAGGAGATGTAATCCGGCGGCGCTAGGACCGGGAGGGCGCCTCTATGAGGAAGAGGGCGTAGGCTCAGCAGCCGGTAGAGGAGGAAGGTGCTGAGACCGCCGAGCTGCTCGCGCACAACCGCGAGGGGTCCTGGCAGCAGCGCGAGCGATGCGAGTGGAGGGTCGTGAGGAAACCGCCTAAATAGAAAGAGCTCGACCGAGTTTTGTCTTGTTTCAGCAGCAGTGTGTAAAGAGAAAACGGCAGAACAGCGAGCATGTCGGTGTTAGCTCTACAAGAGTACGAATTCGAGAGACAATTCAACGAGGACGAAGCCATCCGATGGATGCAGGAGAACTGGTAAGGCTGTTTTCCCCCACAGAGTCATGTTGCTGCTCGATTTTAATCACAGTATACTCGATATTAATTACGAGGATTGACCGCGGTGGGCACAGCTGAATGTAAAGTGCTATAACGGCGCACATGCATCAGCCTCGTTCACCGGGATTAAACCTCGCTGTATCCTGTTATATCAGACGCTGTCATCATCCGCAAATTGCTGCATGTGTCTCAAAATGAACAAGAATTCACGCAGGCCATTTGATTTGCGTGCAGATGTGGAGCTCTACCGTACGCCATAATGTCCACTGTGACATTGTGCGTCTTTATCAGGACGGATTTGTCCTTGATTTCCTGTGATTTATTCCCCCGGCATCCGTTACCGCGATACTACTATTGTAAAGGTCATCCATGGCTCCAGCTGCCTCATCCATTTAGACTCACTCACTGGCCCAGTAGCATATTGAACCAACGCTGGCCTCACGCTGCTCAACATGTATCCTCCAGTCCTTAGTCATCCCTGCATTAGAGATGGATAACTGTTATTTCAGTCTAATTATGAAGGCTCCAGCTCATTGTAAGACCACATATAACCAGTCCAAGTGTCATTATTGTGTTGTACTGTAGAGTTAAATGGCAATATTCTTTGTTTGAACTACTGAAGGTTCACGTCATGGTTTATTTATTCTCCAAAATACTAGATACAACATGAATGTAGATGTTACTAGCTGCCAGAAGGACTGAGGGACTGTGAAAATACTGTCCTTGTTGCAACAATGATCTTATTATTTTGGGTTAAATCGACTGGTCGCCTGATTAATTAGACCAGTATTTTTCAACCTTTTTTGAGCCATGGTACATTTTTTTAATTAAAAAACAATCACAAGCCACACCACTAACCAAAATATTACTAAATGACACTTGGTAGCCCCAAATACAATTTATACAATGACAATATAGTCTCTCAACTTATTCATACTCACCCAGTGTGAAATCTGGGGCTGTAGATTACAGCACAGACACTTGAGAATTGTGTATTATTTGCAGATAATAAGTTATTTTAAAAATTAGTCCAATAAAGTGAAATTAGATCATTTCTCAAGGTACACCTGACTATCTGTCGTGGCACACTAGTGTACCATGGCATGCTAGTTAAAAACACTGAATTAGACTATGAAATACTGTCCTCAAACAGCTTGTTTCCTCCAAACAGCCCATACTGTCAGTAATCAGTCCAATCCAATCTGCTTTATTGATATAGCACATTTAAAAAAAAAAAAATTCAAGTTTACCAAAGTGCTGCACAATAGAATTAAAAGAACAGACAATGCAGAAAACATCAAGATAAAATAAAAATAATAGTTTTAAGACGTGATTTAAAAGTAGAAAGAGTGGGGGATGTTTTAATCTCGAGTGGCAATTCGTTCCACAATTTGGGAGCCACAGAGTGCTTTTAATGGGGGGACAGATACTACAGGGACAGTATTGATCTGTATAAAATTGATTAGATATGACATATTGCACTTTTTGCAGAGCACAACTTCAATCTGGGAAAAAAATGCACATTTTATTTTTGGCTCAGTGCAAAAAACTGGAGGAGAGCAGCAATAAAGTATTTGCTTATCAATTATTTAGACCACGAAGTAATGGGAAAAGAAGAAAAGTTGCCTCGACAAGCTCCCAACCAACTAACCAAATATTCCCTAAATCTGTACCACTTTAAAAAAAACAACACTGCAAAAACTGTGAGACATAGATTTGAAAAAAAATGTTTCTTTTTTTTTAAGGTTGATGAAAAAACAACAAATCTGTCATCCAAACATTGTAATGATCACTGGACACATTTATGACCAGAGCAGGGATTGTGTTTGCCCAGGGCTGCGTCTGCAAGGCTCTACACAAACTACAGTGTGATACTACATTGATATTTCCTGTCACTGCAGATGTAAAGTAAACATCGCTGTGAGGCTTTGTGCATTGATGCATTTTTACGTGCAGGTCCAGCCAAATATCCATCGTGTGAAGTCAGCAATGGGTCAGCGTTGTCCAGGTCTGTGCTAGGTTAAGCAAGAAATGGTTCAAAGCAAAACAAAATGAGTCATGCGTAAAGTTAGCATAGGCTTCATTAAACATTCAAAGGCACTGGGTTTGTAGAAAGAGCGGCACATGGAGAGCAGAAGGCTTTCAGCTGGCTTCTTCTTCTATCTCCTGTTAGAACTGGAAAAAGTCCCATTTGGTGAATTGTTTCAAACACAAATTAAGTTGGAGAGGAGCTCTCACAGCCACTCTCAGAACAGCTCTGTTTTTGTTCATTGCTATGAAATCTGCGGTTGTGTGAGAGAGACAGCATGGCAGCAATGTGTAGGAGCTGTCCTTTCCCTGGTACTGAGAACCGGCCAATCACGGTCATCTTCTGATGTCTGCTGACAGAGCTTCAGCCAATCACGTCGCAGCTGATCTGAGACGACTTTCCTCTGCTGCTTCAGTAGTGGAGAATGTCACACCGGGCCAGTGCACATGGCTTATATGGGAAACAACTGCAGGGAATGAGATTTGATGGGCTGTTTTATTATCTCCATAACGTAGAGAGGGAAACTGATAAAGCCAGGCGTGTTTTCACGTCTTCAGGGCCACACAGAGACGAGGAAACAAATAAAAAAACAAACCAGTTCAGTGGAAAGGACCATGCAAATAAGGAAATAAGCAACTTGAAATCCAACAACAGTGTTATTTCATCATGGATCACATACCTGCACACCCCACCTTTATTTATTCAGCCTGGGGTGAGGCACCCTCAACCAACTGCTAGGGTCTGAAATGAACATGAGCCAAGCCAAATGCAAATTCCTAGAAGTTCAGGTTAGTGAGTGTGGAGCCACTCAATACAAAGTATAGAGTTTCAACATATAATCCTTGAATGTAGGCTTCTGTGCGAGTTTAGCTTTTGGCATATTATCAGAGTAAACATGGAAACAATTTTAACAGCAAATATGTGTCATTTCAGCAAACTGTGGCCACTATTTTGTCAAAGGTTGATGTCATCCTAAACCTCCCTGTGCAGATAAGCCTGTTGTGAAATCAGTGTGCTGAGGAGGCCTCAATTCCTTTTTTGAACAGGCGTCTAGTCCTTGTAGGCCGCTGTCACTTTTACCACTTCATTACCAGAAAGGGTGAGCAAGGGAGGGTTTCAGTCTAGGATGTGGCCCCTATTATTGCTAAATGTTCCCGTTTCTACTCACTGTACCTCAAAATGTAGCATCCTCTTAAAGCTCCTGTAAGGAGTTTTTTTACAGGTTTCAAAACAGACTGATATAACAGTGAGGTTTCTTTATGCCCACAAGTAAAAAAGTTCACATTACTATTTTGTAAATTTTAATGCCTGCAGACACTGCGTGTGTGTGTGGGGGGGGGGGTATCAGACACGACAGTTTACAGCGTAATAAAGGAACCCCCCCTTTTACTACTTTTTCTACTATAAATACTCATGTAAAATATATGACCATTAAAAGAAAGCAGGATCAGAAACATACAAACATCTTAAGTTATAATTTTACGTATTTTTGCCTTTAATAAATGGGACAGGAAATGCAATACTTTCTTAATTTGCTTGGCCAACCAAGGCCCCCCGAGATGACATATTTGTCAGAAAACACTATAATAAAATGTACTGGAGAAATTCTGCAAAACTATAGACGGTACCCTTTTGGCCACAGGGGGCGCCAAAGTTCAGACAAATAAAGTTCCTTACCGGACCTTTGGATATCAAATTGAACATACGGAATCTGAATTAGACATGGTGCCAAGTAATTATACCACTAGTCATTATTCTCGCTGTGATTGTGCATGTCATAAAAATTAATCTTAATGTGTGATGACAAAAACACAAAGATGACATATTTGTCAGAAAACACAATAATAAAATATACAGGAGAAATTCTGCAAAACTATAGATGGTACCCTTTTGGCCACAGGGGGCGCCAAAGTTCAGACAATAACGTTCCTTACTGAAACTTTAAAGATCAAATTGAACATACAGAATCTAAATTAGACATGGTGCAAAGTCATTATTCTCGCTGTGATTATGCATATCGTAAAAATTAATCTCAATGTGTGGTGAAATAATCAAAATTTGAGATGAACTATGAATATTTGCAGCAGAAGATAGGACTAAAAGTTCAAATATTGAAACACTTATATCCAGAAATGACTAATAGGCTTGGTAGTCGGATCGATCTTTTCCAGAGAAATCCCTCTAAGGTTCTGATACACTCATCTGTCGCTGCGGAGAGAGAGCTCACGGGCAGAGATGAAGGATCTGCTTCGAAAAATGGAAGAAAACAGTTTGAACCTCAAAGGTGAGAAAATTATGGTGCATTTAAGTTTTTGTGCAATTATTTTAGATATAATTTGTATTCTGTCAAACACATTATTCCATCTCAAACATTAGTTTTGTAGCTGTAAAGGGCAAACTTGAACAAGGAGTGATTACAGTAAAGTGACTCAGATGGTACGTGTAGCTTTGGTGATAACTAGATTTGATAAACTTAAGTTAAAACTGTCACAGTTAAAGATCTTATTTAAATCACAGTAAAGCATACTCCTCTTTTGTACCTGTGTATCTATGAGATATTATAGAATAACAACTTGTTCAGCCCTCTAATAATAAACTGTCTTGGATGAAGTCCTGGATGAAGCTAATCTTAGTACGGCTCAAAGGATGTTGCAGCATTTCTTTAATCTTCTGCTGTTAATGTCAGCTGAGGAGAAACTTAATCTTTGCTTGTTACTGCGTTTCATTTTTCAAAAAATAATTGGTAAGGAGTTGACAACGATCCAGAAATAGTGTTACTTTGTTTTGCAGAGGTCTGTAGTGCCATCTGATACCTCCTGATGAGTCCAGTTCATCTTCTTTTCTTAGTGTAGCCTGAGGTGTTATCACATTTTATCACTAATGCAAGCTTGAGTTATGCACATGTGTGTTTACTGTGTATACATGTCATTGTTTTGCAGGGATGAATGGAGGCTGGTACACTGATCTGATGTGTTTTCTTCGGGCTCAGCAGCAGACAGCTCAGCATTGTGAAGAAAAACAATGAAGCGAGTAGTTCGAAGAAGACCAGGAAGAGGAAGGGGAAAGAGAGGAGCACCGCCCCATTTTCTTCTTATGGTTAACAGTATAGAAATGCCATGAACATATGAGGTCGTGAGGCTATATTAAGACTGTTTGGAAGAGAGGCAATAGTGCGTACCCTTTGTTTTCCACAGCACGAACCTAATGGTATTGCTGATGTGTTTCTATCACCATCAATTCTGCACAAATTGATCGCACAGACCAAATAACACAGCAGTGTCTGCAAGCAAAATTAGAAAGGTAGAAAAATATCATCCATCAGATGATGCTGTCGATGATGCTTTCTTGTTATTTCAGGAGTGTCTGCAGTATCACGAACACCGGGGGCCTGAGAATAGAAGTGCAAAGTGAAGTCAGGTACAATTCCGAACATGTCTCATCAGCTGGAATTTCATTAAAGCTCTCCGTTCAACAAATACCCTTCAGTGATGGGGCTGATCAAGACAAAAGACTGGCCCTGCTGCAGATAAACTCAAGAAAAGAGAAAGATAGGGACTAAAATAGCCTGTTTGGTTACTTGTATGACAATTTTAGCATGATAGTAGAGGAGCAGTTTTTGTTTTAGATATCTCAGGTGTGGTCCTGAAACCCTGCAGAAGACTGAAGTCTCAGTTTTTCTCACTGGTCACTGTTCAGATCAGTGATAATTTTTACATATTTTCTGTGCATTTGCATCTTATTTTACTCAAACTAGTTGTGTTAGATACATTCAAAATTCAGCCTTCTTGTCTGTATAAGTCTAATGTCCTAAAACAACTGGTTGCATACAGACTGCACATATCCATCTTACTACGTAGCATGAACTTAAAGCTCCTTTGATGAGATTTTTAACATTTATGCAACACATTGAATAAATATTGATGCCTTTTTATGATAAACAAAACACAATCATTAGTGATTAAATAGACAATTTTTGGACTCTATGTTTCAACATCCAAAACTGCTGCAAGGAGTAAGGTGCCACAGTGGGGCTGCAGAAGAAAAAGGGACTTTCTACATTTTTCACTTTAAATATTCACAAGAAACTGATATATTTGACTGTTTTTGTCAACCAACACTACCAAAGCATGTGGGGGTAAAAAAAAGGCAAGGGCTGCTTTGTCCACAGGGGGCGCCAAAACTGACACATACAGAAAGTTACTCACAGGACCTTTAATGATGTTGTATTAGACTAAAAGTATTTTCCAGAGTAGTTTGTATGTATTTTTGAATAAAGTGCTGTTTTTAAAATCCCTGGTTTAATAAAATATGAAAAATCAAAAAAGATAACCTGCAAACTTTGGTGTTCATTTCGTAACTGATATTTGACAACTTCTGAACATTTAAGTAATTTCAATGCAAGAGTAATATTGATTTCCTGCTTAAACTAACATTTATCAATATCAATAGCCCATTTGCTTCACTGCATTGCTGCTTGTACCATCTTCCTTGGCCGATCGGTTGTACTCAGAGGCTTGTGACCACGGTGAAAAGCAATCACAATGGATTTCAAAGCATATAATTTGGTAGAGTGCTCACCTAATGGAAAATGTCATTTGAATGTAATCAAATCAGCATGATTTCACAACAGATTGACGTGAAGGTACTCAAGGATTATGTATGTTGCTCAGAGTGAGCGTTTGCATTATATAGGTGCTTGTGGGATTAGCTATATGTGCAATTTTGTCTCCTCTTTCAATGCATTTGATGGGTTTCTATATGATGGGGCTGCAGATAAAAATTGGCACTTTGTGTAGTAGGATTATCACGTCCTGCAGTGTGGGGTTACAATCCGAAAGAGAGCAGTTGTGCATTTTACCTGCTGACTCACTCTAAGCTCTCACAGACGTCATTGGGTCTCATTACCATGCGAGTTGCTTGGTTGGAATCTGTGTTCTCGGTTCTCTGAAAAGCCTACGGGAAAGATAGCATCCCCACAGGTCTCCGCACTCCTGATGGATCTCTGGAGGGTTTGGACTGGACTGATAACAAGGGATGCAGAGTCTGCGGATGATGCAGCCAGAATGAACAATGAGATCTTTGTTGTCGTCTGCTTCCTATGCTCTGTGTGTTTGTGTTTATACCCTCCTGTTAAATGATTCAGCAGCTCGACTCCTTTTACCATATTATCAAAGAAAGAGCGAATAGAGGAAATGAAATTATTCCAGGTTTTTAAATTCTTCATGGGAGATAAAGAAATGGTTCTGTGTTCTTGTGGTGGAGTTTTGCTTTAATCAACTAATCACTTCCTTTTGCTTACTAGGCTTTGTGGCTTGTGGGTTGTGCAGGTCAGGTTCCAGTTGTAGCTGAATAGTTAAGGAGATAATTCTCTTCCTTCCAAGTCTCACGTTACTAATACACCCTTAAAGCAGCCCAGCCTGTTGTCTGATTGTTCTTAAGCCCTTCTGTTGGATGGGTGGGATCTATCGGATACATCCATCTTCAATTTGGCACTAGGGTATCATTTCAGTGGTCTCAACAGAACTGGGTCCCTTACTCTTTGTAGACTGGATTATATAATAAACCATGTCTAGAATTTGGCTTATGATTAGCTGCCAATAGTTGATTACATTGAATAGAAGCAATGTGAATATTGATTTTTATTGTTGGGTTTTGGCACTGCCTTTACATGGAAACAGTGTTTTGGGTTCCCAGTTGTGTTTCTTTATAAGTTTTCACCACTTGATTATGTATATATGCAGATCAGTTTCACAACATTGTCATATTAACGTTGAGGAAATATATTTACATAGTTAATTGGGCTATTTTAGTTTATTGTAGGCCATAGTTGGAAGCTTATAGAGGGTGCAGCCCTCCACAACAATTTGAACCTCCACTGCCAGGAAGCTTGGGGTCTGCTTTAGCTGTAATACTTTGTCTTTAGCTTGGTTGACCAAATTTAGGTTGGGCTAGCGTTTCCAACATGGCGACCACCATCATTCGACTTTAGAGCCTTTCTTCTGAATGCAGTTTTTGATACTGATCAAAGTCACACTGAGGAGCATAAAGCTAATATAAATTAGTCTGTCGTAGAAATGTTCTCTATATAGGTGTCAAACTAGCATAGGATGAATTAAGCTGTATCATGTTGTCACAAAGCTGCAAAGAGTTTATGTCATAGTCTTAAATTGGTGAATAGCTTACATGAAAACTAAGGGACTGTTGGTTTATTCAGCTTTGGAGGATAATTTTTAATTCCCTAATGCAGCTCTGGGGATTCCTCTTGATAGTTATGCAGTTGAAACCACAAAGTCTTGGTTCTGCACGTTACTGCCAAATGGGCAATGGCATCACACTTTGATGCTGATCCCATCTGACCATTTGCAGCCAGAGGTCAACTCAGGCTCGCTGTTTGCTCGGCTGCTGTCCGTCCTTCAGCTGGTGAAGATGAAGATGTGGACTGGCTCTGCAGGAATTAAGTTCTGCCTAGAGTAAAGCGACTCTCTTCTGTCACGTTTTGTTGCCATCAGTCTGTCAAAGAAAAGCTTTGCTGCTAACAAAAGAGAAGAGCAGCTCACTGTATGGTCCGTGTACTTTGTATACGTTGAGCCACTTTGCATGCTGGTTAGATAAACAAGTAAAGATGTGATCTCTCATGAGCATGGCGGAGTGTACTCTGCCCCTGGGTTGAAAAATGCAAACCTGCTTAAGTGCTGAGTTTTGCATCAAAAAGCAAAGTTTGTTCAACTTAAAAATCACATCTTATTATCTTTGCACCTGCAGGATTAGAGCATGTCACAGCTATTGTTCCTCTTGAGCAGTATTTCTTTATTGCTATTTTACTCGTCTAAGATGATGCATTGGTTGGACGCTCTAAGGGGGCAGATCTTAATCTATAGGCTTCAGGATATATTCCATGTTATAGTGAAATCTGTAACTATATATCATAAGATAGAAGGTAGACATTGTGACTGACATTATTTTGAAAAAAGTACAGGCTCAAATATGGTACATGGTAAAGATGTGTATATTTCATTCTCACTGTTGAGTGCCAGGTAATACCGGCTTTAAGTGGCCATTTGTCCATCTGCTTAAGGAATGATTCAAGATGTTCCCAAGCACTTAACAGGCTGAGATAATCATCGCTCAAGAAGAGATCTCTTGTTTCCTGAGCAGACCAACGTGGCCCACCAACATGCAGTAAGAAATCAAACAAATGAGTGATTACATCTGATTAGACTGATTACTGTAAGGCCTATCCAGGGATTGCATTGCATGCTGTCACTGCGGCTTAGATGTGTGTTTCTAAGTGGATTATATCTGTGTACTTTTTTGTCCAGAGATTGTTCTGTCACCGCCAGGTTTTATTTACAGCACCTCTTGGCCTTTTTTAGTGGCTTGCTGCTCATCCTGCACTTTGGCACAGTAACTCTGATTGAGTTAAGGAAACAAAAATCCAGGGAATACAACTACACGCACCAGACTGAACCATGTCTGTGTGCACACATGCACACTTCCAGCATATTGTGCATGGACCTGCAATTGTAAATGTGACAGTGTAAACACACACTTTAATGAGACAGTGAGACACCAGCTCACTGGCACAAGTGTGCCGACTCATCCTCAGACTGCAAACTCAGGATTACGTAACCAGTAAAATCTCCTGGAGCAGCTAATACAGATCCAAGTTCCACAGCAGGTTATCCAGCAGCTTTACACAACACTGTCAGTGGGGGAGGGGAGGGTCTGTGGAGCAGCATCCCAAGTTATTCTGCACTGGTTTTCAAAGGATTCACGCAGGCTCATGTACAAGCATAAGCACCAGTGATGAATTATGCACCGTTCTGTTTAACACGACCGTAAGATGTCGTCTGAGTCTGCTCATTTATTCCACTGCTGTGTATGTGTGGCTGGTTTATTACCTCAGGCGTGCGTCTTACAATCTTGTTTCCTGTTAGGCTTTTGTGGTGTTTTTGTCGGCTTTATTACTTGGTTTGCTTACTCTTCCAGATTTGAACACCTTTATTTTGGGTATCTCAGATAACCTGAATGGTTTGACTGAATAACAAACTGGGCCAACACCCAGCATCTCACTCAGCACCTCACCCTGAGATAACAATCACGCACGAGAAAGATATGCTGGAGATGCCCTACCTACCTAACTGAACAGCACATGCAAATTGTCCCAGCTGTATACAGTGATTATGTTGTCATACGTTTGTGATGTTCTTGTAACATATGATCTAGTACATATTTTTATAGCACAAGGAACACCTGATTTATAGCCCTACAAGTACGCACTGCATATGATTTATATCATGACCCCGACTTGTGGGTGAATTTTCAGTTTTAATTTGGATAACAAGCTTTAAGGACATTAAAATCTGAAATTCATGGGGTAGTTTTGGGCCACCTATTAATCTCTTAGAAATAAAACCACTTCTGCTGCTGTTGAGAGGAGATCTCAGCTGAAGGAGAGCGGCGTGTTTCTAACCCAAGCACAAAATCTGTGCTGATTCTGTTGCCGCTCCGTGCTGATCCTCCCCAAAAGAGCTCTGACGTTGTCGTTTTCATTTGTGCTGCCTCGGCCCGCTTGGACAAACAGCCGAGTCAAGCCTCTTGCCACACCTCTTAAATTTATTGTCCAGAGTCGGCATAAGTCAGGATCAGAGGGGCTCGTTTAGTTATTTCCCTCATGTCTGAAGCTTTTTTTTTTTTGCAGTCATACACCTTTTTTTTTTTGTAACTTTTGGAGTATCTTTGTTTGGTGACTGAGTGCAATGAAAAGTTAATAAAATTGTCAGTAGAAATTATGCAATCTTTCTGATTTATTTTAACCCTCTTCTTAAATTTAATTAAAAAAATCCTATTTACAGCTAGGTGTTAGTCCTGCTTTTATTATGCAGGTATACTTTTAGTAACTGAGTTTTCATATGGGAGGTGTTGCATATAGCCTTTTTACTCATGTTGTGCAGATGTTCAGTTTAGTGATTGACTGATACTGATACCAATAATGAAGGAGCATGTTGGCCAATCACTGACACGTATCACTAATGTGACATTGTTGTTTTTTAATGTGATAATACTAACAAATGAGAAACATAGGTGGCAAACTTCAGTGAATGTTACCTTTGTGTGTGAAAGAAGGTAAAAAGGTGCCTGACATACTGGCATGAGGAGGATTAACGGTCAGCAAGAAGGTCATTGAATGCCATTACATGTAGTCTTTTGTTTGGCTAAGTATCTAAATGACATACGCCTACTAAACTATAAAAAAAAAAGAACATACAAAAAGTTTAAACCCTTGTGTTTGAATTGCTGGATGGTGACATTGTTTTGGCAGTTTTGTGGATTGCTGCTTCTCTAGATTCCAATGACGTCTCTATTTTCACAAAAGAGATCAATCACGTAGCCGCTGTAATTGAAAAAAGGATCAGACGGGAGATGTAAGAAGATGTTTGACAGAAAATGTCCCGATTCTTGATACTGACATTAGCCCGAAGTGTTTGTTCCAAAACAAAGACTTGAAGTGGGTATAGAAGAGCCAGAAATGTCTGCAGCTCGCTGCTGTTTGGGGGATGCTGAGTATTGATCTATGACTCTGTTGTGCCTCCACAATAAGTCATTTCGTTTTTGCTTTCTGTCTGTGGGTAACAAAAAAACTTACATCGCATCTATGCTAGTTTTATTTCTCAAGTACAAAGAAGTGAGAAATCCTGTCCTGAGGGCGACTTTGGGAAATCTGAATCCTGAAGGTCAGTGGGAGAGCTGTAGCAGCAGAGACATCGGGGAGCTTGAAGGGACGATGTGAATTCACACTGATGTCTGAAATAGAGTCCTATGACTGCAGACACAGCCGGGCTGCAGCTGGCACTTCACAGTTTTAGCAAAGATAACAGCAGCACCACCCCCACCACCTCCACCAACCTGACAGCCTTGACCATGCCCTTGGGTTTCTTTGCCCTTTTATGATGTTTTCTGACAGCAGGGTAATTCATCTTCTAAACCTGCTGGAATAGCCATGCTCATCCTACCCTTTGGCGTTGTCTGGTTGCACACGATGATAATGTAACACCAGAGCCTTAAAATACCTCTGTGCATTGTCTGGACAATAAGGAAACATAAATGCAGCTATCATTGGGGTAGTGCCAACATCAGGAGTCTTTGTCCTGGTATTGAATGTAAGATTCACAAAATAAAAATAAAAAATTACGTTAGATTCTGTGTAGTTTGCAGAAAACTGTTGCCTAGCTTGCGTTTTGATTTCCTTATCAGTTTCTCATGAAAGGGCTGAGGTGACCCGCTTCCATAGAGACTGATGCACTTGTTAATGACACGTAACTCATAAAACCCACTTCAAAAATGCTCAGTGCACAAACACAGCAGACAACAGGATGGTTGTCAAGATAAACATCACCAGTTGCTTAGCTACCTGTACATTCATTATGGTTGCAAAGTCTTTTCATCTCTTTGTCAAACTGTGGTATGTTTTACAGGACACATTTGCCGAACACTTGTGTCGCCACTAATCAACAGGTCGATCCACCATTTCCGACATCCATCTAAATTTGTGCTTCATGTTTATTAATGCCGTCATGGCTGTGTTTGTTGTGCTTCCCTCTTCAGACAGCTTGCTTACTGGCTGTTCACATGATGATCTACAGAGTGTTTGCTTGGCTGATCTAAACATGGAGTATATTTATTATTTACTATTCCATATTGAGTGTTCTTAATCTACTGACATATTCTCAAAACATGAAGTCAACACAAAGATTTATATTTTACACATTTGCTGTAAAAACTTTCCAAGGAACTCTGTCATTTCAAGAACAGAACAAATCGGACACCAAAACATGATGAAGGTCCAAAATTTGGGGGTCTTGTGGTTACAGATTATAGATGTGAAGTCGTGACACCATTTTCCATGCATTTGCTTTTTTTACAGTCTGGCTAGACCAAAAATGAAATCCTTTAGGGATATAGAGCAAGCATGCAGATATTTGTTTACAGACATCAGTTAAGCTAAATCGTTGTTGGATGGCTGCCGACGGTTTAAGGGATTGCATTATGGTGGATTGCATTCTGTGCCTTTTGCTCTCTACATGGACTGTTTTCATGCTAAAATGATACCGCTCATGCTACAACTGAAACCCAAATCACTTTATATGCCAATATCCGTACCCACACCTACAGACTCTACATTCACATGCATAATCTGTCAAACATAATGGCCCTCGAATATCCCCTGAAGTCTCATTTGTAGGTTGAAGAATCAATTTTGTGTTTTTTGCTTTTGCTGCTGTGGTTAAAAAAATCTGTTTGGCTATTATTAGACATAATGAGCATATTGCACACTGCAGCACCACAGCTTAGACTATGTATCACCCTGACCTCTTGACCCCCAGCTCAGCCAGTAGCACACTGAAGAGGATACTAAGATTGTTTCTCCTCCTCAGACCTCTTTGACCTCCCTTCAGTATGTAGGCCGCTGTGTTAAGTGTTGCTCTGTTCTTCCCTCCTTTGTGTGTAGTTGTTAAACAGTGATGTCATTCTGCAGTCCAGCACCGTTGTCATTCTGTGAAAGCAGCTATTTGACTTTGACTGCACTGCTTTGTCCTTTGTTGAGTGGAGGTGGCCTAAATCAGTCTGTGGGCATCCTGCAGGAACAGGAAGGTGGTACCCTTCATTCTCTGAATACTGACACACAATGATGTCCTTTATTATACAAACTGCCGGGTCTGTGTGTGCGGTCCAGTCACTGGCTGCCTGATAACTGCTGCATCAGCAAGAGTTTATGCTACACATTTAAGCAAGTGGCAATCTTAATGCAGAAGCTAATGCTGATGTACTGATAACTGCAGTACCTTAAGTGTCCACTAGAGGCTGGTTTCAAAAGTCAAGGAAGTCCCATTCACACTCATGCTAAAATGCTTTTTTAAATATGTCATGAGAGCAGTAATAAACATGTTGGCAGCACGGTTCTGGCTTGAGAAGCTGTTTCTAATGATGCGTTCCAGTTACCTCGGAAGTCGGATGTTGGAAGTTGGAAAACCAAGATGGACGCCTACTGTTAGCCATTGTTAGCTGTTGTTAACAATTGTCAGCTGTTGTTAACTGTTGTCAGTTGTTGTTAGCGGTTATCGACTGTTGTTCGCCTTTGTCAGCTGTTGTTAGTTGTCGTTAGTTATACCAGTTGTAAACAACGCATAACACAGTATTTTACTCTTAAGAACAACATAGCACCGTGTTTACAGTTGGGCAGTACAACGTATACCACTTATTTAATTTCACAAAAACAAAACAGAAGTGCTAATAAATAATACATTACGAGAGCCTTTAATATTATTCTTTACTGTTGATGTTGCCATCTTGAATTATGACGTTGTCGTGAAGTGGGTTTGGTGAAGATCGTCCGACTTTCCGAGTCGGAAATCCTACTTAAGGGGGGCATTCCAGATGAACTTCCAACTCGGATCTCGAAAATCCCGACTTCCAAGTACAACTGGAACGCAGTATAACACAATTTTTTTAAAAATCTTATATATACTTTCCAAAGGGTGAATGTCTTTATTACTTGTTTTTATGACAGGTGTTAAGGTTATGAGTTTTGCATAAATACACATAATGATGGGCGTGGCTGTCTCGACTGTCAGGTGAACCCATGGAAGAGGGACTTAAGAGACTCACCTCTGCCTCTTGCGGGTTAGACTGAAATGTAGATGAGTCAGCTTTCCCAGCAGGGCAACCGCCATCATTGGGCTTTAAATGTGTACTTTAATCAATGTTGATGGATCCACCTATGTATACATGTGCATATGGACATTAAGATGTTTATAATCTGGTGTTTTGTGTCTTCTGTATTTTTGTGTGCTTCATGGGGTTCATAATCTTCTGTAGGAATGTAGGGAAAGAGCAGGGAGGGGGAGGGGGAGGGGAGGCTACAGCATAAACCGGTAATATTGACCTGCACTTAGGACACTCATCTATCAGCAAGACAGTTACATTTCTGTTGTCAGTTTTGTATTGATCGAAGTGTAACTGCTGTTTAATATTCAGCTTTGAATGTCAGACTCCTTCTTCTGGCTGCCACAATATAAGCTATTACAAGCCAAGAGTCTAGGAGTTACTGTATTGAATTAATGTTTCTTAGGCACAGACAGAGTCAACAAAGATGCAGGTAACAGTTTGGTTTTCCATTATACCTTGTCCTCCTCTCAGCAAAATGCCTCATTTTTTCCCTCTGACTTACTGAGCCACACACCTCATCAGCAAAACTATGTTTTTCTGTTTTTTTCTCTGTGCCCTGCTGAAGCTGCTGAACAGGACAGGATTGGTTGCTGTTCGCAGGTTTGCTTCTGTCACGCTTCTGTGAGAAATGTTTGCGTTAGTGGTGTAAGCTGTGCACAGGCAACTTGACCAACATGCATTTCAACTGTAGTGTGAACAGCAAAGGAAAATACTCTGAATTTTTAGCTCATCTTTTGCCAGAGAAAACGTTACTCACTGGTGGCATTAAACAGAGAAAATGCTGTTATATTTAGGATTGGGTAGTTCTTTGAATTTGGTGATTAATTCCACAGTAATGATGGTCTTTAAATTATCCCTAAACAGCAGCACAAAAACAACAGCACAGAATTGGGACATGACTCTTGGGCTTGTTTTACGCAACTCATCATTCCCCAGGGCTGTTGGTCCCAGGGCTCCCCGAACGCTTCATCCTTGGAGCCTTTGTACACTTTTTTATGCTTGAATTTGTTGTCTTAAATGCAGTTGGAGTAGAATATATGCTTATTTTCAGCATCAGCATGCACACTTACACACAAATCTGCCTGTGGCCACTGAAGACTCATCTGTGGGTTTGTGCCTGTTTTTTGGCCCCTGCATCCTGACGTCAGATAAGTTATTTTCCTGAACTTTTTTTGGCTCGTGAGGCTCCAAACTATAACTCTGCTCCCCGTCCAACTAACCAAAGAATGTTTCAGAGCAAAGCTGTTCTTCTTCCAGGCAGCCAGCACACCCCACTCCACTGTTGGTCCTACTCAGCATCCAGTCCGTCAAGTTAGGCCACCTGCGCTTTGTAATTGTGCTGAGCTCTGGGGAAATGCTTTTCTTTAGATTCAGCTCGACCAGGTGGTGCTACAGCACAAGTGCGCCATTTAATGTGACACAGCAGTGATCTCCGACAAGTCAATTAAGGCAAACAGCCGTCACAGGGGCAGTGGGAAGTGGAACTGAATAGAAGCAATAACTGCAAACTGAAAGCTAAGCATTTAGCGACAGTTGGAGCTGGACACAAATCATTAAATCATTACTCCAGGCATGGCTTGTAGAGTCATTACAGCTTTTGTTTGCTTTCTGTCAACAGTGTGTTGTACTCATGGTGGAGCAGGTGGAGAAGCAGACTTTGATTTCTACCACACTTTCGCAGGATGCACACTTAAGAAACTTACAATAAGCTGCACAGTGTTCACATAAAGATGAAAAAATCATCATCGTAACCTGCATAACTTGGCAATTAAAGAGCCCCAAACAGGGTGTGTGCTAATCTTTTTGTGTCTTTTGTGCTTGCAGGAAGAAGTCCTTTCTGTTCTCTGCACTCTACGCTGCCTTTATCCTCGGGGGCCGCCATGTCATGAAACAGAGGGAGAAGTTTGAGCTGAGGAAACCACTGGTGCTATGGTCGCTCACACTTGCTGTATTTAGGTGAGAAAGCATGGACATTACGGTAGCCGAAAACAGAAATTTAAGAAAGTAGGAAAAGCTTTATTAAATAGGCGATCAGTGTGTCCAGGAAATCCAAGCTAATATTGAACACTTTTTTTGACATTGGCTTGGAGAGTTCTTAGGTGAGTTCTTATTTCTGTTAAACTCTCTTTCCTTTAGTATTTTTGGTGCCATTCGTACTGGGAGCTACATGACATACATCCTCATGACAAAAGGGCTTAAACAGTCAGTTTGTGACCAGAGCTTCTACAACGGGCCAGTCAGCAAGTTCTGGGCATACGCCTTTGTACTCAGTAAAGCACCAGAACTAGGTAAGTAAGTCTTTTTATGGCAGAATACGTATATATGAATTATACATGTTATTTTCCAATAAACATCGCCCTGATAAGCTCTGAAGTTATGTGAAGTTGAAAAAGTACAATCATCAATTCATTACAAAGGTTTTGATGTCAAAGTGTGATGAAGCATAAAACTGAATGTTTCCAAGATGTAACCTCAAATATCGCATGCTTCAGCTGGTTCACAGTGCTGGCAGTTTGCCACCATGTCAAACATGAGTATGTGTACTACCGTTCATCAAGTGTGAATGGATAAAACATAAGCTCACATTACGGAGCATAAAAATGATACAGTGATGAGGATTCCTGAGACTTGCTGAAGTCTGTGAATTCAGCTATAATGTAAACAGACTGTTTGAAACCCTGGCAACCACCGAAACAAAATACATAACTAGGACCCCGTTGGGGCACTGGCGGGCCCGAGCTGTGTCGCGCCCCCCCCCCAACGCGCTGCCTCCCCGTCCCATTTGTGTCCTCTGGCCATCGCCCTCTCTGGTAACGCCCATCACTGCAAAGACCCTTTTCCTTCATCGGCGTTTGCTGTTCTTCCTGCCAGTGCGTGTTGCTTTCACTTACACTTGCCACAGCCAGCCTCTTGAGTGCCTAGCCTATTGGATATCACTGTCACCTACTCAGGACAGTCATTATTAATACTTTGTTTTTTAATTTCACATTAATTTCCATATTGTATAAACAACTGGAAAAAACTTGAGCCCCTGCCCCTGTATAATCATGTGCACGTCTCTGTTCTAGCTCTAAGGTGAATCTTCACTGCTCATGTTCTCCTCAGAAGCAGTCACCTCATTCCCCTCAGGTTACTGTACACATGCACCAACTGCCTGCTTCAGGTTTGGATGGAGCTTCATGGTTGTCTTTTGGAGAAATGACCAGTCAAGTTGTGTTTGAAATTTGATTTTTTTCAGGGGCAAAAGGAGCCTCTGCATTCTTGTCAAATATGTAAATAGCATGTTTTTGCAGGTGCTAAAAACCAGACTCTGAGTGTGTGTGTGTGTGTGTGTGTGTGTGTGTGTGTGTGCGTGTGTGTGTGTCTGTGTGTGCGTTCAAGTCACATGACATATTTAACCGGATGTAGCTGCAAGACGGAGCCTCGTTGACTCCGTTTCAACTTATCTCAAAAGTGAGGACCTCAACCTATATACCAGTTTTTAAATTGTGTTGATAGGCCAAATAAAACCAGAGTTATGATAAATTATGTCCGCGATACTTTTTTTCTGCTTATTTTGATCACGTTCGGCGCTCGATCGCGCTGTATGAGACAGGAAAACATAGCATGCAGACATTAGCGACAGGTCTTACAGGCGGAAAAGGCTTGCCAAAGGAAAAAAAAAACACACCACAACATCTCTCCTATTGGTGGAAAACTTCACCACAACAACCAATCCAAAATTATATGGTGACTGATTGACAAGGGGCGGGCGCTTACGTTCTTCCTGCAATATGAGAAGGGAGGGAGGGACTCTCAGCAGGGATGCAGTCTGGGACACGTAGTTGCAAACCTAGCGACTTTGTTGTTAGATTCAATGACTTTTCAGACCCCCTAACGACTTTTTTTTTTAGAAAGAAAGTGACTTTTATCGACTTCTTCTGGAGTTTAGAGACTCTGACATGAAGCAGGCTTTCCTTACTGAGGAGTTAGCAACGCTGCTAAGGGTGCAGAGCCACACATGCGCTCAGAGCTCTGCATGGGAGACTGAAGCTGACAGAGCTGCAGCAGTTAGCAGGTTTCACCCTCAGAGACCACCAGGGGTTCATGTTGAGGCATTTTCAGTTTTTTTTTTTTTTTTTTGCCATAGACACTGTCAACACAATCTGCAGTTACACTAACAAAAATGCTGCAAAAAACAAAGAATTATGGAAAAATTACACATGGACTAACATAGAGGAGGATATACACAAGTTTTTTACATCATGTTTTACATCATGCATCATTTACATCATGTTTTTTTGTAGTGGCATAAATAAAAAGTGACATTTGTGAGACTATACAGTGTTTTGTAAATAATTTTACAAAGAACACCTGGGCCATTGCCTGCATTTTGATGTAAATAGAGGTAAATTACTATGTTCTTTGTTAAAAATTTGCATATGTTTTGAAGTTTACAATTTTTATTTGAAGTTTAAGTTTTAAAAACAGTTCATCACACATATTTGTGGTTTTCACAGTAAAAACGTTACTTTTTTCCACTCGGATTTTATGTTTTGTGTGTGAATTTGGGTCCAATGTGTAAATATAGTATGTCAAAATGATAAAATAACTGTAAATTGACACAGGTGAGGTTGTGCTGAAAAAAATGATACCAGGCAAGGCAAGGTAAAAATTTTGTAAGAGGAAATATAAAGGTAAAATCTAAAGTAGTCAAAAACGGCCAATAGTGACTCACAGACTCCACAGACAAGTCCCTTTGGCGCCACTCAGTGGGCAAAACTACTTTGTCTACTGTAATGTATATTTGGGTCATCTTTGGCGCCCCCTAAAACGTAAACCGTGGGGTGCAGCGTCATGATTTTTACAACTTTGAATGGCCATGGAGTGTAGATTGGCCTGAGCAAATTTGGTGTCAGTGGGACGAAAGCCTTAGGAGGAGTTAGCGAAATTCCAATGTGTGCGAATCGGCAAAAAATGCAAAATAGCCCTTTTACCGTACATTATACAGATACGCGCTCTTTGACTTTTTCGTAGATCTAATTGAGATACACATGATTGTCAATTTTTGTGTCATTTTGCCAAAGCGTACAGGCGTGACAGTCAACAATGTGTATTTTCACCTTAGGGGACAAGAAAAAATGGACTTTTTTCTCCTGCCATGGGGGGGCGCTCTTTTAGGGAGTAAAAATTCCTTCACAAATGTGTTGATGGCTGGACATTGCATCATCCTAGAAAACTTGGAGGCCAGTGAGGACAAAAATAAAAAGTTATAAGACTTTTAAAAATGTGGATTTTTGGGTTATCTTTGGCGCCCCCTAGAACGTAAACCGTGGGGTGCAGCGTCATGATTTGAATAACTTTTAATGGCCATGGGGTGTAGATTGGCCTGAGCAAATGTGGTGCCGGTGGAACGAAAGCCTTCGGAGGAGTTAGCGAAATTCCAATGTGTGCGAATCGGCAAAAAATGCGGAATAACCCTTTAACCGTACATTTGACAGATACGCGCGCATTGACTTTTTTGTAGATCTTATTGAGATACATGTGTGTGTCAATTTTTGTGTCATTTTGACAAAGCGTACAGGCGTGACACTCAACAATGTGTATTTTCACCTTAGGGGACAAGAAAAAATGGACTTTTTTCTCCTGCCATGGGGGGGCGCTCTTTTGGGGAGTAAAAATTCCTTCACAAATGTGTTGATGGCTGGACATTGCATCATCCTAGAAAACTTGGAGGCCAGTGAGGGCAAAAATAAAAAGTTATAAGACTTTTAAATATGTGGATTTTAGGGTTATCTTTGGCGCCCCCTAGAACCTAAACCGTGGGGTGCAGCGTCATGATTTGAATAACTTTTAATGGCCATGGGGTGTAGATTGGCCTGAGCAAATGTGGTGCCGGTGGAACGAAAGCCTTCGGAGGAGTTAGCGAAATTCCAATGTGTGCGGATCGGCAAAAAATGCGAAATAACCCTTTAACCGTACATTTGACAGATACGCCCGCACTGACTTTTTTGTAGATCTTATTGAGATACATGTGTGTGTCAAATTTTGTGTCATTTTGACAAAGCGTACAGGCGTGACACTCAATAGTGTGAATTTTCACCTTAGGGGGCGCTATGGAGCCATTTTGCATTTTCTTGTTTGGGCGACTTCGGAATATCAAATTTTTCACCAGGCCCGGTCGTCCTGCCAAATTTCATGAGTTTTCGCCAGTGGGAAGTGGGCCATTTTCCAGTTCAAAGGGGAGGAAAAATAATAATAATAATAATAATAACAAAAGAAGGAAACTACAGGAACAAGAGGGCTCTCGCAGCTGCTTAGCAGCTACGCTCGGGCCCTAATAATAACACTAGGGCCCCGTTGGGGCACTGGCGGGCCCGAGCCGTGTCACGCCGCCCCCAGCGCGACCGCCTCCCCCACCCGATCGCGTCACACTCAAGGTCCAAAGATGGTGTGCGCACTTGTTTGTGGTCATTTACCATTATAATGAACGGGAGGCGCAGTTTCTACCAAAACGCTCGCTGCAGAAAAACTCCATGTCCTATTTGAAAAAAGTCTGGACCATGAGTGAGGGCACAAACACAGCTAAGATATATCCAAATGGCAAGTTGCTCCTCCTTTCGCTTTTGCCGAGAGAGCAGTGCGTTTGAGCCATTGAATGATGAACAGGAAAAACTTGACTTTATTCTCCTGCCATGGGGGGGCGCTCTTTTAAAGAGAAAAAACTCCTTCACAAATGTGTTGATGGCTGGACATTGCATCATCCTAGAAAACATGGAGGCCAGTGAGGACAAAAATAAAAAGTTATAAGACTTTTAAATATGTGGATTTTAGGGTTATCTTTGGCCCCCCTAGAACCTAAACCGTGGGGTGCAGCGTCATGATTTGAATAACTTTTAATGGCCATGGGGTGTAGATTGGCCTGAGCAAATGTGGTGCCGGTGGAACGAAAGCCTTCGGAGGAATTAGCGAAATTCCAATGTGTGCGAATCTGCAAAAAATGCGAAATAACCCTTTAACCGTACATTTTACAGATACGTGGCCATTGACTTTTTCGAAGATCTTATTGAAATACACGTGTATGTAAAATTTTGTGTCAATACGACAAAACATACAGGCGTAGCACTCAACAATGTGTATTTTCACCTTAGTGGACAAGAAAAAATTGACTTTTTTCTCCTGCCATGGGGGGCGCTCTTTTGCCGAGTAAAAATTCCTTCACAAATGTGTTGATGGCTGGACATTGCATCATCCTAGAAAACTTGGAGGCCAGTGGGGACAAAAATAAAAAGTTATAAGACTTTTAAATATGTGGATTTTACGGTTATCTTTGGCTCCCCCTAGAACCTAAACCGTGGGGTGCAGCGTCATGATTTGAATAACTTTTAATGGCCATGGGGTGTAGATTGGCCTGAGCAAATGTGGTGCCGGTGGAACGAAAGCCTTCGGAGGAGTTAGCGAAATTCCAATGTGTGCGGATCGGCAAAAAATGCGGAATAACCCTTTAACCGTACATTTGACAGATACGCGCGCATTGACTTTTTCGTAGATCTTATTGAGATACATGTGTGTGTCAATTTTTGTGTCATTTTGCCAAAGCGTACAGGTGTTACACTCAACAATGTGTATTTTCACCTTAGGGGACAAGAAAAAATGGACTTTTTTCTCCTGCCATGGGGGGCGCTCTTTTGGGGAGTAAAAATTCCTTCACAAATGTGTTGATGGCTGGACATTGCATCATCCTAGAAAACTTGGAGGCCAGTGAGGGCAAAAATAAAAAGTTATAAGACTTTTAAATATGTGGATCTTAGGGTTATCTTTGGCGCCCCCTAGAACCTAAACCGTGGGGTGCAGCGTCATGATTTGAATAACTTTTAATGGCCATGGGGTGTAGATTGGCCTGAGCAAATGTGGTGCCGGTGGAACGAAAGCCTTCGGAGGAGTTAGCGAAATTCCAATGTGTGCGGATCGGCAAAAAATGCGAAATAACCCTTTAACCGTACATTTGACAGATACGCCCGCACTGACTTTTTTGTAGATCTTATTGAGATACATGTGTGTGTCAATTTTTGTGTCATTTTGACAAAGCGTACAGGCGTGACAGTCAATAGTGTGAATTTTCACCTTAGGGGGCGCTATGGAGCCATTTTGCATTTTCTTGTTTGGGCGACTTCGGAATATCAAATTTTTCACCAGGCCCGGTCGTCCTGCCAAATTTCATGAGTTTTCGCCAGTGGGAAGTGGGCCATTTTCCAGTTCAAAGGGGAGGAAAAATAATAATAACTAGGGCCCCGTTGGGGCACTGGCGGGCCCGAGCCGTGTCACGCCGCCCCCAGCGCGACCGCCTCCCCCACCCGATCGCGTCACACTCAAGGTCCAAAGATGGTGTGCGCACTTGTTTGTGGTCATTTACCATTATAATGAACGGGAGGCGCAGTTTCTACCAAAACGCTCGCTGCAGAAAAACTCCATGTCCTATTTGAAAAAAGTCTGGACCATGAGTGAGGGCACAAACACAGCTAAGATATATCCAAATGGCAAGTTGCTCCTCCTTTCGCTTTTGCCGAGAGAGCAGTGCGTTTGAGCCATTGAATGATGAACAGGAAAAAATGGACTTTTTTCTCCTGCCATGGGGGGGCGCTCTTTTGGGGAGTAAAAATTCCTTCACAAATGTGTTGATGGCTGGACATTGCATCATCCTAGAAAACATGGAGGCCAGTGAGGACAAAAATAAAAAGTTATAAGACTTTTAAATATGTGGATTTTAGGGTTATATTTGGCGCCCCCTAGAACCTAAACCGTGGGGTGCAGCGTCATGATTTGAATAACTTTTAATGGCCATGGGGTGTAGATTGGCCTGAGCAAATGTGGTGCCGGTGGAACGAAAGCCTTCGGAGGAATTAGCGAAATTCCAATGTGTGCGAATCTGCAAAAAATGCGAAATAACCCTTTAACCGTACATTTTACAGATACGTGGCCATTGACTTTTTCGAAGATCTTATGTAAATACACGTGTATGTAAAATTTTGTGTCAATACGACAAAACATACAGGCGTAGCATTCAACAATGTGTATTTTCACCTTAGTGGACAAGAAAAAATTGACTTTTTTCTCCTGCCATGGGGGGCGCTCTTTTGCCGAGTAAAAATTCCTTCACAAATGTGTTGATGGCTGGACATTGCATCATCCTAGAAAACTTGGAGGCCAGTGGGGACAAAAATAAAAAGTTATAAGACTTTTAAATATGTGGATTTTACGGTTATCTTTGGCTCCCCCTAGAACCTAAACCGTGGGGTGCAGCGTCATGATTTGAATAACTTTTAATGGCCATGGGGTGTAGATTGGCCTGAGCAAATGTGGTGCCGGTGGAACGAAAGCCTTCGGAGGAGTTAGCGAAATTCCAATGTGTGCGGATCGGCAAAAAATGCGGAATAACCCTTTGACCATACATTTGACAGATACGCGCGCATTGACTTTTTCGTAGATCTTATTGAGATACATGTGTGTGTCAATTTTTGTGTCATTTTGCCAAAGCGTACAGGTGTTACACTCAACAATGTGTATTTTCACCTTAGGGGACAAGAAAAAATGGACTTTTTTCTCCTGCCATGGGGGGGCGCTCTTTTGGGGAGTAAAAATTCCTTCACAAATGTGTTGATGGCTGGACATTGCATCATCCTAGAAAACTTGGAGGCCAGTGAGGGCAAAAATAAAAAGTTATAAGACTTTTAAATATGTGGATCTTAGGGTTATCTTTGGCGCCCCCTAGAACCTAAACCGTGGGGTGCAGCGTCATGATTTGAATAACTTTTAATGGCCATGGGGTGTAGATTGGCCTGAGCAAATGTGGTGCCGGTGGAACGAAAGCCTTCGGAGGAGTTAGCGAAATTCCAATGTGTGCGGATCGGCAAAAAATGCGAAATAACCCTTTAACCGTACATTTGACTGATACGCCCGCACTGACTTTTTTGTAGATCTTATTGAGATACATGTGTGTGTCAATTTTTGTGTCATTTTGACAAAGCGTACCGGCGTGACAGTGAATAGTGTGAATTTTCACCTTAGGGGGCGCTATGGAGCCATTTTGCATTTTCTTGTTTGGGCGACTTCGGAATATCAAATTTTTCACCAGGCCCGGTCGTCCTGCCAAATTTCATGAGTTTTCGCCAGTGGGAAGTGGGCCATTTTCCAGTTCAAAGGGGAGGAAAAATAATAATAATAATAATAACAAAAGAAGGAAACTACAGGAACAAGAGGGCTCTCGCAGCTGCTTAGCAGCTACGCTCGGGCCCTAATAATAACTAGGACCCCGTTGGGGCACTGGCGGGCCCGAGCTGTGTCGCGCCCCCCCCCCAACGCGCTGCCTCCCCGTCCCATTTGTGTCCTCTGGCCATCGCCCTCTCTGGTAACGCCCATCACTGCAAAGACCCTTTTCCTTCATCGGCGTTTGCTGTTCTTCCTGCCAGTGCGTGTTGCTTTCACTTACACTTGCCACAGCCAGCCTCTTGAGTGCCTAGCCTATTGGATATCACTGTCACCTACTCAGGACAGTCATTATTAATACTTTGTTTTTTAATTTCACATTAATTTCCATATTGTATAAACAACTGGAAAAAACTTGAGCCCCTGCCCCTGTATAATCATGTGCACGTCTCTGTTCTAGCTCTAAGGTGAATCTTCACTGCTCATGTTCTCCTCAGAAGCAGTCACCTCATTCCCCTCAGGTTACTGTACACATGCACCAACTGCCTGCTTCAGGTTTGGATGGAGCTTCATGGTTGTCTTTTGGAGAAATGACCAGTCAAGTTGTGTTTGAAATTTGATTTTTTTCAGGGGCAAAAGGAGCCTCTGCATTCTTGTCAAATATGTAAATAGCATGTTTTTGCAGGTGCTAAAAACCAGACTCTGAGTGTGTGTGTGTGTGTGTGTGTGTGTGTGTGTGTGTGCGTGTGTGTGTGTCTGTGTGTGCGTTCAAGTCACATGACATATTTAACCGGATGTAGCTGCAAGACGGAGCCTCGTTGACTCCGTTTCAACTTATCTCAAAAGTGAGGACCTCAACCTATATACCAGTTTTTAAATTGTGTTGATAGGCCAAATAAAACCAGAGTTATGATAAATTATGTCCGCGATACTTTTTTTCTGCTTATTTTGATCACGTTCGGCGCTCGATCGCGCTGTATGAGACAGGAAAACATAGCATGCAGACATTAGCGACAGGTCTTACAGGCGGAAAAGGCTTGCCAAAGGAAAAAAAAAACACACCACAACATCTCTCCTATTGGTGGAAAACTTCACCACAACAACCAATCCAAAATTATATGGTGACTGATTGACAAGGGGCGGGCGCTTACGTTCTTCCTGCAATATGAGAAGGGAGGGAGGGACTCTCAGCAGGGATGCAGTCTGGGACACGTAGTTGCAAACCTAGCGACTTTGTTGTTAGATTCAATGACTTTTCAGACCCCCTAACGACTTTTTTTTAGAAAGAAAGTGACTTTTATCGACTTCTTCTGGAGTTTAGAGACTCTGACATGAAGCAGGCTTTCCTTACTGAGGAGTTAGCAACGCTGCTAAGGGTGCAGAGCCACACATGCGCTCAGAGCTCTGCATGGGAGACTGAAGCTGACAGAGCTGCAGCAGTTAGCAGGTTTCACCCTCAGAGACCACCAGGGGTTCATGTTGAGGCATTTTCAGTTTTTTTTTTTTTTTTTTTTGCCATAGACACTGTCAACACAATCTGCAGTTACACTAACAAAAATGCTGCAAAAAACAAAGAATTATGGAAAAATTACACATGGACTAACATAGAGGAGGATATACACAAGTTTTTTACATCATGTTTTACATCATGCATCATTTACATCATGTTTTTTTGTAGTGGCATAAATAAAAAGTGACATTTGTGAGACTATACAGTGTTTTGTAAATAATTTTACAAAGAACACCTGGGCCATTGCCTGCATTTTGATGTAAATAGAGGTAAATTACTATGTTCTTTGTTAAAAATTTGCATATGTTTTGAAGTTTACAATTTTTATTTGAAGTTTAAGTTTTAAAAACAGTTCATCACACATATTTGTGGTTTTCACAGTAAAAACGTTACTTTTTTCCACTCGGATTTTATGTTTTGTGTGTGAATTTGGGTCCAATGTGTAAATATAGTATGTCAAAATGATAAAATAACTGTAAATTGACACAGGTGAGGTTGTGCTGAAAAAAATGATACCAGGCAAGGCAAGGTAAAAATTTTGTAAGAGGAAATATAAAGGTAAAATCTAAAGTAGTCAAAAACGGCCAATAGTGACTCACAGACTCCACAGACAAGTCCCTTTGGCGCCACTCAGTGGGCAAAACTACTTTGTCTACTGTAATGTATATTTGGGTCATCTTTGGCGCCCCCTAAAACGTAAACCGTGGGGTGCAGCGTCATGATTTTTACAACTTTGAATGGCCATGGAGTGTAGATTGGCCTGAGCAAATTTGGTGTCAGTGGGACGAAAGCCTTAGGAGGAGTTAGCGAAATTCCAATGTGTGCGAATCGGCAAAAAATGCAAAATAGCCCTTTTACCGTACATTATACAGATACGCGCTCTTTGACTTTTTCGTAGATCTAATTGAGATACACATGATTGTCAATTTTTGTGTCATTTTGCCAAAGCGTACAGGCGTGACAGTCAACAATGTGTATTTTCACCTTAGGGGACAAGAAAAAATGGACTTTTTTCTCCTGCCATGGGGGGGCGCTCTTTTAGGGAGTAAAAATTCCTTCACAAATGTGTTGATGGCTGGACATTGCATCATCCTAGAAAACTTGGAGGCCAGTGAGGACAAAAATAAAAAGTTATAAGACTTTTAAAAATGTGGATTTTTGGGTTATCTTTGGCGCCCCCTAGAACGTAAACCGTGGGGTGCAGCGTCATGATTTGAATAACTTTTAATGGCCATGGGGTGTAGATTGGCCTGAGCAAATGTGGTGCCGGTGGAACGAAAGCCTTCGGAGGAGTTAGCGAAATTCCAATGTGTGCGAATCGGCAAAAAATGCGGAATAACCCTTTAACCGTACATTTGACAGATACGCGCGCATTGACTTTTTTGTAGATCTTATTGAGATACATGTGTGTGTCAATTTTTGTGTCATTTTGACAAAGCGTACAGGCGTGACACTCAACAATGTGTATTTTCACCTTAGGGGACAAGAAAAAATGGACTTTTTCTCCTGCCATGGGGGGGCGCTCTTTTGGGGAGTAAAAATTCCTTCACAAATGTGTTGATGGCTGGACATTGCATCATCCTAGAAAACTTGGAGGCCAGTGAGGGCAAAAATAAAAAGTTATAAGACTTTTAAATATGTGGATTTTAGGGTTATCTTTGGCGCCCCCTAGAACCTAAACCGTGGGGTGCAGCGTCATGATTTGAATAACTTTTAATGGCCATGGGGTGTAGATTGGCCTGAGCAAATGTGGTGCCGGTGGAACGAAAGCCTTCGGAGGAGTTAGCGAAATTCCAATGTGTGCGGATCGGCAAAAAATGCGAAATAACCCTTTAACCGTACATTTGACAGATACGCCCGCACTGACTTTTTTGTAGATCTTATTGAGATACATGTGTGTGTCAAATTTTGTGTCATTTTGACAAAGCGTACAGGCGTGACACTCAATAGTGTGAATTTTCACCTTAGGGGGCGCTATGGAGCCATTTTGCATTTTCTTGTTTGGGCGACTTCGGAATATCAAATTTTTCACCAGGCCCGGTCGTCCTGCCAAATTTCATGAGTTTTCGCCAGTGGGAAGTGGGCCATTTTCCAGTTCAAAGGGGAGGAAAAATAATAATAATAATAACTAGGACCCCGTTGGGGCACTGGCGGGCCCGAGCCGTGTCGCGTCCCCCTCCCAACGTGCTGCCTCCCTGTCCCATTTGTGTCCTCTGGCCATCGCCCTCTCTGGTAACGCCCATCACTGCAAAGACCCTTTTCCTTCATCGGCGTTTGCTGTTCTTCTTGCCAGTGCGTGTTGCTTTCACTTACACTTACCACAGCCAGCCTCGTGAGTGCCTAGCCTATTGGATATCACTGTCACCTACACAGGACAGTCATTACCTTTCTATTAATACTTTGTGTTTTAATTTCACATTAATTTCCATATTGTATAAACGACTGGAAAAAACTTGAGCCCCTGCCCCTGTATAATCATGTGCATGTCTCTGTTCTAGCTCCAAGGTGAATCTTCACTGCTCATGTTCTCCTCAGAAGCACTCACCTCACTCCCCTCAGGTTACTGTACACATGCACCAACTGCCTGCTTCAGGTTTGGATGGAGCTTCATGGTTGTCTTTTGGAGAAATGACCAGTCAAGTTGTGTTTGAAATTTGATTTTTTTCAGGGGCAAAAGGAGCCTCTGCATTCTTGTCAAATATGTAAATAGCATGTTTTTGCAGGTGCTAAAAACCAGACTCTGAGTGTGTGTGTGTGTGTGTGTGTGTGTGTGTGTGTGTGTGTGTGTGTGTGTGTGCGTGTGTGTCTGTGTGTGCGTTCAAGTCACATGACATATTTAACCGGATGTAGCTGCAAGACGGAGCCTCGTTGACTCTCCGTTTCAACTTATCTTAAAAGTGAGGACCTCAACCTATATACCAGTTTTTAAATTGTGTTGATAGGCCAAATAAAACCAGAGTTATGATAAATTATGTCCGCGATACTTTTTTTCTGCTTATTTTGATCACGTTCGGCGCTCGATCGCACTGTATGAGACAGGAAAACATAGCATGCAGACATTAGCGACAGGTCTTACAGGCGGAAAAGGCTTGCCAAAAGAAAAAACACACCACAACATCTCTCCTATTGGTGGAAAACTTCACCACAACAACCAATCCAAAATTATATGGTGACTGATTGACAAGGGGCGGGCGCTTACGTTCTTCCTGCAACATGAGAAGGGAGGGAGGGACTCTCAGCAGGGATGCAGTCTGGGACACGTAGTTGCAAACCTAGCGACTTTGTTGTTAGATTCAATGACTTTTCAGACCCCCTAACGACTTTTTTTTAGAAAGAAAGGGACTTTTATCGACTTCTTCTTCTGGAGTTCAGAGACTCTGACATGAAGCAGGCTTTCCTTACTGAGGAGTTAGCAACGCTGCTAAGGGTGCAGAGCCACACATGCGCTCAGAGCTCTGCATGGGAGACTGAAGCTGACAGAGCTGCAGCAGTTAGCAGGTTTCACCCTAATAGACCACCAGTGGTTCATGTTGAGGCATTTTAAATTTTTTTTTTTTTGTGCCATAGACACTGTCAGCACAATCTGCAGTTACACTAACAAAAATGCTGCAAAAAACAAAGAATTATGGAAAAATTACACATGGACTGACATAGAGGAGGATCTACACAAGTTTTTTACATCATGTTTAACATCATGCATCATTTACATCATGTTTTTTTGTAGTGGCATAAATAAAAAGTGACATTTGTGAAACTATACAGTGTTTTGTAAATAATTTTACAAAGAACGCCTGGGCCATTGCCTGCATTTTGATGTAAATAGAGGTAAATCACTATGTTCTTTGTTAAAAATTTGCATATGTTTTGAAGTTTACAATTTTTATTTGAAGATTAAGTTTTAAAAACAGTTCATCACACATATTTGTGGTTTTCACAGTAAAAATGTTACATTTTTCCACTCGGATTTTATGTTTTGTGTGTGAATTTGGGTCCATTGTGTAAATTCAGTATGTCAACATGATAAAATAACTGTAAATTCGCACAGGTGAGGTTGTGCTGAAAAAAAATGATACCAGGCAAGGCACGTGATTGTCAAATTTTGTGTCAATATGACAAAGCGTATAGGCGTGAATCTCAACAATATGTATTTTCACCTTAGGGGACAAGAAAAAATTGACTTTTTTCTCCTGCCATGGGGGGGCGCTCTTTTGGGGAGTAAAAATTCCTTCACAAATGTGTTGATGGCTGGACATTGCATCATCCTAGAAAACTTGGAGGCCAGTGAGGACAAAAATAAAAAGTTATAAGACTTTTAAATATGTGGATTTTAGGGTTATCTTTGGCGCCCCCTAGAACCTAAACCGTGGGGTGCAGCGTCATGATTTGAATAACTTTAAATGGCCGTGGGGTGTTGATTGGCCTGAGCAAATGTGGTGCCGGTGGAACGAAAGCCTTAGGAGGAGTTAGCCACATTCCAATGTGTGCGGATCGGCAAAAAATGCGGAATAACCCTTTAACCGTACATTTGACAGATACGCGCGCATTGACTTTTTCGTAGATCTTATTGAGTTACATGTGTGTGTCAATTTTTGTGTCATTTTGACAAAGTGTATAGGCGTGACACTCAACAATGTGTATTTTCACCTTAGGGGACAAGAAAAAATGGACTTTTTTCTCCTGCCATGGGGGGGCGCTCTTTTAGGGAGTAAAAATTCCTTCACAAATGTGTTGATGGCTGGACATTGCATCATCCTAGAAAACTTGGAGGCCAGTGAGGACAAAAATAAAAAGTTAAAAGACTTTTAAAAATGTGGATTTTTGGGTTATCTTTGGCGCCCCCTAGAACGTAAACCGTGGGGTGCAGCGTCATGATTTGAATAACTTTTAATGGCCATGGGGTGTAATTTGGCCTGAGCAAATGTGGTGCCGGTGGAACGAAAGCCTTCGGAGGAGTTAGCGAAATTCCAATGTGTGCGAATCGGCAAAAAATGCGGAATAACCCTTTAACCGTACATTAGACAGATACGCGCGCATGGACTTTTTTGTAGATCTTATTGAGATACATGTGTGTGTCAATTTTTCTGTCATTTTGCCAAATCGTACAGGCGTGACACTCAACAATGTGTATTTTCACCTTAGGGGACAAGAAAAAATGGACTTTTTTCTCCTGCCATGGGGGGGCGCTCTTTTGGGGAGTAAAAATTCCTTCACAAATGTGTTGATGGCTGGACATTGCATCATCCTAGAAAACTTGGAGGCCAGTGAGGGCAAAAATAAAAAGTTATAAGACTTTTAAAAATGTGGATTTTAGGGTTATCTTTGGCGCCCCCTAGAACCTAAACCGTAGGGTGCAGCGTCATGATTTGAATAACTTTTAATGGCCATGGGGTGTAGATTGGCCTGAGCAAATGTGGTGCCGGTGGAACGAAAGCCTTCGGAGGAGTTAGCGAAATTCCAATGTGTGCGGATCGGCAAAAAATGCGAAATAACCCTTTAACCGTACATTAGACAGATACGCGCGCACTGACTTTTTTGTAGATCTTATTGAGATACATGTGTGTGTCAATTTTTGTGTCATTTTGACAAAGCGTACAGGCGTGACAGTCAATAGTGTGAATTTTCACCTTAGGGGGCGCTATGGAGCCATTTTGCATTTTCTTGTTTGGGCGACTTCGGAATATCAAATTTTTCACCAGGCCCGGTCGTCCTGCCAAATTTCATGAGTTTTCGCCAGTGGGAAGTGGGCCATTTTCCAGGTCAAAGGGGAGGAAAAAGAAAAAAGAAACAAAGAAAAACCACTTGGGGAATAATAGGGCTCTCGCAGCTGCTTAGCAGCTACGCTCGGGCCCTAATAATAACAAAAGAAGGAAACTACAGGAACAAGAGGGCTCTCGCAGCTGCTTAGCAGCTACGCTCGGGCCCTAATAACAAAAGAAGGAAACTACAGGAACAAGAGGGCTCTCGCAGCTGCTTAGCAGCTACGCTCGGGCCCTAAAAAGACAAGAGTTAGCCTCTTGTGGAGCTATGAAGAGGAAACATTTACTTCACCTAAATTATATCAGTTTATCATTAAGAGTAACTGAGTGTTGAGTAGGAAACTCTGCAACATGAGATAAATGGGTACGATAATGCAGCTGCTAATGCCATATGCTGGGTTTATTTATCAGGAAGGTGTTAAAGCTGTTTCAAAAATTGCATAACGTGTCTCTGCACCAGCTTCTGTGACTTTGCACGATTATAATGGCGTCTTTCCTTTTCCACTTGTCCCTGTATCATTCCCCTCTTTTTCATTATTCCCCTCCTCCCCATCCTCTCCAAAACAATCCACCTTCCTCCTTCATTCCTGCAGGTGACACTCTCTTCATCGTCCTGAGGAAGCAGAAGCTCATCTTCCTCCACTGGTACCACCACATCACCGTGCTGCTCTACTCCTGGTACTCCTACAAAGACATGGTGGCCGGCGGCGGCTGGTTCATGACTATGAACTACTTGGTCCACGCCGTCATGTACTCTTACTACGCCTTACGAGCGGCCGGCTTCAAGGTTTCCCGCAAGTTCGCCATGTTCATCACTCTGACCCAGATCACCCAGATGCTGATGGGCTGTGTGGTCAACTACCTGGTGTACTCGTGGATGCAGCAGGGCCAGGAGTGTCCATCCCACATGCAGAACATTGTGTGGTCCTCCCTCATGTACCTCAGCTACTTTGTGCTCTTTGTCCAGTTCTTCATCGAGGCCTACATGAGCAAGTCTAAATCATTGGCTGCGGCTGCTGCCAAGAAGAGAGAATAAACAAATGCCTCACGTTTGTGAAGAAGGGTGATCATGAAGAAAAAGGGAGTAGGAAATGAAGAGCAGGGACCAGTGACTTGAGAGAGTCTGTTAGGGTTGTTGGAATGAAAGATGGATAATGGTGAAGGTGGTGTGGACACTTAGGGAGTCAGGGTAGGGGCAGGGGTGGGAGGGTCAAAAACGATTGGTCGTGTTTGTGCTTGAGCATCACTATTAATGTGCAGATCTAAAACCCCTCGAGGGAAGCGACGTCTCCATCGAGGGATGCTGAGAAAGCAGCGCCGCCATGATCAGAAGCCATCACAAGTTGTCTGCCTGAAGTTTAAAAGCCCCTTTTTAAATTCATTGTGAATAGTTTTTAAAACCTAGGATAACAAGGACAAAAATTACCAGATAAAACCATACATCTGCAAAAAGCATTCGTTTACTTGATATTAAAAAAGGAAATTAATCTGTACATATGAAGATGGATGGAGTCAGAGTTAACTTAAGCCATCTGAGTATGTTTTTGTCTGTCTGTCGTCAGTGTTTGTCTTTGTTTTGATCTGTCAAAGGAAAAATTAAAGACACTGGTGAGTGTGCGAAGCTGCTGGGTGTTGGAGGTTGAACTGATGGGGTGAACGGCACTGTTTCTTCTGTGTCTTACATTGCAAAAATGTGATTTTCTCAGGTCTTAGGTTATCTCTTTCTTACTATAATATGCATATCAAGATAAAGTAGAAATGTTTAACATCAGTACCGATTTACAGTATGGCCAAAATTCATCCAGTATGCCTGATTGTATGAATGAAGCTGATTGGACTGACTGGCTCAGATACTCACACTGCTCCTGGGCGTGATGGGAAACAGAAGCTGACAGTGCCCTGCTTCACCACTCGTCACGACCTCGCAGAAGTTGCCGACCACACTCGGGAAATGACTTGCCATTGATTTTTAAATGCTTCTCTGCGTCAAAGGGTACCTACCAGTGAACAAAACGCGTCTGTTGAACACTGAAAGCTTAAAGGACAAACATATTTATGTTTAGCAAAAAAAAGGAAAAAAAGGAAAAAAATCAAACATGCAAATTGTTAAAATCTGCTGTATTGACTCAAAAAATAGTATGTATCTTTAATGGTGTCTGTTGTGCTATTGTGCATTTGCACTGTATCAATGTCAAAAACCTGTTGCTGAAAAACTTAATGTATGAACAAAGAGTGCAAAAATGTGACATACCGGCATGCCTGTGGTGTTTTTTTTTTTGGTCTCTCGGTTGCAAAATCTTGATGTTGCAGTTCATCCTTTTTTGAATCAGAACCTGCAAAAGTCATTTCTGGGGCTCTAGGGCAGATTAACAAGCCTCAAGGTAAGAGTGTGATCATAATTCCCTGTCTTATCGTTCCAGCTGTTGAAATAAGCAGACAGCATACTCTCATTCATGTCACACCTTATGGAATCTTATGTAGCAGCTTCAAAGTATTAAACTAGCAGTCTGTGGGGCAGATATGGTGTCTCATAATCTTTTTTATGGCCCTTAAGATGCTGCCAATATATCAGTCAGGTTTGTCTGCAGTATGAAGAATATGAGGAGGTGGATATCTAGTCATTATCTGCACATAAACTTGGGTTGCTCTCCAAAAATGCCACAAAGTGTATTTTATAAACCTCTGTGGTGTTTGTTATATTTAGATTTATTTTAAGTAAGATGGTGCAATGACGGGAAAAATAGTATTAAGTGAGATCATTATTGTTATATTTAAAAATTCTATTTAAATGGGAGAAAGGGGTGCATTTATTTATTTGTAGTTAAGATCTTTAAATATGCAAATATGTGCTACTTAGTATGGCAGGGCACCCCAAGTGTTTGCTCTACAGGGCCCTTTTACTGCTGATGTTTAACAGCCCTGCTATTGTCTATCAAGGCTAAAATTTTCTGGTTTTGCTTAAGTCACCTAAGGTTGTGTGTGTGTTAGCGCTGGATAAAAATGGCCAGCAGCAGGTATAAACAGCATGCGTGACTTGAGCAATTAAGCTAATGTCTTAGCCAATTAACCATTTTACAGTTAGTGCTGGACCTTTATACAAGGGTTTACACATCCACTGGACCTGATCTCCCCCTAGTGGTTAAATATCAGGAGTAGATGTAAATACACAAAAAAGCTAAAAAACAAACAAACCAAGAAACAAGGCATCCAATTCTTTAAAGTTAACTATTGTTCCAGTAGAATATTTTATCTTAGTCAATTAAGGCATTAGGTTAATGAAACCCTTAACATCTGGAGCCTTTTAGGGCTCTTATAAAGTTAGTGAAACTAACCTGAATTTCTGAAATTTGATGTTAAACAGAGAGTAACAACCAATATTAATCAGAGTAAAAGTGCTGGAACTGTAACATACACAATTATCAAACATCTATACTTCAACTTTTTTTAAAAAAATTTCTTTATCAGGCACATCCTGCAGCCTACCTAGGCCCATTTTAGAGTCTGGACTCACCTGTTGGTCTCTGCAACCCTTAAATACATGCAAAGTTTGCCTTAAAAAGAAAAAAAAAATAACTGCCTGTCCCTCAGTGTTACAGGTTGAGTTAGATGACAGTAGCCTACATGGAAAACACACTAAAAGTTATGTACCAGGAAAGTACAATTATTTTTATGGTTACAACTGCTTTAACATGCCCTGTAATAGAATCGGTCACATAACATAAGTGATAAAAATAATCTTTTGAACAGACTTTGGTGATAACTTTGGTTAAAAAAAACTAGTCCGTTTTACAGGCAACATGGTAGCCGGAAGTTGAAGCCCACTATGTGAACCACTGCAAACGTCATATCCGGTTAACTATGTTACGCGCATCGAAAAGTATACGAAAGTATACGTTTACGAAAGTATCATTTCGTAAACGACTTTTTAATACTTTATCAATAATTTAGCTGCCAAGTGGATAAAGTGACCAGTGGAAGAACTCCAAGTGTTTTTAAAAAACCAAGGTAAGTGCTGTCAAACAACTTCCAAGTCTTTTAAAGTATTAAACTTCTGTCGTTTATCACTTCACGCTCAGCTCACAGCCGTTAGGAACTATCGGTTGAGTCCGAGCTCATAAAGTCGAACACAGTGGACAACGAGAAATATTGTTTACTTACTGACGAAAGTAGCGAACTTAACCAACACAAGTTTCCTTCTTGTGATAGGCCAATTTAAATTTGTTTGTATGCATTTTTTTAAACTTTTATTTATCCAAATCAGTCCAAATCAGCTCGCTTAATTTCCCCTCCTACAGAAAGCATCGAGGTCAGGTCTGCCAGTATGTTTTAACTTCAGTGCAATCTGTGGTGGAGCACACTCAGTCTTTACATATTTGCATATTACAATTATCAGACCATTCACAACGTACATTTTATGTTTCTGGAAAACCAAAAACCACTCCCAGCAAATTGACATCTAGCCAGGTAACCTCTCCTTGCTTCTTGTCTACGTGCAGAAGCTGTTTAACTCATGGTTGTCCATTGTTGTTCAGGTGTTATCTGGTGCAGTGTCAGCTGCATTAGAAGCAAATATAAAGCTGAACTAGCCTTTGTGGTATCCAATTTTTTTGACTCAGTTTGTCTGCCCAGCCAAAGGTCCTATCTGTGATGTTAATGGAAACCTGTAATGTTGGTGAGGTAAAGGCCTATTTTTCATACATCGTAGACTTAAAAGAGTTTTTTGTCAGCTGTTGTACAGGTGTTTGTTAAAGACCTTATTCCCATGGATTGTTTAGGCTTATTTACCAGTCTCAAACATAACACAACATTATCTGTACTGTACAACAGTACAAGTTATTGCGAAGTGAAATACTCACATGTGTCATACGTTCCCACAAAGAACAGTGTTGTTTGTTTGACAGGATTGTACAGGGAGTCCACTCATGTTTTGGAAACAGAACAGACTTTCACTTTGTTACATCTCATTGTAGGGAATGCTGTTGTTCTGGGTGAGCTGCATATCAAAGCTGAGAGGTTATGTCCTCTTCAGTATCAGTCTACTGAATAAGTATCTGGAGTACACGTGAGCGAGAGGCAGTTGTTATTGGGGACAGGATGTCTCTTTCAACAGTTTCAGCTTCCTCAGTTCAGACTGGCTTTATTTCCATTATTGCCATCTTCACTTGTGTTCTTATCACCACATTATCAACATGCAGTCTAAAAATCTTGCAATTGCAAACTGATTTCCAGTTTATGATGGTAAATGATAGGGACATGCTGGAAATGTTTATCTGCACAGATATTTATTCACAAATGTCTGTATATTCTCAGCATAGTATGACTTGAGTTTTGTTTTGCACCAGTGTGTCCAACTGTATTTGAAGAGGTTAAAGGCCTCAGAAAGCTGTTTTTGAGCCAGTGCTCTGACTCTTATCAGATCTACATTAAGTTTGTTTTTCACAGTCCTAGTAAGATCTGCTACAAAAAGGTTTAAACCCAGGTAATCCCATCTAATAAAGTCTACATCAGCGGGTAGACAGAACCTGCAATACCTACAATCGGTAGCTAATCTTAACTAAGTGAACTTAAGTGTTGAGTGGTTGATGTTATCTGCTGGATTGGTCTTATCCAGCAACTCTTTCTGATGATTGCTGCTTATAACAACTGATAACATCAGTTTATTCTTTTGACTGTGCAAAAGGAAAATTATAATACTTACCCACTTACGTGCATGTGCTTGAGCCTGAATGCACAAGTACATCAATTAGCAATTTATAGAAAGTAAATAAGATGACCTACACACATAGAATATATTAATGACTTTACACTAGTAGAATTCACACATGATATCTAGACCCTAGAATTACAGCAAATCCCCAGTAGGAAGAGATCTTATTTCCATATAGTCAGTAAATGGTTGCCAGCCTGGTATAGAAGAATACATTATATTCATTTTTCAAGAAATATACATCATAGTTCCAAGGCCAACCCTCTGTGTAGTTATTTTTCTTGTGCACCATCGCCATCTACTGGAAGAAACAGGCAAGCCTGAAATATAAAGTGAGGAAAGTTTTCTTTTTAACCATCAGACACAAAATGACTGAATGAATTTGTTATGGAATTTTTCTTCCTTTTAAAATTAATAGGCTGTCATTTATTCTTACAGTGTCTCTAAAAGAGTTAATCTTTATTGAAAGACAGCTCACTGATCATTGTCATTTGTAAAACAATATTCATAGTGTGTTGTGCAAGAAGTAAGAAACAACACAAAACAGAAGAAATGCCACCCCTCAAAAAAAAAAGTTGTAGACATTTTTGATTCTGACAGAAAACAGAATAACCTGCAAGTATTTGTTCAAGAATATTTCATATGATTTGATCCTGTATGATAGTTTATTTTAAAATTCTGAGTATTAAATGCTGAACAGGTTTACAGTTAGTATGCTACCACACACATTAAGTTTTACATTTGCTGTAGAGAGTGTATTTCATTCAATATTAATTCTATTTTCTAGCTTCTCTAAACTATATTTTAAGTTATGGTAAACACTATGAATGGCTGCCATTTACCATAAAACATAAATTGATGTGCTGTAAATGCTCTCTGAATCTACGCTTCAGGAGACAAAACTACCACGGGACTTCAGTTATGGTTCTTTCCTCCCACTTTGGTGTCCTCATAGATTCTGGCTCGTATATCTATGTCCAATGCATGCATAAGGCCTCCCTCCTCTTTTGATTTTAAATCTGCCCAAATCCCCCCAAACTAGAGTTACTCTGTCCTGCTCAAGAGCTGGTGGGACCAAACACTGACCTGAAGGATCAGAGCAAAGCCTTTGAGTGGGTAGCTAATTCCCTCTTTAGCCCTCATCAGCTGTCCTCTGGGCTGGGATGGAGGTGTGAGCAGTAAAGCAAAGCCAGCCCCATCTGGCAGAAAACTACAAATTAGGTAATAGAGGAAGAATGTCAATACTGTAGATTCTTATGTATGTTTTCTGACCTTTAAAAAAACACCTCCCTGCTAATTCTTCTGCTATTATCCAATAATTTCAACACATTTTCTTTAAAACAAACTTACTTTTTCAATTCAATAGCTGTACATTCATGTATTTTGTTAAAATTTGCTGCTTTTCTTTGTCAGTTGACACATTTAATCCCCTGAGAAACCCCCTTAAGATGATTTTTTTGAAGTTTCCTACACCAGAGCCCAACACCAACATTTTAAACTCTTACAACTCCTACTATGTGAATTACAGTGGCAAAATGATGATTTTAAAACTCTCTTATCGATCTTTTGGCTAAATGGGCCCATACTGATGGTTGCTAAGGCAGCCTGTTATCAGAAAGTATGTTTTATAAAACCCATTGAAAAAGAAACAAACATCAATGAAGGTCTCTTTGTCCTCTGAAAAGATCTGTTTTATTTCTAAGTAGATTTTTCAATGTCTTTTTTTTCATTTTCAGTCTCACTTTAAAAAAAAAAGCTTTATTTTTATTACCATCTTTGTATCACGAAATGGTGTTGAACTGGAATCAGAGTCATGACAAGCAAGAGTGGAGAAAGTATACTCAAGTAAAGGTACAGGTACTTCACTAAAAGTCTTCTCTGAAGTCTATGAATCCTCTCTAATAAAAGTATAATATATAATTTTTAACAGTTACTTAAACTCCAAAGTACTTTCTTTGAACCCAAGGGGTGGAAAGTGAGGGGGGTTAAAACAAAGGATAATCAAGTAAAAGTAAAGTGCTTTGCTATAGGAGGGGTTTTGATTCATCAATTGGTCAAATATAGTCAGTTTTATATGAGAGAGGGAGCTCAGTGTACCTAATAAATTGAAAAATAAAAATATATTTACCATAACTGGTAAAACAGCTCCCTTCATGAAAATGATACAAAACTGAAACCCCCGAGGGTCCTGTTACTTACAGTGTCAGTGACTCTATTGCCCCCTGTTGCCCCAATTGAAGAGTAATACAAGATAAATTGACACTGGGCCCAATTTCATCTTTACTTGAAGGCTGATGTGCTTCTGTTTAGAGTGGTGCCCTAACCTATCTGTTAGCCCTAATGGAGACCAATATATAGATAAGTGTGTCTTGCCAGGAAAATCAATATCGATGTGGCCCCTGATGGTTTTTGAGTTTAAGTGCTTTGTTTTCTGCCATTGCCTCGAAACAAAGAGTGAGTGGGTCCTTCTATTAACAATTCCCAGTCAACCTTGAGACAGAGTCCCAGACAGAGAGAGAGATAGAAATAGAAAAAGACAGATGGGGTGGTGGTGGAGGAGGGTGGCAGCATTGGTACCAACGTCACTAGAGCGTTAGATTTGGTGGAGGATCGAGAAGCATCATCAATGGAGCAAGAGCGAGAGCTGTGATAAGAGTGTGATGGGGTGAAACCAGACAGATCCAGCTAAGATTGACCAAAATAATCTTGTAATTATCAGAAAATAATGCCATTAAAAAGGTGTTTTGCAAAGATAAAATTATACAAAACCGAAGTTATTTCATAGCAGTTTTTATTGGTCTAAAATCCTAAAATGGTTAATCAAATGGGTTTCAATTATAAACACTGCACATTTTTTGTGAATATAATTTTATTCCATAAAAAAGAACAAGCTCTTTTTTGCAGTTTTATAACTCCAGTTATCGCACATAGAGGCTGAAAATGATACATTATCAGAGCTGGATACATCATGAATACAAATGCTGGATGATTTACATTTTCACCAAATAAATACGAGCTCTCATTTTCTTTAATTTATGCTTAGCTTGTTTGGATGGATAAACTTACAATGCAAAGAAATCAGACAGAAATGAATGAATAGCGAGATGCCTTCCCTTTCCAAACCAAACAGTCTTATACAATCAATCACTAATCAGCCAGCAATCCTGTTCTGTTTACTCCCATCTTATTTCTAACAGCACAGTCCTCACCAGAGCTTTGAAACAAGTGAATACACCTACATCTTTGTATAAAAATAAATATACACTCTGCTAGACTCTCTCACAGTTTCTAGTGTAAGTTAAGTTACACAAATATGCTCATCCTAATCTAGATATTATCATGCAGGTGTATATGAAGTATTTTCAGTGTGTTTAAGGTTTTCCTCACAGCTGACCGCAAAACAAGCAACAGTAAAAAGTTTCACTATTTTGAAGGTATTGAATACAATCTGAGTGAAATAACTCAGCAGTGTGGAAATGATAATACATCCTCAATTTGCATATGAATTATCAGTTAAAAAGTAATTCATAAACCTAAAAACCAACGTATCCCTTGAACAAACGCAAGCGGTTTAGGGATATGCCGTTTTATTGTTATTACATCAGTATGGTCTTGTAAAATTCTTATAACTTAGTCACTGGTATTGGTAATGGAAATTTCCACTGGTATGCATGACCAATGAGGTGATTCATTAATTATGTGCACAAAAAGACAGTTAATGTGCACAAATGATGAGCCTTAACATGTTGGCTGTATGGAGGAATCTGAAGTGTCTGAAACAGACAGCAAAGTTATCATTGTAAAAGCGTGTAATACTTGCAATTATATTGTGCATCTCAAATATAACGTCCTGCAGCACCAAACAGTTTCTGAAAGTAAGAGTGAAGCCTGTTAAAATATCGTCTTAGGCCTCAGCTTCAGTCATTCCTCAAAGCTATAAAGTATAGCAGCAACCCCACAAAAGAAAGGACCAAAACAACAACAAAACTCATTGCTCTCTGAGGGTGATGGACGAAGCATTAAGGCACTTGAACTGATTTTGGTATTGGTATCAGCCAAAATCATTTTGAAATTATTGGCATGTCAGATATCAGCAAAATTGAATGTCGGCATTCTTTGCTTCTTTGAGATAGTTGCACAAACAGTCATGATATGATATGAAAACATATCAGGAGCTGATAGCAAACAGAATTCATGTGTAAAGGAAATATATGTAAATATTACAAATCAACCTACAGAGTCCAAGTTTTAAGCAGAAAGCCTTCAATCAAAAGTTTCCATAATAAATCATTCACAGGACACTAAAAAGAGATAACTAAAGTCATTAACTTTAACTATGAGCTTATATAAAACTTACCCTGAAAATCAAGATAGTTTAGCTTTCTCATGCTGGCTGGATAAAATCCAACTGTTTTCCTCAGTTTCCCAAGAACTGGAAGTGATTTATTGGTTTCACAGTAAAGGCGGTATGGAAATATGCCTTTTATTTATTTATTTATTTATTTTGGTTTTTAGTTCTTCAAAATTTTGGATAAAGTAGCTTTTAATGACTTGACATGAAAAGTAGTTTGGATTTACTTCTGATTTGAAAATAAAGACTCACTAAACATTTGTATTTTACACTATATAGCTTATACAGTATACTCATATCTAATTATCTATAGTATAAGATAAATATTTATTCTAGTAAGACAGTAATTCCAAATATTTTGGTGTTGGAAAATAGGTCATAAAATGAACTGCATACACTTAATGTCAGACTTTGTTCTACACTTGAATTGAAAGCAATTTGTCCATATTTGACAGAAGCCAAGTTGTTTAGTGCCAGATTCCAGATACGCATGGATGCTTTACCCAAATTAAGTAAAGACATAACTGAACTTTGCATTTGTGTTATTTAAAACCTCCATGAACCTCTTTTATCAGCTTATCTGTTATCTGTTTTGGTTGTAAGGCGACATTTTGTGGTTAAATCTCTTATTTTTAGTGCCTGATGTCTTAACTGTGTCTGTTTCTATCTGGTAAAACTATGAAGCAGGAGGCTCAGGGCAGGTAGTCTCTGAGAGCAGTGGTGGCTTGAAAGTTGTACAGGTATATGAGCTTGACAGTGATGGACTTGAGTGATGGACAGGGGACTCTGCAATCTCCATGGCAACAGCAGACACCATTGAACACTCATACCCTCTGTTGTGTTTGGACAGTGTTCCCGACTCGTCAGTCACAGGGTTGTCAGCTGTAGCAAACAAACAAAAAAAAAAAAAGTAAACCCTTGGAGCAGATTTATTTTAGTTTTAGTAGAAAAAGAATAGAATCAGTACAGTTTGCTTGGGTTGGTGTAGTTTTGATAAAATTAGTTTGGGGTACCTGTTTCTGAAGAGCAGGACGGACAGACTGCTCTCCTGGGACAGCCCATAGCAGGGATGACCATTCCCCCAACGCTGTCCTCCACCACCATGTAGAACTGCACATAAATCCAGGAGTTAATTAAGAGTTTTATCAGTTTAATACAAACATTTTATAACTTTTATTTGGTTAAAATTCAAAAACGAAGTCTGCTTTAGTTCGCTGCTTCGTAAAACTTTGCAGTTAAACTTATTGAGATGTGTATCAACCTCACACCAGAGACGCTCGGCTGTCGAGGGCTGATATAAGTTATATATATATATTAAATGGATGTCTGTTGATTGTAGTCACTGGCACTTCATTCAAATCAATTTAAAACAGAATCATTGCAGACTTAGTTATGTTAACATGTACCTTTTTTCCTAATAAATTAATAATTAAGATAAGAAGATTTATGAATGGACTCTGATGTCACTGATATCTGTGGTTCCACTCCAATCTAATCACTTCAATCTCTGGCTCATTGAAAGACTTTCTTTACTTAGAGACATATTTGTTTATTCAGAGCTTGTTGATGATAGTCTCACCCGCGGCACACTGGTGGTGGTGCTCTCTGACATGCTCTCATCTGTCACGCTGGTCTCACTCACATTATCCACTGAGGGCTGTTTGTGGAAGAATCTCCTGGTCCTTCATAAAGACAAAGAAAGCATACAAATGATATATCCTAATGAAACGGTCAAATTCAATGGTCCTCAAATTAACATGTGGCATTTACACGGTTATCAAATCGGTCCTATTGCTCAATTAATTACTAAATCAAAAGACAGGTGACCTGAGGATAACCTGTTTACAGTGTAAGGTCATGCACTTTCCTTGCGCACACATATGCTGCAATAAAAGTTGATTTCTTTTGACAATCACCTTCATCACATACAAGCAAGAAGGATATATTTAGATTTAGTGATAATCTGCCCTGAGTGTGTCTGGGTTTTTAGTGGATATATTTTGCATGTTTATTTTTTATCCCATATTGCTGTTTACTGTATGATACTTAACTGGCATATGTGTGTGTTGCAGAGGAAACTAACCACCAAACTCAAACTGCGTAAGTGCACTTGCAGTCAAGTGCGGAAGGCAATTTGAGGCAGAGCTATTGGCGGCCATGTAGCGTTTCCACTGGGGTCATACCTCAGCGGCTCCATTCTGTAGCTGAGAAATGACCTATTTTTATGTGTAATTGCTGTAGAACAAGCTAAACCAAGCATGTAATTGAAAGCGTGCCACTTCCACAGGGGAACTAGGACTGCTCACATTAGGATGTAGTAGGTGGTGGTGCAGGGGGTTGTGCTCTAGGAGTCAAAAGAGTGGAGAATGCCAAGAGCCTTGTTTATAAGCCAGTGAAACAACCATAAAACAAATCAGCTCTTTACACACAGCCCAGGTGAAAACGGGAGGAAGGAGGGATTCTGTTTGGAGTTTACGTGTGCTCCTCACTCGGCTAACCAGGGTCGCTTGCTGCCCATTCGTTCCACATGTGATCTGCTTCCTGACCTCCTGATGCCACGCTGAGACACCGACATTACACGGCTCATGCCACCCTGCGTTTGATAGACACCTCTAAATGCTGTCAGCTCATTCATTGCTTCTGTAGTTACTCCTTAGCTTTCTGTGCCACCTTAAATGCTTCCATCTGTTTCAAGACTGAACATATAAAGTTTATTTTATGCCTGGTTATTGCAGGGTATTGACTGATGAATACATGGAAGTATGTGGCTGTATAAACTAGAAATCTCCATATATAACATTTGAAAACATCTATTAGATGTTATGACTCCTATACATCCATGATTGATATTCTTGTAAGGGCACTAAAATAGATCACTCTATCTGGCTGGGTTGTTTTGTTAACTCTACTTTTAAGATAAAACAATTTGGTAATTTTTCAAGGCTCCCCCTAAAAGAATGATTTGGATCTAGAAGACTAATAAGAGGAACCCTAATTGGTCATTTTTATCAATCACAGCTCTGCATTTTGTGCAATAGTTGTGTCAGAGCATTCAGAAGCAACAGCATGGCAGGCTGTTATAGCAACCAAAGCACAATCTCTTTGCAGGGAATCAAATTAGCCACTGAAATATCCTATTTTTGGTCAAATATTTAATATAAAAAAACTGGACTGTCTTAGACTTGTCAGCTACAAAGTCAAGTATGCCACATCCTTTCTTTTGCTCACTCTTTATCCAAAATTTGAACCTTTATTTGAACTCTAAGGCAAAAGTTCATATTCAGACTGTAATGAACCATTTGATATCATTGTACTACTCCTGATTTGCTCTCAGCTGGTCAACAGTGAAGTTTAATATGCCGTGGAGCTCACTTATAACTTGTCCCCTCTCCTCTTTCTCACCCGAAGCAGTAAGTGACACAGGCAGCGATGGAGAGCAGGGAAACCAGGACCACCATGCAGGCTGCAATGACCACGTTTCTTCTCTTCTCCTCCTCGGCCTGCTGGAGCTCCCACCACTCCAGGTCACTGAACTGACACCGCTCCCCCATATAACCTGATACACAGCTGCAACAGATTGAACAAAATCACCATTTAAAGTTTGATTTAATATTTGTGAAATCAGATATTTTGTTTTCAGATATGACAAATTTTTCTCCTTTCTTCTTTTTGGTACATTCATACTTAACAATGCCCTTTACTGACTTTTTCACAGCAGTCAATATTTGGTGTATCAGAACAATTTTTCATGCTGCACTGGTGTTTAAATCTGTTTTGAGTAGGTGCTGTCAGTTGGATAATTTGTCACTAGAAAGCTGGTCAAATCATGTGACAATAGTGACACCTACTGCCAGACAGCTGTAGTAGTTACCATGTAAGAAATGAAGATGCAGTACAAGCCTATATTTTTGTGGTTCAGGAGGTCTTTACAAACATCCCTGTAGAAATTAAGAACATCTTATAACTAGAAATTGTCCACTACAAAACAATAATTAAATTATTCTGTACAAAAAAGTGAGTTTCACATCTAAACTCAGCTTTGACAGGTGAAAATGGAGTTTAAAGGTCAAATTGACAGAGTACACCAGAGGGTTTATTTACTTGCAAGCGTAGGACTCCATTTCAGGGAAGTAGAAGCAGACACCCTGGTACAGGCAGTAGGAGTCATGAGTGGAGGGGCAGCTCTCCACTGAGTTGCTGTTGTAGTGCTGGGTGGTGACTTCAGCCGGACTCTCAGTGGTTACCCACGGTGATGTGATCTCCAACACTAAAGAGGATAAGTGATGTAATTTAACAAAAAAGGACAGGTCATTAATGATTCAAGTCTCCTGTCCATGGCCATTTATTTCCACCATGCAATTTCTTATAAATAAGAAAGATTAAGATTATGAATGTGTTGAATACTGTATCGGCAGTAAATAATGAAGACAAACCTTGACATGTCTTCCCATTGCCGTGGTATCCAGCCTGACACTTGCACAGATACTTCCCAAAGTTATTTTGGCACTCAGCATTCTTCCCACATGCATGAGTCCCCTGTTTACACTCATCGATATCTGTAACAGAGGGAAACAGACTTACAGTTCTGCAGTATTAACAGCATCAAAGTTTTTACTACAATCCTATTTCAAAAATAGTGGACAGTGTGTAAAATAATCAATCATTTTTGTAGTTGGGTAGAAGTTAACCACCCTGTGAGAGACTGCGCGAGCAAAAAGTTCAACAATGTCAGAATGGTGTCCCTCAGGGTTGTACTGTAACAAATTCTTGAGGTTTTGTCATTGACAGAACATTAGTATGGGGATTCGTAAGTGGCCACGGTATGGGTAGCTTACATATTTTGGAAGGTACTGTAAATGCTGATAGGGGTTCTGATGTAACATGTGCTTCTATTCAGACAGTGCCTTTTCTGGTAAAGCCATGCACGTGTTAGCAGGACAGTTTTCAGTTTTTGTTGTTTTGCACTACTTTCTTTTAAACCTAGAGATTAAATGATGTGCAAATCTCTAAAATCTATTTTTGATCATATTTCTCAGCTTTCTGCGAATTACGGTTGTATTCTGTAGTTGACTTCCCTAGTACATAAGTAACGTTCTAAACCTCATCTTTTAGGCAGTTCAGCTCTCCTCTGTAATGTCGTGATAATCTTTGCTTCTAGAGAAACTCTGTCTTTGTGAGATGACAATATAGCCTGAAGTCGGATCTGCTCCTCTCTCACTGCTGTTACTTCTGCCAAAATGTAAAATTTAAATCCCTAAACACACGAGTTGAAAGAGTTTCTGCATCAAATATAATCCCTAAAGCTCTCTTCAGGATACACGACCACATGTAACAGATGAAATTACTCACCGACACAGAACTGTCCATCACCCGTAAAACCTTCCTGACACCTACAGGTGGGGTTGCCAGCAATCAGCAGACACTGCGCATTTACATCACAGCGGAGCGAGTAACATTCATTCTGGTCTGACGGATAAAGGGACACATGGAATCATGACTTTAGTTAAAATAGGAGATCTTGAATGAGGAAAAAAAAAGAAGTATTTTGTCGTTAAAGTTCCACTGTTACCTGACACCATCTTGTCTGTGTAAAGGGCCGGCTCACTGCTCACATCAGAGTCTGTTGACCGTCCAGTCGTTGTGCTCTCGTCATTGAATGTTTTGTTTTGGAGAGATGTCAGATCAGTGGATTCACTGTCTCCAGAATCTGTAACACATTATATATTCAAATGCTTAATGTCAGTATTTATGTTAAATCTTAAATCAGTTACATTTCATAGTTCAGACCAAAGTTCATGTACCTGTTCAAGACATCATGAAATAAGTTACCTGTTGTTTGATTGGAAACAATAGCAGGCGAGCAGCTTTTTCCATCATCTGATAGGACATAATGTGACAGACAGGAGCAGTGAGCCAATCCCAGTTTGCTTTCACACACTTGGCCACAGCCCCCATTCAGGTGGAGGCAGACATCGGCACCTCAAGATGAAATAAAAAAGACAATTTTAGTGAAGTCGTCAGTTCTGTCAATTTAATGTTTACCACTAAGTATCCTATCAGCAGTCAGTCTAACAGTAAAAAAAAAACAAGGAGAAAGATGGTTGGTGAAACAAATTCAACCCTTTTTCACTGTAATTTACTGAACTGTGATTCAAATTGAGGTTATTATTCTTTTTCTGTGGCATGTCATTGTAACCACAGCTTTTGTCTCAAATACTCGACAGTTTGATAGAAGTGTATACCAGCATAGTTGTGCAAAATTCCTTTGAGTGCTTTTTGCATTCATTTGTTAAGTTTGACACATGCTGTGGAAAAATAAGATCTTCAAGAAGCAGCAAATTATAATATAACCAAAGTGCAAGATATTATTTTATAATCTCATATAGTGCTCTCCTTCTCAATGTCTTAGGCGATAATTCTGTCAAAATGAGCCCCTGTTGCCAGTCTGTACCTGGTTTAGCGAGAGGATGAACCACCACGATGGACGCTGGTTGGACCATGTTGCCATGGAAACGTTGCAGCTTTTTCCCAGTGCGCTTGTGTACGCTCCTCAGCTGCTTGTGCTCCCAATCTGATATCCACAAACTGTCCTCAAATACTGCGAGGTCAAAAGGTCGACCTGGATCAATCAGAGAGAAGACCAGAGAATGTCGAGTGTTTAGGTGAGATTAGAAATTTTAATCACATTTAAATAAAATCAGAGTGACTTCAGCATATTTGAATATTGTTTTAGATGGGCAACAGACATAACTGTATGGCAGGGTTTTATTCTTTTTCTCCTTAAACTTAATACAAAGACTTGGTTTGAACGAGTGACATTTCTTAACCAACCATGATGGCTATTGCTAATGTTGGTCATCCTGTATTTCCCAAATGCCTGTATAATATTAAACTAGAAGCCAAAAATACACATTGGACCTAGCAAGCAAAGCAGCCTAAAGCTGTGTCACAAGTTACGTTATTCCGAGCATAAATACATTTACCATGTGCTCATTTAAATACGTCTTTGAATCAGAAAGTGAATAGAGAAGAGAAAATGCAATTATGTAATTATGAGTATTTAGGTCTAGATATAGAACCAAACTGTAGGGTCCAGCTTTATGTCGATACAGTGAACTAATGCATTTATGTGTTACAGAAGCCTCACCTACTTGGTTCTCTAACAGGACTCGCCGGTCTGAACCATCCAGGGCCGCAGTCTCCACCAGACTACTCTTCAGATCACACCAGAACAGACGATCATCTGTGAAGTCGATGGTCAGGCCGCTCGGTGACACAAGGTTGGCGCTAGCAATAACGACACGGTCTGTTCCCTCTAAAGAGGCGCTCTCCACCACAGGCTGGGCCCCCATATCAGTCCAGAACAACTTCCTCAAAGATTTAAGAAGAGTATTAGGAGTTAGGCTTAGAGTCTTCATGCAAAACACTGAAATAGCTGGAAAGTGGGCAGTCATTTTAAACATTAATGGGACTGAAATTATAGCAAAGCAAGTGCAATCTCAGACCTAAAATGACATGCATCACACACTTTAAAAGAAAGTCTTAGGAATGTAATGAATCACAAGATAAAACTGTTTTCTTAGAGACACTGAAAGCACTCAAAAAAGTCACAAACTGTTCTCAGCTAAACTCACTTTGCAAAAGGATGAACCACGATTCCTCTGGGTTCTTCCAGCCCTTCACTCATAAGGGTTTCCCTGTTTAGTCCAGCCAAGTTACTGCACTCAACAGTTGACTTGCTGGAAGAAAAAAAATACAGAAATATACAGAAAAAAAGAAAACATCTCAATACTGATAATGTTAAACAATGTAGAATGATTTAATGTGATGTAAAAACCAACCTCATATTCATCAGAGGGTAAATACGCCTCAGTAACTCAGAGGAATCCTTATGATTTACTATTTGTAAACACTACCCACCTTTTGTCTGTCCAGTACATCCTGCGGTGGACCCAGTCAACAGCCAGACCTTCGGGAGAGTCCAAACCATCAGATACAAGGATGTCTCTGGACCCAGCATTCAAATCGACACGCTCTATTGTCTTCTGCCTTGTGCTTGCAAAGTACACCTTCAAAACAAATACAAAAAAAAACAAAGAAATTAATCAGTGTTACAAAATGTGAAAGCAGAAAATATTCATTCAGTACTCTGAGCCCTATGGCTGTTACATATAATTGTCCACTAGGGGTCACTAAGAGCCTTCAACAGAACCTGAGCCACATCCTCTGTAGAAAAAAACCCCCTTAAAGACTCTTGGGTCTCACTGGTGCACACTTATACTGCACTTCTTTCTATCTTCTGGAAAATAACAAACTAATTTGTGATAAAAAATAAAAGGTGTTGTTATCGTACCTTGTTTTGGACCGGGTCATAGTCCAAAGCTATAATTGTCCCTCTGGGCTCCTCAACAAGGCTGCGATCCCCGGAGCCGTCAGGATGAATTTGTCTCACATCCACCAGATTGGCAACTAGCAGATAAGGTGGGGGTCCTGTGGGGGAAAAATGTATTTTTTGATTTAACTACTGACTGCAGTCGATTCAGACCCACAAACTCATACTTTGATTTTGTACCTTTGTCGAAGTACAGTATGTATTTGTGAATGATTAACAGCGTACTTGTATAAAAAAAAAAACATTAATCTGATCCTGCTTAGAAGCCTCAGATGACCTCCGTTGTATGACTCACCAGTGGCGATGCAGCGTTTGCTATCCTGGTGGAGCTGGTAGCCAGGCAGACAGCCACACTGCCACCTACTAGGGGTGACAGGAGTACAGATCTGACTGCAACCCCCATTGTCTGCAGATGAGCAGCCTGCAACAGCAGAGAAACTGGGTAACACTTTACTTGACGCCTCTCTCTATAACGCATTATAAATACATTTATAATGCGTTATAATCACGTTATAGCACTGTATAACTATAGTTATAAACACTCATAAATGATCATAATGCTTTATAGCAATAATCATAACACAGTATGAAGCATTTTATCATGACTTACAAGGTCAGGTATTGTAATGTGTTATAACAGTCAAAAACTCACTGACAATGCCTACATAGATAATGCAATGTGACTGTTGTTAACTGTTACCAGAAAGGGCAAAAAATACTCATGCAGATTCTGTCAATGCAGAGAAGCCTGATGAGTCCTGAAGTGTCTCATTTTTGTTTGTGTATTTGGCAGGATAACATCAGCGAGACACGAAGTGTGGAGATGATAGAGTGGGTGACATCCACCAAAGTATTTTGGGACTCTGAATTGATCCTTACAAACAGTTCCTGTTGTGTGAATCACTTGCCGTTCCTTCCCACAAAAGGAAATGGGAAGGAAAGGCAAGTGATTCACACAACAGGATGGCCCAGCCAGGCTATACAAACAGTGTGATAAGAGCTTAGGTCCCTGTACATCATAACCAAAAATTTACTCCTGAAAAAAATTCAGTTATCGCTCTTTTACAAGATATAGAAATAAGACTGTAGGAATGTTGACTGAGACAGGAATAAAATCCCTAAAATGAGAGATATATAGATAGGTGCAGAGTATTTGCAAGAAAAAAGCTATTTATAGAAATTGCCGAGTATTACAAAAGTTAAATAAGTTATGTACAAAAGGATGTGTACTTAACTCTTAGATAATTCAAATACCTGTTGACTGATTTAGACTCAAATTGCTCAGGGGTGTCAGCTCTACACGTTGAAAACTAAGAACTTAGCAAGTGATTTTTTCTTATTGATAGTAAATTAGTAGTACTGTTGATCTGACAAGTTCTGAAAATTTTAAGAAATTACATCTCTGTTGTTAAATCAATTTAAATGACCTAAGTTTTTATGATTATTTGATGATGAGTGTGTTTTCTATCTCTTTACCCCTTCCTTTTTGAATACAACTAAATTTACAAGTCATTCATGACAGGGCTTTCTACCGTGATGAGGATTTACTGTGGTTAGATTAAGGCTATACTGTACATCCTCAAGCCAATGACAAACGCCATTCTTGGACTTTGTGTCCCCCGGTGACTTCGTCTTTGTCCTTTCCCATGCCACGATACAATGCTGAGAATAGTGAGCTAAGACCAGTAACAGGAAAAAAGTTCTTACACGGATACTAAGTGTTTGAGCGCCCTAAGATGGTTAATGTCTCTAAGTAAAGTACATCGTGCAAAAATGTGTATGGTACCCATTGTCCTTTTTACAAGATTTTGAAGATGTTACTTAAGGGATCAAAACAGTGGAAAATTTCACCTCCATATGAAGAAATGTGAGTTTTATATGTTTTTCCCTTCCAAGTTAAAATGGAAAAGTGATAATCGAGAGATATTAGTCTGAGAATAGACGGCTACTGAACTATCATGTTCATACATACCAGTGCAGGCTTGTCCATCTTCCTGCAGTACAGATCCCTCAGGACACACACAGACAGCACCTTCATCTGTCATCAAGCACCCATGACCACACTTGGTGATGTTTCTTGCACATGGTATGATCTCTGATTGTGGACCATAAACAGATTGTTAAACACTGTTAATTCTCGTTAGTTCCCAAAATAATAATGATAAACCTCAAAGAAACAGTAAAAACACTCAAAGGTTTTTCAATGACTGATGATTAAGGGCTGTTACATGTATAGATTTCCCCCGGTTATTTTTAGGGCTCAGCAGGTAACAGATCGTAATGCAGCCAGCTGGACAACAAGCTTCTTAACTTGTGCTCCGCTTAAGTCTCTGTCTAAGGGCAGCCCTAACTCTATCAAAATGGGTGAAAGTGTGATGAGAATGCAGTCAGGGCCCACACAGTGAAGGTGATGTAATGTTAGCTCACGGGAGGGTGGTATCGCTGAAAACTGTGAATATGTGCCAGTTATACAGTGGCAGGACGTACAGGTTTGAATCTGATGTGAAATAGTTAAACAGACTGTCAAGATGCACAGATGATTGTTGACTTCTCCTCAGCAGTGGAGGGTTAAATTATTGCGTGATTCAACCCATCATCATCGACTTAATGAATTTTCTTTATTAGCTAAAATTATAAATTTTAAAATCATAGGTTATAAACAACTTTTAAGAATACATTATGAAGACAAATGTTGAATGAGAGTGGAATACAGAATAAAAGAAACAAGGGACCAGGTTTTTTAACCCTCCTTCAGAGTTCCCAATGCCCAGCCCACTACTTGGTGGCATGCTTGTTTTCTTCTGGACCTTGGCAAAGGTTGTCTGTTAAACAGCTTAGACAGACAAAGCTGCTGACCAGATATGTTCCCTATTGCAAATGTCACCTCATCATCTAATCTCATTGTGTGTGAGCCATTCCTGTTCTCTTGGCTGTGAGATTAGAAGAGAAGAGATTACATTGTGTCCGCGGTGCTTGAAAATGATATATGGTTAATCACAGTGAAGATGATTTGGAAACCGGATAAAGTAGAAAAAAATTAGAAAATAGTGAAAAAAAAAAAATAATAATATTAGAAAAAATAAGAAAAATTATCTTCAGCAACTTACATCAGTTTGAACATTTTGAGTCAATAAGATTTCTATACCTTCACCATGACTGCGATTCATATGTTTATGTCTAAATATTAGATTGTCTGAGGCATTTGTTCTCCACAGAAGACCGTGTTGTTATGCTGGCAGACAACAGAGCTCCATTATAGCAGAAAAGGACAGTCAGACTCACACTAGATGAGTAAAATATTACAAATATAGCTGGGAAGTTTATTTCAGTCCTGTCATATTGTGAGCCCTTTTCTTGAAAATTGTCTGCTGTCGGTTTATCAGTCCAGCATGACTAGACCTTTGGCGACAAAACAGCCTCACACACAATTGGCAGCTCACATATGTCTGGTCTAGTGTGTCTAGCCAATGACCTGGCCTTTTTATTGGCTCTGTGGGGTCAAAGTAGTGTCTAGGGGACAAATGCCACCTTCCAAAAGGAAAGAGGATCTAATGTGGACTCTGAGCCGCATTCATTATCCTGGCCGGAACAAAGAGCAAGTGTTGCCGTCTCTAAAAAGAGAAGTAGCTAAATAATAAATCTGTTTTTTTTTCTTCTATTCAACGGAACAGATATTTAGTACAGCCCGGAGCTAAATGCCTGAGTAAAATCTAAATTAGTGTGGATGTGTATGACTAAAGGAATTAAGGAAAAAGCGGAATTAAATTGATGTAATACTGCAATTAACAAACTTTTAGTATACCTTTTAGAGATTGCTCAGCTTTGCACACACACAAAGAATAATGCCGCTGGATAGTATTATAGCTATAGTTCAAATAGTAGTAGTTTATTTTCTCATGTACCAGAGGGATGCTCAGCTCACATGGACTTACAAGATACTAGAAAACGAAGCAAACAAGATCAAGCTGAGGGGAGCAGATTGCAGTTTGTGCAAAAGGATCGCAAACCTGTGAGATTAGATTTCTGACCCTTGAGTGCAGATTTAAAAACTCTGCCTAGAGATTACAAACCCAATCTGTGCGCATGGATTGGAAAACTGTATGCACAGATACGAACATGGGTCCTTTTTTCTTGACCTGCCACACACACAAAAGAATTTAAAATGGAACAAATGTTTCCAACCATACCTCGACATGTCTTCCTGTCCGATAGGAGGGCGTATCCTTTAGGGCAGGTACAGAAGTAAGAACCTGGCATGTTTTCACAGCCAAGAGAGCAGCCATGGTTCCAGTGGGCACACTCATTCACATCTATGGTACATGAGGACAAAGACTGGTCAGCCTTATCAGTGTTGTTTAAGTAGACACACTCCAACAAGCTTCCTTTAACTAATAATGTACAGTATGTTCTGTGCTTTGTATTGTTGGCCATTGATAATTTACTGCATATTTGTGAGACGTATTCCAACTTTGATCAAACACAAAAACAATATTCCAGTGCTTTCACCTTTTCCCTAAAAGTGCAGCCAATACTGTAAATATATTTTGTTATACCCTTTAATTCTAAAATGACTGAACTAAAATATTTTGTTGTACCTTTTACATTACCGATTTACTGGTTAAATTGCATTAGTACTGACCTTCACAATGAGTTCCTTGCCTACTGAGAACAAAGCCTTGATCACACTTGCAGGTCCCTTGCTTAGCCAAACTGGAGCACACATTCACACAGTTTCCACTCTGTTCATTGCAGCCTGTTTGAAAGAGTTAAAGGTTATATGATGCTAACTTTCTCATGTGCATAAACACTAGTTATATAATGTAAAAGTTAGATCTTAACCTGGATATGTTGACTGGGAATCCACCATTGGCTGGTTGAGGTGATGCACCACCTTGACATCAACTGGTTGCTTAGCCATTAGTTTAAAGTTAACACTCAGTGACTCCCCGCCTGTGTTCTTGTTTACTTTTTTGATAACCCGAGATGTAGCGTCAGAGTAGTATAAGTTCTCCAGGAAAATGGACAACCCGAGTGACTCAGATCTGACCAGAGGAGAAAAAAAAAACATGTGATTTCCTGAACAAAAGTCTTGGTGAGAGCATAAAAAGTGAAAAGACCAACACGCTCACCGAAGAGGCTGATCCATGATGTGTAGGACATTCCCGTTGTAATCACAAGAAGCTATGGCACTCTCTCCTAGCAGACCAAACTGAACCCAGAAGAGTCTCTTGTCTTCCTGGTCAACTGTCAGTGCTTTCAGTTGTTCTGCTACTTTAATGAGCATAGTTCTCCTGTGTCCTGTCAGATCAGACCGCTGGATACTTGGAGTACCTCCACCAGACAGCCAAAAGAGGAACCTGAGACAGATTTGTTTAAAACTGTGAACCCATTGCAAGAAAGTCTTTTCCAGTACAAATGAATTTTGAATACAAAAAATAATCCAAACAGTGTGATAGTGGTTGAGGCAAAAACATTCAAGAATTTTAAATGATCTCAACTAATCTCAAATAAGTGACAACATGCTCTTTGCATATAATTATAATCCAGGATACTCATATAAACCCATTACTGCCTTTATTCACTTTAAGATACCCACTTTTTAAACTCACTTTATTTGACTTGGTAAAAGTAAGAGCATCTCTACTCAAGAGTTGTTGATGTTGTTGGTGAATGTTTGTCATTTTGCACCTTTGTGCCAGACATGCTCAATGGCGGAGGATGAAACACTTGGAGTAGCTCACAAACATGCAAGAATCTTAACTGAGTAAGAGGCAGTCACTTGTTCAGCTCCTTATTATTGTTTTATCTACTCGACTGCCACCAGCATATATGAAAGGAGAGGTTCCACTCAACTGGAAACATAGTTTACCTTCTTGTTGGGTCAACAGTGATTGAACTTGGCTGTGTCAGGTGTCTTACAAGAGTCCTTTCATTTTTCCCATTTAAATCCATCCTCTTGATTTTTCCCTTTTCTCCACTTGTCCAGTATACGCTGTTCCAAATCCAGTCCACTGCCAGGCCCGAGATGTTTTTATCAGATGAGTACAGTTTCTGGGTAATAAAACAAACAATCAAATCTAAATTTTATGATTTAGAATTTTATGAACTCAGGAAAAATGTTTCCTTGTCGCATTAAAGTTTAACTCTTGATTCGTTCACCCAAGAAAACCTACAGTTCAGCGAAGTCATTTTGAAGTAGTTACATAATCACCTGTCTGTGTCCTCCTCTAGCTGATGCTTTGTAGATGACCCCAGTGTGTTGGTCAGCCCAGTAAACGCTCCCCTCTCTGAAATGAAAGTCGAGCAGGATAGAACTACCGACCCCAGCCACAAGCCGCCTTTGGTTTTTCCCATCAAGGTCCATCCGATGAATGGCTTTACCATGGCCGAATATCAAGAAGGGCTGTGAAGCTGAATGAGATCAAGCATTACAGGTCTTGAATGAATCTAATGAAGTCCAATAGATTAAGACCTTTAACCATTCATCGTACAGGCAGGCAAAGGCCCAAAACTTGGAGGAAGAATATACACTGTATACAATGTGAGATTCCCAAGAACTTCCCTTTTATTTATACAGAACCTTCAACGCTATGAATTCTAGATTTTTTTAGTTTTATGGGGCTGCAACCAATGAATATTTCAACAATTAATCCACTGACTACTTTCTTAAATGATCCTTTACTGGGTTAAATATTGAACTGCAGTGTTCAGAGAAGCTGACATACAGCTTATTTGGATTTTTTGCTCAAACTCAAGAGATTCCAATAGTTGCTGATTAGTCATGTTGGATTATTATACATTTACATACTGATTTTTTTGACAGTTTGTTAATTTCTAAGAATATTATTTGTGTTGCGTACTCACGCCGAGGCTGCCTACGCTGCTAAATCCATATTTGCTGTTTTACTTTGAAGTCGCATGCACAGGTTTGGCATCTTAATTGCTGCTTTTCTATTTCTCTTTGAGTCATGTTGCAGTGGTCAAATTTGCAAATTTACTCAGTCCATTTATAGCTTTAAATAGACTAATTATGAGAGCTAACTCAGCTGCTTGCAGACAGAACATGTTTCCCTATAGCAACAAATTGCCCTCTCCCCATCCTTTGACTCTGAGATTAGTCAGTTATCATAATGGAGGTTGAAATGATTAGTGTTTTTTTCCTTTCACAGGTTTTTGCTTTATTCAGCAACAATACCACAATAAGGTTAGGGAATGAAAATGAACATCAAAAAGTGGGAGCATTTCCACTTTTGAAAATGAGATGAATAGTTGTCTATTCCAACTTGTTTGTCATTGGAAGTACTAGAGAAGTTTTCATAATACTAGGACGTGATTGGCTCTGGAGCCCATTAAACTTTGTCAAATGTAGCTATGAGGCAAAAACAAATCGTTGCTGTCCGGATTGCTATTGATGGAAGGTGCCCTGGTCTATCATCGGTAATCAGACAATCATGTGCAGCCATGGATACTTCTCTTAACTCAGTGGAATGAAGAAAACAATGAGCAGCTCCAGACAAACAGAATAATGACATGCATGTCCCCTGGATTGCCAGTGGTGCTGAGTTGCTAGGAGGCATCGTTATGAATCATTAATCAACAAGTTCACATGGTGGTCAACTTGTGCCTTGACCTACTTAGCTTTGCTTGTCAGATGTTTTTGGCAAAGGGGTGCTTTCAGGCATTCCAATTAAACATTTCCTGTTAACAAAATTGAAATGGGTTTTTAAAACTGTCACAAAATGGATAGTCCTGGTTCATAGTTACGCTCCAGACAATGGAAACGGAATCTCCTTTTTTGTTGCCGTTGTTGTCGACTTGTCTGAGCACTTTGAAAAGTGCTTTTCAAAAATTAGACATTTTTCATCAGTTTGTTTTTGCGACATTGGAATTTCCAATTTTCTGCTGGAAAATATAAATAAAGAAGATATTGCCCAGATTTTTTATCCCAAATCCGTAATTGTACTAATTATCATGTTTATTTAAATAACACTTTTCAAAATGTCTGTTACAACACATTTCACGAGGTAGAAAAGAGTCTTGGATATTTAGAATAATGTTATATTGAGGCAGCGTCCAATACTTCTTTTTCTGAGAGGAACTTGAGGTGACCAAAACCATTTAATGTACGTTCCATAAATAGTGGTGTTTCTGAAATCTTTGAAGTTGTACTGTGGTTCAACTGGAAAATAAAGCTTAAATGGGATAAGTGAATTTCCATCATCAGTCACACTGTGTTTGAAAACATTACCCATGATGCATGAGATCGAAACCCTGCTTTTACAGCCGCAGTATGTCCTGCTGCAAGTTGGCAGAGTGCTGTTTTAAATAATGCATTTCAGAGCCCAGTGTTGAATGAAATAATCTAACTCTGAAAGCTGTATCCAGTAGATGACCGTGACCTTCTGAACTCTCTTAGGAGGGCACCAAATAGTACATGAATCAGTCTGTTAGTATGAGAAAAACATCCATAACATGGTAGAAGTACCCCTATCCAAAACAACATCATAGTCTTAACTTAGGTCTGTATACTGCTAATTTTAACCTGTATTCAACTTGTCTAACATGAATTTTACATTTTTGAAAGAGAACCATTAGGACATCAGTGATGACCATCTGTTGGCTGTCAGCTGTGAGATGTTCTTGTGGCAACCCACAAGAAACTTAGGCTTAGCCTGAGATACTCCCACTCAGAAAAGAGTCTGCATCTTTGCTACGTGTTCTTATACGCTCCGCTGAAGTCCCTTTTGAGTCATGCTTTCAGTTTTTTTTTTCTGCTACCTTTTTATTTTACTTTTAATAATATATATATATCCATAGACGACAGGCCACAACTGAACAGCTGTTAAAATGGACTTAGTCATCCAAACACCTTTAAAGACCTTTAAGGATTAAGACCTTTAGTGCAGAGGGGGGAATCCTACAGCTAAAAAAACTGTGTTTTCTGTCATCGGTAAAAAAAGAAAAAAAAAAAGAAAATGTTGTCTGAATTAAGCGTGTAATGACCAAATAGAACTCACCAGCTTTAAATCTTAACAGAATATTGTAAAATGATTTACTAAACACTGCTTCTATATACACTCAGGGTTTAAAAATATTCCCTGTTCAAGTGGCACTTTTTAGTATACATTATAAAATACTGTCATATGTTCAGCATTGCAGCATTTTAAAATATTATGTAAAAGAGGAAAAGACTGTTTACAGCAGAGTATTCAGAAGTCCATGGTGCCCTCAGTACTTCTGTTTGTTTCATAAACCGTGTTTACGAGTTTGACAGTCGAGGTGTTAAACTCACCCACACAGCTGCTGTTTCTCCCAGCTCGAGACAGGCGCTCATCCCAACATGCTGCACCAAGGGCCAAGGCTCCAGAGCTTTGCACCACAAAATAAATCAGAGCTGCTGTGACTGTTGCAGCCAACATAATCCTTGGGAGCTGTCCCTGCCTTGGGAGCTGCACTTGTTCAATTCTTCTCAGGCATTTCCACTAGCATTAGCGCTGGCACACAAGAATTCTCCAATTCTGAGCAACAATTGCTTATGAGCTGCTGGCATCTTCGTCAGTGACTTCAGCCCAGAGAGACAGCGGAGCTTTACATACCAGAAGATGTCACTCTTTAGAGAGGAAAGATGGAGCACTTAAAAAGAAGAGGGCAGTACTGCCAACCCAAAAAGAACAAAAACCTGTGTGTGGGATCCTCCTCACTCCCCACTTTGGCCCCTAGGCTGCCAGTCTGTTTTGGAAGCAAAGATTGAAATTCCTGACACCCCCGTGGTAAATTTTGCACATGCTAGTCCAGCATTGGATCAGGATCTCCTTTAAGCTGCAGTCAGAGTCTGAAGCAGAATGTAGAATATGCAAGAAATGAGGCTGAACTACAGAAAGGTCCCACAAAACAACAACATCATACCCTCACTCCACCCCCTGACCCATGTCCTTTCTGAATGCAGATGGATGTGTCTGTTCAAAATAGAGATTTTTGGTCTGAGAGAGAGGAGCAGGAAGTCATTGCATGTAAAGCTTAATGTCTGAGCTCAACACTTCAATTTGAATCCATTCAGTCATTGTTCAGCAAAACTAATCTTGGTATCTTTATCAAACTATAACCCCATTCATGAATGGCATAAACTTACAGTACTATTGTAATGTAACCATGCCACTCAAACAATGGACGCTCTGTTTACTGTCTTGAGTGTAAATGAGATGTGAGTTTGTCAGTCCAAGTTTGTCTGGCTTCTTGAGGGCAAAGTTGAATGACTAACTTATGGAGAATGGAAAAGGATTGGAGCACATTATTCCTAAATTGTTTGTCCTTTTTTTTTTACCCCTGAGAACAACCAACAGACCCGAGGAACCAAAACCCCTATTCATACCCTTCATGACTAGGATATTGTCAGCAGCAGCATCACCATTAACATGGCAGAGGGGCAGTACAAGATTTATACGGCTGAGAAAGTTGCCTTGTCTCCAGACTAATGTGAGCTGTCTAAAGGTCCCTAACCTTTTCCCACGATTTTCAACACTGACAGCTTCACTTCACGTGAATGCTGCGCTGAATGATGATCACACATGGCTTTGAATCATCAGGTAGATAATGTGAAGAACGGAGGACCCTTCTGTTTTAAATTCTACCTCATGCTTTTCTATGACAAAACAGTTCCAGTACTAAATTCCAGGTGGATGGGTCATGTTGAAATCCAAAGTATTTGACACATTTAGTAAGTTAATATTCACAGTGACGTCAAACTATGGTTATAGCTTAATTATGCTATTTAATTTTGAGGTCAAAGCCCCAATATACGAATCATGGAGTATGCACAGAACATATAAGGCCAGTTTCAGTCAGAAAGAGCTGTTTGCTAAACATGGAAAGGAAAACCAAACTGCAGCTACATTATCTGGTTATGAAAAATTCAACGTTCTGTGATTTTAATCACACAAACATTTTAATATCATGTATAAAATCCTTGTTTCAAATCCTCTACTGGCTGACATTGTTAGTTGCCAAATTGCCACCTGTGTGAATATTTGGTGCTGTCTTTAATCAGAACAGCACATAAAGAAAATAAATGCAGTTTTTTCATTCTTACACTTTACAGTTTCGATAGAACTACTTTAAACTGTATATGCAAAAAAAGTTGTTCAAAGAAGGGCATATAAAAGTAAGTTCACATGGGCTTTTTGTTTGTGTGACATTCAGGAAATAAAGACCTTAACAGGACGTAAGTGAAGATATTACAAGGTCCTCACATTAGGTCAAAGCGTAAGGATCCGATCAGCTGTTGCAGGCTAAAGGCTAACAAACTGTCTGAACTACTTAGTTTTTAAACCCTACCAGCCCTTAAGTTACCAAAATAGAAACACAACAAGAGGGTGTGGAGTCTGTTTACTGTAGGAACGTGTCTGCTAGATCCATTTAACTTTATCTTCTACCTCCATACTGAGATTTTTTCACAGCTGCAATAATTTATTAGCCAAATCACTGGTCTGTGCCTGGTGCAAGATCATTGAGAGTATTTTATAGACTGTAATATTGGGATTTTACTCGGTGGTCAAAGGGGGCGCCTTGATGCAATATTTGAAAATATTGAACACTAGGTTTGCAGCCCTCTGACTATTTCTGAAACTTTCAGTTTTTAGGTAGTTTGCACAAGGTTCTTTCTTTGTGTCATTCGTTACTGTGAAAATTTATACAGAGATAACACATTCAATGCTTATCAAGCTTCTTTGTGGTTGATCTATTGCTGACAAGGCTGAGGACAAATTTTTATCTAATCCAGAGGAAAGCTCCCAAAGTAGACGTATTTATATCCTCTTATTATCAAAAAAGATTGCACAACCACAGGAGCATTTAAGCAATAGCTCCTTCTAGCCTTGTTGATAAGTGTTCTCTCGCTGTTTACTTGTGGCCTATTTTCCATTTGAGTGCTATAATGGCATCAAGTCTTAGTTACCGAGTGATCTGTGATGCAACTGTAAGCCTTGAGAGCAGTATCTCAGCTGTTGCTCTATCTGGATTTACCTTTGTGGAACAGCCAAGTGGCAAAGAGATAAGAGTAAAGGATCATACAGTCTGTCTATGTTTCACTTCATTCATTCATTATTTCATGTTATATTTCTCCCTCTCTCTTTCCCCTCACTTCCACTTCCTTCCACCCCACCCATCTCTGAATGCCATCTGTTTGCCTATCACTCCATCCCTCTATCCCTTCACCTGTCTGCCCTTCTATTCATTCATAGTTTACTGATCATAAACACCCAAGCCCATTGTGGTCTGCCATCAATTCATTCTGTTTGTAAAAACAGCCTGGCTGTTGCCATGATAACAGCACAGCTGGTATTAGAGATTACTTAGCGCTGCAGGCACATACAGCTGGTGGTACAGAGGTATCCATGGGAACGTTTTTTCAGGTCCACCCATCATCTTATCGGGATTTACAGCAGCGTATGTTCAGATGTTCAGAGAGCGTGACAACTGTGACCCATTGATTTTCAGGATGAACACATTCACTCCTATTTAGAAAGGAGTGTACACTTGTGATACATCTGTGTACCTGTATGTGCCCACTTCTATCAATCATTGATATTGATCACACTTTTGAGCAGCCTTTACATTTTATAGTTTAGTTTTGCACACAAATCGAAATACTTGTGTTCAGTAAGTATACATTGTAATGCTGCTGTGTAGTTTCTGCCCCCCCCCCCCAAAAAAATTAAAAAAATTAAAAAATAGATAAACAAAATTAATTAATTAATTAATTAATTAATTAATTAATTAATTAATTCATAATAATAATAATAATAATAATAAACAATAATAATAATAATGTAATAGCATGAAAAGAAGGCTTGTTAATAATAAAGGAATTGTGACTTGATATCATTTTTATACATTAACAAAACTTGTTGTAAGGAAACTCTGTTTCAGCTTTGAAAACTTGGGGAAGAAAATCAGAGCCCGTCTTTAACCACTGATGCAAATAAATGCCCTGAGGTAAAGAATAGCACTCAGTGAAGAAACCCATCACCCCTATATTTACAGTCTACAGACAATTTACATAACCCACCATATGACCCTGAATATTATCAAAGGTGGGGCTAGGGGAAGAAGGCTATTTGGACAATAGCCCAGGAGAGAAAAATAAAGGAGATATACAGTTTTTGTTTTAGTCCCCAACTGACATTATTTCCCCTCATACAGATCTACTGATTTGTTTTCACTGTTTTATGTGACATCTCTTTTACTGTCGTTCACTGACAAACCTAGCTTTCCAGCCTCACTATTTAGTGAATTCACCTGATTTTGAGTCAAGGAGTCAACAATTGTTTAAAGAATTAACAATTGCTCTGTTTATTAAAAACATAAATACATCTTCATTTATAGAGAATTTTTCATTTATATACACAAACTCATAGAAAGTGGCAGTGTTTCTGAGCTGACTCACACATCTCTATCAAACACACTGACAGTATTTTCTGGTCAGTTAAGGCAGCAGCTTGATCATTAATACAGTGATGCTGTCAAAGTGTTGATAAGTTCATTATTGGTTTTCTTTGACACCACATAATCATTTATCTAAGACTTTGGCATTTGGTTAAAAGAAAAAATCACCTCACACAGCTGATGAACAAGCACCTTCTATGACCCTTAGTCCAACAAAGGTGCTGTACTATAGTGTGAATTACCCAAACTTATCAGATTTAAGGCTCCAAAAATAATGGCTTAAATGAAGATTAAAGTTCCATAATGGCTGACCTGATTGAGTTTGGAAAAGTTCCTTTAAAATGTCTAAACAACCTCCAGTGAAATGTTCCTATACCAACTACACTTTTTGAGGTTGTTTTATGAATTCTTCAATACACAAAGTGTATTGAAAACACGGGTAAAATGTCTACCACCATTCAACACAAAATAATTTCTCTACCGCCCCAGTAATGTAAGTGATAAAATGATTTCATTGTCAACAGTTTTTCTGAGTCAGAAAAGGCAAATTCAGAGTAGATTAGACAAGGTGTCACTGCCTTGGCCTTTGGGAATTGGCAATTGATTCCTGGTGTCAGCAGAGATACTCAGACCGGGAACTGTCACTCTTGTATGTCATCTGGGAGTCAATGCTCGACCTGGAGCATAGGAGCATTCGCTCTGATTCATTGGTCTGCCTCCTTGCCCAAAGCTCTGTTGGATGATTGTTCATGGTCCTCTGTTTCATTGAAATTGTTTCAAACTTGACGTAGCTCTCTTTTTCAAGCTCCTCTTCATCCAAACCTGGGCCACTCCCTTTGCAGTAAAGAGCAAGAATTTTGTAGATTAACAGTGCAATCAAAGGCAGAACCAAAGCACAAGCAATGCCACTTATGATGACAAGAAGCTGGCTCTGCCCACCATCCTCTGCATTGTCCAGTGTGTAGAAGTCAATGCAGGGATCTTTACCGATTGCACTTTCTTTTGCAACAAGGCAAACAGAGTACCTCATCCCAGATGACAATCCCTCCAAGAGTACTTTTCCACTGCCAGCACTGGTCTCTGTTGTTCTTTTGATATCATCCTCTCCATAAGGTGAATATACAACCGTTAGAGGGGCATCATTTGGTAATCCATCTGCAGTCCAAAGTAACACTGCACTGTTTGATGTTTCTTCAACAATTTCCAAGTCTTTGACAGATTTTGATGCATTACTCTTTTTACTCTTTTCATCTGCTGCAAGCTTTCTCCCGTTACCTCCTTGTTGAGCCTTTCCTTGTTTGAGTGAGCCCTTCTGTACAAGGTTGTTGGGAGTAGGTTTTGGCCTCTTGGGGACAACAGATATAGTTGTTGAGGTTCTTGAGAAAGCTGCAGACGTGACAGTAGATATATTGGGGGTATCTGTTGGAAGAGTCAAAGTTGTGCCTTGGCCAGTTGGTGCAGTACCGTTGCTAGAGGTCATTGGAGGGATGGTAGTGCTCATGGTGCCAGCCACGGAGAGAGAAATCGTGGCTTCTGCATTTCCAGCAACGTTTTTAGCTTTGCAGCTGTAGTTCCCTGCATCTTTGTGCACTATTCCAGTCAAGCTCATGATTGACCATCTGACGCCGTCCCCAGGTGACTCCTGGACTAAATTGTGAAAAAAGAACACAAATGTCAATATGGATAGTGTCCTGACCAAGTCTCACTATCAATGAAGACATTTTGGCAAGTGCCACAAGCTTAATTTTGCTACACAGAAGGCATGACAATATAAAACTATGTACAAGTCTCTAAAGGTCTTAGTAAGTATACTTTCATGTTCTGAAATGCTTGAACTTGGAGCACCAGTTTGGTGGTTAAATTATGTGCCCATGTACAGAGGATGTAGTCCTCAGAGCAGGCGGTTCAGGTTCAGTTCCAACCTGCTTGCCTCTACCACATGGCATTCCCCACTCTTTCACAGTTTTTACTCTATTGTGTCAATGGCGACAAGAGAAACCTTAAAATAAAATTTATAATGTTTTAACTGAAACAACAACAACAAAAACTTTTCTGATGTACCTGTGTTGTCGACTGTTGAACCATCGGACTTTGCCCAGTAAAGAGCTGGTGTTGGTAACCCTGTGGTGTCACATCGCAGGAGAACATTACTGCCCAAGGGTGATGTGATCTTTGTTGCAGATGTCATGACCGAGGGTTTTACACAATTGTCAATTTCAGCACGCTGAAAAAGGACACCTGCCAGATTCTCTGGTCCACTGCAGGTCAGGAATAGGTCCATTAAAACCACTGGAGAGTCAGTCATTTTGGAAATTTCAATCATCTTGGAGATTTTACAGTCACAGAACCAAGGGTTATCTTGGAGACCTAAGAAGAGAAAGACAACAGAAAAAAGTAAGCATTTTTGCTGTTCTATGCCGTGGCTTGTCATTCAGCCAAGACTTTATGATGATAACAAAAATAATGGCAATATAACAACGAAGAGGTAGAGAATGTTTACACAACTTTGATTATCACAGTTTAGGTCTGACAGAACTCAACTACTTGTAAAGGCAGCATTTTCCTATAAGACTATGAAGAAAAGTTGATACCACTAACTGTGCAATACAGGTCTTTGATCCTCAATAGATATGTATGACCTTATTAAAAAGAGTAAGGCAGGCCAAGCCAGAAATTCACATGTAGGACAAAGAAAAAGTTCCACTGCGCACACCTAATGTACACAATGGGTGAGCACATGTACTGGTGCATATAAAGCCTGTTAAACAGATTAGTTTGCCTTAACAGTTGCAAAGCACCTAAGCTGGCTTTGGCCTCTCTCCTCACTTTGGCAAACTCTCATTCCACTACCTCTCTGTTGGCTTTAGTTTCCACGGACCACTTAATGACTTTGATTGATTATAATCTGCAAGTTGAATTCAATACTAAGGGAAGTTTTATTACAAGCTAAAGATAAAGCTGTCCAAATCATATTTGAATATTTGCTTTATATTTGTAAATGCATTTGCTTTTCATTTAAATTGTCTCATATTTTGATACAGCCAAGGTAGGAATGCCTCTAATGTACTACCAAGAGCAAATGGTTTAAAAATGTGGAGACAGTACTGTTATCTGTGCCTGGACTGTTTTTCCACAACCTAATCCTGTTCCTCCTTTAGGAACACAAGTCCACAGAGCCACCTTCCTCAGCACAGATAAGCTACCTTGCTCTCATACAGCCTATTAACAGTTTCCCTCCAAGTGTCCGTACATCCTAGACCAAGAAACCAAACAACCAGTCTGTGATGCGGTTAGAATATACAGGAAAACACCTTATTCATTTTTAAGTATCCATATTTATCTGGAATATAAAAGAAAACACACAAATTTGGATGTAATTACAATGTGATAGTTGTACTGCAAAAGGATAACAGGTTTTTGTTATCCCTCATCAATAAGTGGTTTGTTATAGTGTTTTCATTGCACAGGGCTGTGAATGATTGCAAAATTAGACCAACTATTTCATTTACTACATGAACCTCATTGAATAACTGATATGTGTTTTGAATTCCTGTCCCCTGTTTTGTTGTTGATACCTTTTTGCCAAGTACCATTGCCAGAAACTCTTTTTAAATCACTGTGTTGACTATTTTAGAGGAATTTAAAAGCACAGACTCCTTCTCTGTAGTTGTGATTTTACACCTGCTGATATGATGAACACAGTTTAATGGGAACCTAAGCTTTACATATTGATATTCATTTGCTAAAATGAAGTAGGCCTAAATCAGATTTTTTAAAATAATATTTACAGATTTTAAGACTTTACAGAAATTTGAAAAACCCTGATATCAGTTGCAGGCATACTGACCAAATTAGCCATTTTGGCTAGCGTGAATTGGTAGTCTTACTCATATTTATATTAGTTATGTACAAGCAAGTTTTGACCAATAATTTACTAGATCACTCTAAAGAAAATGAAACCTTCAGTAGTTGTTTAGTTTTGTTTCTTACACTATTTATGTGGCTTCAATAATGAAGAAGTGTTTTTGTTGCATGAATGTTTGATCACTGGAAAACACTGTGAGCTGCAGGTCTACTTCAATTGCGTAGTAATTGACTTAATCTACATCTCAGGTGCTCCATCAGAAAGGTTTAAATTGTTCATCTGAACTAGATCTTGCCTCGGGTTGCCAAGAGGCAGTGTGTTAAATATTCAGCTTTGAATTAGGACCATAAATTGATCATGGTGTCCACAGTGCCAACTCTGTCCCTACTTAGAATAAGCTAATTTAACTTTGCACTGACTTTCACTACCAGGGCAGTAGGAGCCAGTCAAAAGAAATCAGACTAGATTAAAAGGTGTTGTACGGATGAAGGTTTTGAGGTTGCTATAGTTAACCCCTTAAGGTCCTTGCCTCTGCTTTTTTTATCCAGTAAGACCAATTCACAAACACTGCTGTGTTCTTACCCAAGACAACTTTCTGAGAACTATTACTGGAGATAGGTAGTCCATTGAATGGAGGCCAGATGTCCATGAGCTCAGAGGGCAGCGTGGTTAACTTGTTGCTGGATAGATCCAAGTAGGTTATGTTGAGGAGGAAGGGAATTGCTTCCATGGGAATATTGGTTAGTCTGTTGTTGTGTAGATCAAGTGTCCTCAGCCTGGGCATCTCTTTCAGAGACTCCCAAGGAAACATGGATATCATATTTCCATCCAGCCTCAGCTCGTGGAGCATTTTCAGGTTGTAGAAGCTTCCAGTATCCACTGAGGTTATGGAATTGTAAGTAATCCACAAATAGCGCAGGTCCGCCAGGTAGTAAAAAGCCTCTGTTGGGATTCGCCGCACTGCTGTTTTCTCAACACGAAGTTTGACAGTATCCACAGGGACGTTGACAGGGATGTCAGACATGTCTGGATCATTGCAGAGCACAGATCTGGGAATAAGAACAGGAAGTTAAATAGTTTGCATGTATCAGAAAACAGGCAACTGTTTTGGCAACCCTAAAAATGTGTGTCGGCAGAAGACAATGTTGGATGAGCTTTTTTAATCCATCCATCCATCCATCTGCAAAATTGTTTATCCATTTATTTATCATCTATCTCCATCTATGGATCATCCAATCAGTCATCAGTTCATCCATCCGTCTACCAAACACCAATTCATGGATCCAACAGTTCGTTCATCCATCTTTCTATCAGTCCATCTACATCCATCTGCTCTTTCATCCATTCATCACCATCCATCAAACCCTCTATCTGGTCTCTCTGAATTATTTTGTATCATTGTATTATCTTTTAAAACATTTTTCCACTCTTCCCCCATCCTGTAATCCATCCAATTATTATTTTTTTATATCTGACCATTTAATTTGTCCTCTCACCTTTTCATTTATCCATTTATCAATCCATTGGACCATCCATCCATCCAAGTTCTCTAATGTGATTTGGGACACTATTTCTGACATGATTGATGAGCTAAGGGGAAATCAGTGATGGTGGTAACCATAAATATTGCATTTGCTATCAAGTAGCTGTTAATTGTGGCAAAAAAAGTGTTATCCCAGGACATGTGCTGACACACCTAAACAGTTAACATTAACAGTACCACCACTGCAGCTTTGATTCCTTTACCATGCATTACTGCTGAAAAGTCAACCTTCTCTGTGTGTTGTTTGTAATTATTCCCTTTTAGAAACCAATTGAACTCAAGGAATTTCAATTAGCTTGTCTGTCAAAGTAAGTGGACTAAAATTAGCATGTCAATGTGTTGCCAGAACTGAAGTGCAATGACGGAGATGCATGGCACAGGCGGATTTAGCACTGACAGATTATGAAGATGGCAATTAGATCTTTCTCAGGGGTAACTGGATTGGCACTGTACTCAGGAATATGTATTATATCAATACACATCAGCTCAGCCTGATGAATTACACTCTAGTGATCTAAATATGAACCTGTTTTGAAAAAGAGCATGAACAGGCTTGAGCTTGACTATTTTTAACCTCGATGTTTATGCTACTACCTTAATTTTCATGGTTCTGCATTTATCCGAATTCGGTCACATTTCAAACATTTTTGTGCACCTCTCAGCAAATGTAAAAACAATTTGTTAAGTGTGTTATTTTTACCTGAAGATGTTTTAAAAGCCTTTGCACCAGGTGGCTTAGGTGCAGTTCTGCTTTATGTGCTCACTGAAATGGGTCATCTTTTAGTTCAACCACTGAAACACTAGCAAGAATGTCGGTTTCAGTTCAGAACTGGACCTAGATTAATAGATAGCAGGATTTATTTTTATATACCATTCAATAGTTTGTAGGTTGAGGTGAAGAGAGAATGAAAAATTAGGTAACCCTCTTTCTAAGTTTTAGTTCAGGTCTCATTTCTTCCAAATGAACAACAATAGAAGTATGTGAATAAGAGAAGATGTGGAGTTAAATTACCTGGATCCAGTTCCATCTGTTCGTCCATGGAAGACACAGGTGCACTGGGATGGACAGAAGGGATGAGCCATACTGAGGCAGCATAGCAAAACATGCACACAGAGAAGTCGACGCATGATTTCACTGAATGCACCCACAAGTCTCACATCGAGATGATATCAGGAACAAAGACATCCAGATTCATTTAGAGCCTGAAGATTTACTCTTCATTTACACACAGATGGAGAATAAAGGAAAAGATCTTCAGAGTCCATAAGCAGCACCAGTACACAGGCTGAGGATCTAATTACAGTACAGGTGACCTGTCAGATTGACTGCGAGTGGGTGGGGGTGGGGTGGGGATTAGTGGAGGATTTCCTTGAGTTTGACAGGGTCACGCAACCAAGGCCCTGTCATTTGGACAAGGTGCTAATCATTCTGAAGAGGTTTCCCCTCATGTGATCCAGCCACGCCTTTGTGAATTAGCTCACATACCGACCAAGCCAACTATTGCTTTCCTAAAATAAGCTACCAAGTGTCTCTGAATGTACATGCTCCCAGCTTTGTCAAATCCAGTCAGCTAAGGTGAGCTGATGTTAGAAATGATACAGTGTGAGCTGCCAGGACCATCAGGTTTTCTTTACAGTTCTAGGAACTGCGGTTTTGATAGATCATCGCCAGTCTGCTTTGAGAATATATGAATGTGTACAGTCTGACATAAGCTCTCCAGGAATACAGGTGCACCTTGGATGTAAATGTATTTTCGAGGTGGGGCCCATATGTAAGATCTGTGAGCGACTTCTGTCTGGCACAAGGGTGCTAGGTGTAATCTTGGATGTGATTTATTACCCGACTGGTGAAACAGTGGTTTTGGAAAGTGGGGGCGAACTAAACCTGCCTACAGATGACAGAGCTGCAGTAGTGTACCCCTATCATAATTTGTACACATGATGATTGAGCATGGGTGCAACCGGCTTTTGCTTCTCACAGAGCTCTTATCATTAAATGTTATTTATAATCATTTAATTGAATATATTTACGTATTTTTTACACATTATTATAAAGTGCTGACAGAAGACCCAATCTATATCATTTTAAAAAATATGATCGAAAACAATAGTGGAAAATATGTAACGGCACATTATCAGCACAGTTTCACATTAAATTTTTATTCTTAATGTTATTTTGTCTCTTATTTTTAATGCTTCACAAAAACCAATATACAAATACATCTAACATGAGGAGAATGTAAACTTAAACATAAACTTAAATACATGAATACACACTTACAAATGCTGATGATTGATGTGTGCTTTATTATTTCACTTTTATAAAAATCATTCTGTTCAGTACAAATGTCAATTTTGAACTCTGCAACTTATCATTTGAACCTACATTTGGGAAAGGGAGACACCTAGTGGTATGACTTTGTTTCTTAGTGTAAATATGAAAAACATCCATATGAGCCATCCAAATAATAACCCATCTCTTAACAATATAACCCTGCCTCATTATTTCACCACTCACCTGACAGTTGACATTGGCTCATATAGAACATTAACCAGTGCTGTAAGTGGAAGAAATGAGCGCCAGTACTCCCTGCATTCACTGATTGGCCTATGTGACATAGTGTACTGTGGAGCCAGTATCAGCTTTAACAATTACCATGGTTTAGATTAGTACAGTTAATAAAACACACAATAAAGCTGATGTTCACAACATGCAGCAGGTTCATCAGTGTCAGGATGGTAAAGCTGATTGGTCAGGGACCTAAGATCACTTCAACATGAGTATACATGGAGAGTAAATAAAGAATTGAGAATCACCAAATTTATTCTTTTTTTTTTTTTATTGTTATTTTTGCCTTGTACTTTTTGTGTCTTGATCCTAAATTGAAAATATTATATAGGCTATTAATGCTTGTGTTTGCTGAATTTCATATTTGTCATAGTGCTGTAAATGTGACTGTTTTGAAGCACTTCAAACCGTTCCTTTTATTTTAAGTGCTCTGTAGATAAAATTTCCCATCAGGCCATATAAACTACAAAGTGGCTTTGGTGTGCAGTACAAAGAGATCAGTGTTGATGAAAATTAAGTAAATGAGCATCATTTAATGCCTGCAGAAGGAGGTGGCTATTATGTAGTTTGCTATTTGTGATATATTTGGGTTGCTGGCTGCTATGAATTGCTAAGATAAACTGTAACATGGAGAAGACAGAAAAAAAGAAGACCAGTTTCTTTTCAGCACCAGTCATAAAAATCTATTCTCACAACCAGCTGAATAACTACCCCACACAACAAAATGGAGAAAAGATACATGGAATATTTATTAACAAGTACACAAGTGAATTTTATTAATGCAAGCAAATTTGATCATACAGGTCAAATAAGCCACTTCAAGCTGTTGGCACATGGATGTACAAAACAGATTCAATTGAAAGCCTGCTACTAAGCATTCGTAGTGAAAGTACAAAAGACTAATACGAGGAGAAAGCTGAAAGCATTTTTTCAGGTCATTACAGAGTAAGCAATGTCGGTACAAGTATTAGTTTTAAGACATGGTTGAGAGCTCATCACAAACTAAACAGACACAACTCAAAGACTACAGTCTATTATCAGAAGCGTAACGCGAGAAGCGTGGGAGGTTTTAGTACTGCACATATAAACAAAGGGTTGATCCAGCAAGACAGTCAGAAGTGTAAAAATTAGAGAAGTGAAATAAAGTAACTTTTGAGTCAATAAGACTATATTAATGCATGTCCATGCCACGAAAAACATCTAAATTCACAGTCTTTACTAACAGTACAGTTATCCAACTTGGAGTTGAACACCAATGCGCTTACACCTAGAGAGAGAGCACAGAAATGGTCAAATAAGTGCATGAAACTAGCATCAAGGAACACTGACAAAAATACATTTTGCCAGGTAATGAACTGACAGGCCACCTCTGTAGTCACGTGGCACCGGGATGTGTAAGCAATACAGTTACCATCATGAACAAAGTTACTGTGACACACACTTTTCTCACATCCGATAAATCCACCAAGGAGTGCTGTAGCACCAACAATTGTTATAGTCAAAGTTTGTTTTGGGTTGAGACTGACTGATGCAGAGTGGACCGACCCACAGTGATCTCTTCTTAATTTAATGTCAGTGCCTAACATATAGGTATGATTTGATATATCAGTATATACAGTGCAGAGTTCTGCAAAAAACAGGAGTTTAGTATTTAAAAAGTTAGGAAACTAAAAAAAGGGGTCAGGAAAGCTTGTTTGCATGTGCTTCGTAGCTTGTGATTCAAAGAGGATGGAAACGTCACAGTCCTAAAATACATCAAGTTGGCAATGTTATCATAAAATAACCCACAGCTATCTTTGATTGGCTAATCCCGTCTTTGACATCTATCAAAGTCATTGTTTCCTGTTTAACAGGCTTGGCACATCTAGCAAATATTTGTTTACTCTAATCATTTGGTATTTATCATCATGTTGCTGTTGTAGTGCTTCAAATAGAAAAAACAGATTGATTACTTTCACCCGAAAGCATGTTTAATCCCTGGGAATACTAGTATGACGAAGGCTTACAATGTTTTGTGGTTGCATTGTGGTACTTCAGATATTTTAAAAACTAACCACCCGTTCACATACAGTACATAGTTCTTGAACATGAAATCTCCAGACACACGACATGAGAAATGTGCTTGAAAACCCTTTGAAGCCCCTGTTGACCCCCTCAGAAATCAGCAAAAAATAAATTATACATGAGCAAAATGACACTTAGCATCAAATAGAAATTTAAGAAAATTAAACAATTCAACTCAAATCATTCAAAGTAAAAAAAAAAAGCTTGAGTACTACTGCTACTTCTGATTCTACAAACTTCACTAAAACTACTATCAGCATGAAACGACTTGTATCAAGAATAATAAAACTGCCATAATGATAATCATAACACCATTCATGAGAGAGGTAAAGGGGCTTTTTTTTTTCATCTGAAATGCTGTTTGTGACTGAGGAGGCTTGTATGACGTTCTCCTCCCCAGACCACATTGTCATATGACGCACCAGTGACATCAGCGGTGGCGAGGGCCCTAGGCGCCATCCGCCCCCCCTCGGGAGGGGATGGTAGAGAGAGAGATAGAAAGACAGAAGAGAGAGAGAGAGAGAGGCCGGAGTGGCAGGGCCAGGCCTCACGCTGGGCTTTATGTGTAGGCGTTCAGACGCTCCTTAGAGCGGGTGGAGTGGATGTCGTGAAGCTCCTGCTCCTCCTTGGACTTGATGTCCTCGTACTTCTGCATTCGACACGCGTCCTTCACATAGGCCCAGTTGGCTGAAAGCACCATCAAGTAATGAATCTGTTGGAGGAGGGAAATGATGAAGTGTGGGAACAGTGTTGAATTCTTTTTAAAAAAGTGCACCAGATAAACTTGATGTAATTGTAATTTTTCAATCAAATATAATGGGAAAAAAGAAACAGACTTATTGTCAGAGTAAAACCAGAAAAAGCTAAAGCAGTAATCACTCAGGATAGACTTTATTCATGGGATAGACTCAGGGCTGATATTCAGCACTTGGATGATTATCTGTTTTTGCCTTTTATTCCACAAATGGAAGATAAAATTGTTGAATTTAAAACTCTCACCGTGTCTTCCCCTCTAAGTCTGTTTTCTTTCACTAGTTTATCTCGGCTCATGGCCCACCTACAACACTGTTTGATCAACTACATATCATTCAACTGTGTGATGTAATTGTAGAGTCAGAGTCAACTGTTAATTCCTGTATGTGAAAACCCAGTATATTCCACTGCGTTTCTAAAATTATGATTAGTTTCTGATATTTTTCTTTATCGTTATGTCTTGAATGCAGCCCGATAAAATAGACTTCTGTGATGTAAATCTTAAATGTAGTAAATAGACTTGAAGTCCTCTGTGAGTGGACTTAAACTAAGGAGGATTTTTCCTGTAGTCCAGCAGGTGGCAGCATAATGCCAGATGTAGTCTTGCACTTGCGTTACCATGGCAGCTGAGGTTATAATGAAGGTATTGTGCTTTAATAACTGACGTTGTTGCACAGCTATCTCTAAACGTGAAATAATGTTTTTAATCAGCGGCGCTCTCTTCGGTATTAAAAGCGCCGAATACGCTAATGATTTTGTGTGCACTGCTCCTTTTCACCTCAAAGTTCAGAAGTCGAATCTGATCTGTTTCTGAGACGCTTTTTTGAGTCTCCAGCTTTGATGGTCTTGACAGCAGCTCACTGTTGGCGTGCATCGGTGTGAATTTGTTGCGATGAAATTTTCTCTGTTGTCGGCTCGAAGAAAAACAAGGATGTCCTTTTGCAATTTGCAGAATCATCCCTGAGTAGGAAACACTTTCTGTTTCTCAGAAAATGGCCTCTCACGATTTACTGAGTGATGTTTGCAACATTCTGCAAGCCTTTCTTCTTCCTGTTTCCATGACAACGACATGACATGCCTGGCGCCTCTGAGAGAGGGAGGGAGGCAAACCCTGTCTTTTTCACTGCACCAAAATGCCTTCTCTCCTCAACTACAGCTATTCTCTCACCGGCTATAAACCAGCCACAACAATCAGGCTGTTTTCCAGCCACACTCTTTCCCCTCAGTCACCCTGTTTTCAAACACCGTACTCTTATCCCTGCAGGGATAAAACCATCCATCCATTATAAAGAGTATCAAACCTCGCTGTTTTTGATTGATTTTAAAACATTTTCTTTATCGTTCATGCCCAAGTAATTGACTTTTAATGTTTTGTCTTTTACTCTTTGATAGAAATGTTTGGATTTTATCAGCATCTCACCATAGCAATAACAGCAGCTCCTGCTCCAGCGAGGGCACAGATGAACAGGTGGAAAGTCATGTCCAGCTGTCGAAAACAAAACAGATCACAGCACAGTTTAGTCCTCCAGATCCTGGGAGACATTTCTGCTAATCTTGCAAGCCCACTTATGAACCTTCAGCTTATTAGCGTTATTGTTTTGCCGTCAGTTATCACATTGCGTTGTGGCAGATAATGTGGTAATTATTAGGATTCAATCTAGCAAATCTTCTTGTATGATTTTACTCAAGTAGAAAACTTAAAGCTCCTCTGAGGATTTTTCAGCTGGATGTAAAATAGACCGTAACAAATACTGACGTTTCCACATGAACCTAAAAGTAGGCAGGACCATCCACATGAAGATTTCCTGTTTCTTTGTATTTATTTCTAATGTTTTACCTCACTCACAGGGGGTGGACATCAGTCAGTACATCTAAATGCAGCGTGTCTGCCTCTGCCATGGTTAGGCATTGACATTTACATGGTAAAGATTCTCAGTGAGTCATATATTTGAGTGTTTGAATAGAGTGGGCTCAGCTTATTTGTAACATAACACATGTACAGGTCAAAATCAAGAAAAGAAACAAAGAAATAAGAGGTCACACTTTGTCTTTAGAGAGCTGTAAGTTCCTCACTGGACCTTTAACTTGCAGAGTTATCACAGAGAGAGCAGCAAAGCTATTTACATGGTCTAATTGTTGCCTCTGTTCTTTAGCCTTACCTCAGTTGATTCACACATCTTGTAGAATTTCTCTGATCCAGCGCACACTTTTTTTGCTTCAGCAATTGGCACAATACCTGGAATGACACGCCCTGTGCATTAATCACATAAGAAATGTAGTTTTCTGTAAACCAAAGATAATCATAATCACACACAAGCAAATTATACTATAGGCCTCGATATGGTGGCGCTCACAGAGATGGTTGTTGACACAAAGGCCGTTAGTATTAGTAGCTGCCGGTGGCTAATGGACTGAAAGAGGAGGCACTAATTAAAAATAATGAGATGGCCATATAAGCCACTAATGTGATGGACCTTCAGCTTGTATTACTGTAACATTATTCTGGATCATTTAAGCTTACAAGACTGGCAGAAACAGTGGGTCCAGGATTTCAATATTGTTAATTCTTGTAATCGTCGATTATGAACATCATCAACAAACTTGGCCTTTTACATCATTTTATTGTTGTAGATGTGAGCTGAAATAGAGAAAGTAAGGTGTGAGATTGGCTGTGGATCAGTAGAATATTTGAGAGTGGGGGAGTTGGCTCTGTTGTTGGCCCAAATCTGTAATTTAACTGAGTAAAACGGGTAAAAAGCTCCATCCAACTCAGAATTTCAAACAGAGATATTCAATGAAACAAACCAGGGGCTACAACCTTTGCCAAAAGTAAGGATAAAAGCAGCTGCTCGACATAGATATGGGAAGAGTTCAGCAGTTTTGGGGCAGTAAAGGTCTGAGGTACTAAGATCAAATCAGTAGGGGGTGAAGAAATAGAGACGGAATATCCATCCTCACCATACTGGCGCGGATCCAGGCAGAGTTCGGCCCCCTCCAGCACAGTAGCGTTTTGGCAAATGTTCCAGATGTTGAAGTAGATAAAGACTGGGAGGGAGGTAAAAGCAGTCACCCCGAGCCAAGCCAGCATGAAGATGTATGTCAGCATGATGAACTGAAACAGCATCAGAGAAACACAAATTAAACGTAATGGTGACAATTTTACTAAATGAGGTAAGAAACATGATTGAATTTCTGCGTTAATTCAACTGTAAGAGTTTCAGGGATCCCCAGACAGTCACTCATAAAAAACAGAACAGCATGTGTTTCAGGGTGCAGATATCTTGCCTGTTTCTGCTTTAGCTCAGCACAGCCTGCACCTTTATTTTCTGCAACCTCATATATAATCCTGTGCAGAAACTCAGTCTAGTCTCATAGACCTTTACAGCTTAGTCATAAATATCTGTCCCACCAGCTTTAGAGCATCCACAGACTCAGACCAAAGAGAACATTCTCCCTCTCATTGCTACAGTATACTCTATGTAGAAGCTTCTTTTAATTTTCAATTTAAAGACATACAAATGTAGTTGGTTTTGTGGTCTGTTCCAGGGCACCACATCAGGGCACTGGATCTTAAGAAAGACAAATTAGCTAGTGTCAATTTCTGCCCTTTTTTAAGATCTGGGGTGTCCCCTAGCCACCACTTGCCCATTTCTGCCAACTCGTCTCATTTTGGTTTACACATTTCTATGGGCGCGAGATTAGACACGCTCAAATTGAATGACCCTGATGACCACATGTACCACAGCATAGCTCATTTCCTTCGCCTCCCTGCGGAGCTTCATATTTGCTAAGCAATTATATCCCAGAGATAATCTCGTTAGGATTGCTGCAAGCTCCCCGATATGCTTTCTATCAGACTGCTTCTTATTTTTTGTTGCAATTATGGTATTTAAATAAAATCAATTAGTCCATAGCTCTCATTGTGCCCTCCAGAAAAGCAGTAATTTCTAATGTTTGGGTGGTCATTCGACATCACCTCACCCAGAGTATAAAAACAAAGACTTTCTGCTTGGATCCCTGAGAACTAATACAGTGAGAGCGGAACACAAGGCATGAATCGGGTGAATAAAAGTGTCGCTTACAGAACCCTTCACACGCTCAACCTTTGAGGTTAACTTCCTGAGGGACTACCTGACATTTAGACTGTTAAAATACCAAGTGAGTCCTGAAAAGTGGAGCAGCAAGAGAAGCTCGTAGTCCTGGAAGTTGCAGTTGCAATAAAAAGAAAAAATCCTCACAGTCTGGGCGGCTGATTATGCAGAGACTTCATTCAAAAGGAAACAGTCAGCTAAAAGCTTGGTTTGGCCGTTCCTTTACAGGGAGCAATATTTTTTGTAGCTGTCAGTGTGTAAACTGGAAATACAAGTCTGTAATAAATAGGTCAAGACAGGTAAGGAGATGGAGGACGGTTCAAAAGTTGTAGCAGCTGAAGTAGATGAAGTTAATGTAGGAGCAGCTTGTGGAGTAGTTATCATCCATTTATCGTTATTGAGGTGAACTGCTCAATATATCGTGCTTTTGATTTGAGGCCATATCACCCAGCCCTATGTTGTAGTATTGATGCAGACCAACAAAGCTAAGGTCCTACCCAGGCGCTGACACAGCGTCCACAGGTGGTGATCTTGAAGTCCCCATACAGATCTTTAATGGCTCCACTGGTGAAGAAGCCCTCCACCATCAGCAGGATGCCGTAGACGAAGAAGGCTGAAGCAATACCGTAGATAACATACTTGATAATATCGATCCTGGAGAAGAAGAAAACAGATTTGGTTGGTTGGTCTGATGTTCAGGTCAATAAAAGCAATTTATTCTTAAATCTGTTTCTACTTACATGGTAAAGACATCTAGTGCATCCACAGGGCTCCGCACCACCTCGAAGTAGTTCTGGAGGATGGTGACGGTACCAGACAGGGCCTCATGTCCGCAGCCGCAGAACAGAGCCACACCAGCATACAGTAGGATAGTAGCTATGAGGGATGGGTATGGGATCCCCCCTAAGCATTTGATGCAGCACTCCAGGCATCCTAAAGACACAGAAAAGGACAATAAAACGTCAGGATTCCTTCAATTTCTGACAGTTCAACAAAATCTGGGGGAACATTTTTGCAAGTTACACGCTGTACTGTAATTCTTGATGAGTTGTGAGACAGTTGTTGTTGTTGTGGGAGTGTGTGTGCCCCACAGCTAAATTACAGAGCTTTTCCTCATGTTCGGGGAGCTGATTTCTCCTAGACTAAGTCTTGGAGCATTGGAGCATTCAAAATGTCAAGTTGGACTCAGCAGTCTCCATCCATGCAGGAATGATGTTGCACGATCCCTTCATGCTCTTGTTTTGTGCAGCTGATTTATTGCACCTGTTTGTCTGCCATACAGAGGACTCTGACATTTTGTTCAGGACCAAAGCTCTGCCTAAGCTTCACATACTAATCCTGACCCTTAACCCCATTCCTCTCTGCCCGCCTTGCTGTCCCAAGGGGCCTCTGAAGTGACTAATCACCACTCAGCTCCAACTTCGATCTACTGTTGCTCAGACTGCACTCACACTCGCTGCTGAGTCTGTAAATGCTTGCGCTCTGCATTGCACTGCATCAATTTATGAGTCTCACTATCAGGCTTGTGTATTACTGTGTGTTTTGGGACACTGAGTCACACGTTTCGGAGCACAACAACATCAACAGAAGTAGAGTTTATTACATTCGGAAACGGGGAACAAAACCAGACTCTATGGGGTCTTTGAGTGCGGTGCAGCACATGAATCACACTGACATATTCTTTCTCAAAGCCCAGCCAATCCTCAAACAATTTTAAATGACAATAAAGAGCTTATTACAATGAGTGCTATAAAAGTCCAAATCGGTACACATGTAAATGCACACATGTAATTCTATCTTCATAGACATGAAAAATCCCTCCAATCTGTTCCTGCAATATCACAGCCCATTATTTATTTCATCTGCACCGACTCTGCCGTCCTCATTTCATTGTCTGTTGTGCAGAGGATAAAAGATTCCACAATTGTTCATCAAGGATGTTTTTAAGCGCCGTCTCTTTCATGGTTATCTCACTGTCTTTACCTGCATTACAAAGCAGGAGCCCGAGCAAATGTCCCCCCCTCCTCATCTTCCTACATTTCCTCAACTCCCTGCCTCTGCCTCTAATCTAAACGTGAGCGGAATACCAAGTAGCCAGTCTGCCTGCTGGGCTGTACTGAATACTCAGACGCATGGTGCAGCACAGACCCTCACCCAGACAGGCCTAGATTATCGGCATCCCCACTGTGTAATCCAGCGTTATAGCAGGGAACGTCTTTTCTTCCTTGACGTCTTATTTCTGTCCAGGAAAGCTGAGAATGGACGCTTTTGTTTTATGGATTTCCTGTTTGAGTTTTTATTCTTAGATCAAACCAACTATAAGGAATAATTGAGTGCTTTTTGAGTCTGTTCCCTGTTTTGAATTATGGGAAGTCTGCATAATTGAAGTCCAATTAGTGCTCAAATTGATGTTTTCCCCAAAAGCTCTAACACTTTATTTAGAGGTTTTCTGTAGGTGTTCATTTCAAGGACACAGACTCTTGTAGGTTTAAGAAGACATCAACTGGTGGCTGTTTCTTGACAGTCCACTGTTCCCTATGCTTTGGTGTTTGTCCAACACATCCCCTTTCCTAGCCCAGAGGGAGTGGGATATTACCTGCAATGGGTTATCAAATCCAAGAAACACCTCACCTTTGGTGCCTTTTAGACTAACAGGTACTGACAGTGCCATCTGACACTCACTGCCGGGTGGTTTCACACCAATTCACACCTTGAATTGTGTGAGCCTGTCAACCTGCAAGAGGTTTAAATGGCTCGGTCCTCCAATTTCCCATCTGCAGAGGAATGCAGCCTTTTGGATGAGGTGGGACACAGTTTAAACCGAGGAGTTAACTCTAACGGAGAGTGCGGTTAATAAAAATGAACCTCTTTGATCGAATCATGAATGCTACACGATCCTTTTCATCGTTCAATTGAAAAACCTGACTCATCCGCACATTTCCAAGTTGTTTCCCAAAGTACCAAAGGGCAGCTCACAGATTTAATGTGTGAATGCTGAAAAATTACAAACACACTCTCCACAATACATTGCCTTAACTGTAACTGGCCACTCGTGCACGAATATCTCTCTGAACAAACCAAGATAACCAGATATGTCGAGTGCAGAACCAATGATGACTTTGAGAGACAGAAAGTGAGAGTGTCACCAATTCTTCCTTTACACTCATTATCTCCGGTGACCTTTTTGTTTCGGGAGGCAGGCAGTGACAGGATTTACTGATGTGATAGTGCTTCCTGACAAGGTGAGTAAGAGTGCTCACATTTACTCTCAATGGCTTAAGCAGGAATAAGAGAGAGCACCATCCAGACCCGTGGTGTAGAGGGTCTGTTTTGTTAACAGCATTTTTAAAACTAAACACAGTTCAGTGTTTTCAGCTCTCTCAATTGAAATTGGTTTAACCATAGACTGTATATACTATGGACAACTTGGCTCTGCCTTCCGTCATTATACAAATTTAATGCTGAATCGCTCTCGGTAATTCTAGGATTTTCTCCACTTCCTAGAACCACCACTTGCGCAGTAGCGTTGTACGCATTCGGCAGGAGAGTCGAAGTGGGTTGCTGTGATAACACTCGGCCTAAACAGCGTATCCCTCGGGTGAGCTATGCAAGCTTCGTATACCCATAGGCTGTATCAAGTGTCAATCGTAGAAAACATGAACCCCCTGATAACTTAAAAACTGAGCTTCACAGAAAAAAGAGGACTTGAGCACAAACCAGTCTGACAGTAACTACATGTCAACATCGCAAGCTGGGAGGAGGGAAATTTATATTCTGTGTAATAAATTTCTAAAGTTTGTCCTCAGCTCCATATGGGATTCCTGGAGAAGGTGGGATTTATGACCTATACTGCAACCCGTCACCAGAGGGTGCTGTTCTCGCGGTGGCTTCGCCCAGCTAGGAGGCAAACGGCATCAATTCTATTTATAGTCTATTAATTTTACTTAAGGAACACCACCATGCTCACCAATGTCACTTCTTGACTGACCAATCAGAATCACAAAAGAGCAGGACTTCTAATAATGCCAACAATGGCAAAGCTCCATTCAGAACTTCCTGCAGAAATCCCCTGAAGTGTTTTTTTCAGTTTTTACAACCTTACAATGTGCACAAACGGTTTCCTTTTGGGATAAAGTAGTTGCTGTGTTTCTGTGAGGCCTGCCTGTAACATTTTGGGAATATTTTGAGCCTGTGCTTTGCATGAGGGGTGAAATGAAGTCTAAAATAAATTATTCATATCCCACTTTTAATCAAGGTTTATTACTTCTGCATTATTTACATTTCTGCACACAGATTAAACCAGCTGAACTCCGCATGCAGCTCTTTAAACACATTTTCCTCGCCCCTGATGTACCAAACAGATCAATAGTCCGATGTCACAGCTGCTTATTACAGCGCAGAATAACAGAGCTGGCAGGTGTTTTGCATCACAATACAGCGTGAGCTACAACAAAACAACATCTTCAATGTGACTTGACAGAGAGAAAGTTGTTTCCATGGTAACAGTGAGAGATGAAGTTACAGGAGAAGATGGGAGCATTAGTGAGTGGTTGTAACAAGAGTGATGTTTTATTGATTATGGGCTTTTAATTTGGTGGAGGGAAAAACTCCATTTAGCAAGGAGACGTGTATTAGGAAGGGGCAAAATGAAATCATTTCAAATGCAGCTACTGAATGGTAGAAAAGTGTACTAATAAAACAACAACATCCCTGTTACATCCAAGCTTTCTGTTCTGAGGATTTTGAGGGTAACATTAGACTATGTTTGGGCCGCGCTTGGATTGCTTTATGGATTTAGGAGTTTGATTAACTCCGTCTCATTCCAGCACATCCCCTCATTTCCTCTCTGTAACTCTTCATTGATCTTAACTGACTCGCAGACGGTGCTGGTGAAAAATGGAGGGTGGTGGTGCAAAACTGACTCGAAGAGCTACTGGATGCTTGATCCATAATTTAAAAGCGGCACTGTGAAGCAGAGCACGAGCCTTTGGCATTCATTATTCATGTCTTTTGCTTAGTCCAACATTACCTGAAGTAAAAATAAAAGATCCTTGCTTGATTGATCTGTGCTCACGGGTGTAGTTGCGCTTGTCTTCTTAAGTACAGGCCAACAAGTCAATTTGGAAAAACGGCTTAAAAGACTTCAGCTGAGACCAGAAAAAAATGACACAGTTGTTTGAGTACTGTACTTTGTTTTTGAAAAGCAGTCAGTAATATGGGGAGCTATCTGAGTCATCCTTTTCATTAGCAGGATGTTTGAGTCTTAAAGGATGTCTAATGTGAGGGACAAATATTATGGCAGATTCAACAGTTTGGTTCCTGAGGCGTGTGAAGTGCAGTAATGTGACCTCACCACACACTGACAGATTCCACTCACTAACAACCAGAGTCCTAACTCTCAAAACTGGAAATCTCCCACAGTCTCTCATGGCCTTGGAGTAAACAAACATGGCAGATAACAGCATGGTTGTCAAGCTCAACAGAGCTCGCTGCTTGGCTATCTGGTACATCTACTGTGGTAACAATTTCTGCTCAGCTGCTCTGCTTGTCAGTTCAGTTGTTATCTGCTTTTCAGGACAAGTCAATGAGTTGATCCTTTGTTTAGTTTTGTCAAAAAGACTGTGTTTCTGTGCTTCCTTATTTATCAGTTGGTTTATTTCCCAAGTGATCGTGGTCACATGTCATGTCATAATCCACAGCTGTCCTTCAGGTCCCTCTCGACTTGATACTGAACATGTTAAAAATTCAACTCAGTGTGGCTCCAATCATCTTCCCAGCAGATTTAGGCAAGTAAAGTCAATCTGAACACACATCACATCCCCGGGGAAATCTGGTGAGACAATCCAAATAACCTGAAAACATAAAGAGATATTTGGCCAGAATGGGGGAATCGGTTGGCCTAGCGGTCTAAGCGGCACATGTAGAGAAGCTATAGACCCTAATTTTGGGGTTGCAGGTTGGATTGTAAGGGAACATCGTACAAAGAAAAGGGCCTGTATAAAGATGGACTCTTAAGGGGCCTTACCTGCATTGACAGCCATTCATTATTTTCTCTATGTGGGACCCTCTACCATAAGGGCTCTGTACACTCAGTACACTTTCCCCCCAATGTGTGACATCCCCTTTCTGGAGGCTATCCCAAAAGCACTGAAGGCCTGTCAGGTTTAAAGTCTATCATAGTCCTGAACTGGGGGTTATTCTCTGGACTAATTTGATAATATGAATCTGACTCAGAAAATGAAAAACGCTGCAGTTTAAAGATTCGTTTTTATCAATGTAAGGTTGTTTTGTATTTTAACAAGTCACACAAGAAAGACTCTTTTTAGGGAGAAACAAGTCTAAACATTATGAACTTTAAACAGAGGGTCACAGAAAACGATGGAGTTGCTGGTTATTCACACAAAAAAAAGCTTCTGTTCAGGGAAAAAGAAAAAAAAACGTGAAGCCTTCATGACCCCAAACACTGCAGCCCAATCAACAGAAGGCGTCTCCCTAATACAAAGGGAAAGGATGACCCCCTCCCAAGGCCCCTCCCACCTCCTACTTCTCCTCCATCTGTCAGTGTCACATCCGACAGGCAAAAGGGACACAAACACACTCACACACTCAGACTCTCACTGGTTTGGTCAGCACTCACATGAGGGATGAGGTCATCCTTAAATAGTGCTGAGAGTGAGAGGACGTCATTTAGGGAAAACATGACTCCAATGTCCGGTAGACGCAGGGGTTCTTGATGAAGGACTTGCTGCTGGTTTTAATGTGGTGGATTTAGCCGGTTTATAGTTCTTGTTAGTGTTGTCACAATATTTAGTGTGCCATTTGTTAAAAAAAAACAGAGAGGGTTTTAAAAACACAATAGGATCTAATGAAGTCTGGTAAACTTGATTAATCATGACACAGACTTTAGTAATGTAGATCCAGTCAGCCCTGTTTGCCTTATAAGTTCATTTAAGTCTATTACTCATGTTTTCTAGTTGGAGTGATGGGTCATTCTTGCTGATGGTGTAGGTGGAGCAAAAGCAGCTTCCTTTAATCTTCACTTATCTCCTTCCCCCACAGAGCCGCACTGTTTTCTATGACCTGTACAGTAACATCTCCTGTCCTCTTTTTTACAACTTTGGTCCATTTTAATCTCAGCTGACACTTTCAGGGTCAGTGATTTTGTGATTAAACCTTTTCACCAGTTTGGCCATCATTTAATAAATGCTGGATCAATGCAGACCCTTTTCTACGCAAGAGAACTCAAGACATGGACATCAGAATGAATCAGGCACTTAACTGACCCATCATTCCTCATTTCAGTCTGTCAAAGTGGGAGGGGTGAACACATGCTTACTGCTTAACCAGCCTGGCCAGGGCAGGAGGGTAAAGAGGTGGACGTTGCTCTGCTGTGTGAGCTTCAGTGATGTTGGCTGAAGCCTGTTGTACCCCCTGCAACCTTGTCTGAAGTTTTTTTTTTTTCTTATTTTAAATTTAAATTTTATTATTAGATGTTTTGTACCTTTATTGGATAGGATAGGAAACTTGTCAGATCAGAAATAGGGAGTGACATGCACAGCAGGAGCCTTAGGCTGGAATCAAACCTTGGCTGTCAGCTTGAGGCAAGAAGTTAGACCACTGGGCCAGCGGTGCTCCTATTCCCTATTTTTTTTTTATGGCATTAAATGATTGTTTAATATTGGTACATAACTTTCTTTCTTTCTTTCTTTTTGTATTCTCTTTCCTTCTTTCTTTCTTAATTCTTTCTGATTTCATTCTTTCAGTCTTTCTTTCTGTTTTCCTTTGTTTGTTTGTTTGTTTCTTTCTTTCCTTTCTTCTTTACTTCATTCTTTTTTTGTCTTTCTCTCTTGCTGTGTTTCTTTCTTTCTTTCTTTTCATTCTTTTTTTCATTCTTTCTTTCTTTTCTATTCTTTCTTTTTTCTTTCTTTTTTCTTTCTTTCTTTCTTTCTTTCTTTTTATTCTATTTTTCATTTTTTCCTCCCTTCTTAATTCTTTCTTTCTTTCTTTCTTTCTTCATTCTTTTTCTTTTTTCATTTTTTCTTTCTTTCTTTTTTATTCTTTTTTCCCTTCCTTCTTTCTTTTTTTATTCTTTCTCTTTCTTTTTCCTTCTTTCTTAATTCTCTCTTTCTTTCTTTCTTTCCTCACTTTTAATGATGGCCTGTGTCACAAATCCTTAACATTTTTCTGTGTCTCATTGAGAAGGTGGAGTTATCAGTCATCTTCATCCTGTCTTAGTTGGTTTAATGATTTATATGACCGTATGTTTGGTCACTGCTGGGTTTGAATAAAGTTATTTAGTCCAGCTTTTATATTATAGACATGTACAAAATGTTCTTGGCCCCCTCAGCTCTATCATACTCAGTGACTCACTGAGTCATAGTTTGTCAGTTTTGTCACGCTCAAGTTTGCAGACCTGATCAAAGCGACTGGAGATACAGAGTCCAAAAAAAGGAAAACCTCATTTAGTCGCTGATGTTAATTATTGGAATTATTTTTGGCAACATTTCAGACAATTTCTAATCCCACAGTCAACAGAATATGGCTCATCAACGTTGGTCTGATCCCACATTTTAGCTTCTTCAGGATTAAATTTTCCTACAAAGACTGTTTTGTCTCTTTGATGCTTCCCTCTTCAAATGGTTTTCCTGGCTGATCTGTTTTAAGGACTAAAGGACTGTTTCAGGCTTTTGCATGTTGTTCATTTATAGCCAAACAGAAAATGAAGAAGATGATGTGTTTGAAGAGTAAATGAATAGAATTAAACAAAAGGCCAACAGTGAAGGGAATGGTAATCTAATTTTGTGTCTGCCGCATGTTAATTTCACTTACACCACAAGGAATCCAATCAGACTGCGTTTTTTTCACATTCAGCTCGCACTTATTAGTTTCTTGTTACCAGAGGAGTTTTCGAGTGGGGGAGGGGAGGCAGAAAGCCCGGTCCTAGAGAGAGAGGGGTAGAGGGAGGCTGAGAAAGAGCGAGAGACAGGGGGAGAGACCCTCAGAGGGGGGGATGGTGCGTCTGTGTCAGTCTGAGAGTAATGGGCGTATACAAGTCTCGTTGCTTTCCTATATTTAATGCGCTGCCCCCCTTCCCCTGAAGCAAGCAGGTTTTTTCAGCTTCCACACGCCCCCATCTCCTCCGTGCATGTTTAATCAACCAGTATGGTTGCCATGTCAACCGCAGCACAAAATCTGAGAATAGACCGGGTACTTCAGAGCCATGACCCACTTACTGTATGTCAACAAATTCAGTGGGACAATAGTGAATGAGACACATTACTCAGATAACCCCCTCTGGGTGAAAAGGACGTTACAGGCCAGGTCCGAAAGCTCAGCCGCTCATTTCCTCTCTTTCTTTTTCTGCTGAGAGATGGATGAGTCTGAGCATGACTGCGTGACTGCTGAGCAGAGATGTGTCTTTTGTCTGAGACAAGTTCACTCCAGGAATGGAGGGGCAAACGTCATGCAGTCAGGACATCACGGGACAGAGGTTGTTCCTCCTACTTTCAGTCTATACATCTGAAGCGTGCAGTTTAGGGAAAAGAAGTGTTTCAGTGTAAAACAAAACAATGAAAAAAAGAGCGTTCAGTCAAATTAGAGCGAATACAAGAGTGAAGAAACGCTGTATCCTCTAAACTCTACTGGTGAATGCAATTATCTTGCTTATTTGTCATCATCCATTTGTAATGATGCACAAAGTTATATTTTTCTGTCGCCAGCCTCACGACAGAAACACCTCATTAAACAAAAACTCAACATCTTCCACTGTATTATTCATCTTTTCCACAAAAATACCGTCTTTTATATGAAAATAAAGTACTCTAATTCTAATTCTGAAAATAAAACTAACCAAACACCTGCTCTCTTAGTATCTTGAATCTAATCTTGGCGCTCATTCCTGTGAGAACAGTAAGAAAGACCTCTGAAGTTCTCCACTAACAGCCCCCAACAAAGTTCATTTGAACAATTGGTGGAACTCCCTTGACTTCTTCAGGGCCGGGGCAGGTTAGGCTTCAGAACAATGAGTGAGAGAGCGAGGGGGGGAGAGTCATGGGGGAGGAGGGTTAAGGACAGTAGCATGACCAGGGCTCACTGAGCTGATACTGGACTCTGAGTTAAAGCTGTTATGTCAGAGTTGTAGAGCATAGAGGCCATCAGTCAAAAACTCTTATTTATATCTCCTCTTAGCTTAATTTAAGGAAAGAAAACCAACACAAATGACTGTCAAAAAAACTTCTTGTATATGCCAGAACTTTAAATAAAAAAAAAAAGTAAAAATACGAGTAATATTTTATTTTCTAGTATGTAATATCTCTAAGAATAAGTAGACATGTACTCAATAGGTATAAGAAGTCCAGTCTAGATTATCATCTGAATTCAAAGCAGCCTCTTATGAAACCACCGTGTCATAACCCCAATGCAAATTTGACATTTCTAATGCGGCTTTTAATTTAAAGAGCATGAAACTCAGTGAACCTATTAGAGCTGCAGCAGAATTCGAACTACTTCACTCTTTTTAAAGTGAATTCTGTGTGTTTTGCTCATAAAAATGCACACTCTGCTTTGTTTCATGCGTGTCGACCGCAATATCAATTAAACTGTCCTCATGTGACATCTTGCCGTGTTAGCGCCCCGATCAAACTGATCAAGCAGAAGGACAAGCTGTGCCTCGCAGAGTCAAATCTTGGCTCAGGAAACGCTAACAGGTGCGTCTTTCTCAGTTTTTCCATTCAGCTCCAACAGTGTGAACTACCTCCAAAAGGTTTTTGTTTTATTCCTGAGGCGTGAATCACCAAATGTGCATTTGCAGATCTTCAGGGAAAAAACCGGAGCTAATTTCCCCTTACTGTCCACATTAAGAGAACCTGCTTCTTTTGACTGCAGGGTGTTGGTTTGCTTCCTGTTGCTGAAAGCTCTGAGCTGCTACAGTTGGCCAGCAACTGAAGTGAGCAGCACCCACCTGGTGCATCTGACTCATAATCTGAGATTTGCAGCTTCAGAAGAGGAAGACAGGAAGGTATTAGCGTGCTGCGAGTAAACTCATTGACATCAGCACCTCCTTTGGGTCGGAAGTATGGATTTGAGGATTTAAAAAATGAACAGTTAAAAGTGTCTTCTTGAAATGACATAATTTCTAAAAGACAATGTTTAAAGTTCCCCGTTGGAAATATAAGTGAGTGTTATATTGATCACAGAGTGGCTGTAATCTCAGTGAACACTTTTGTGTGACATTCAAGAGCCTTTAAAACTGTTACGACCAAAGTAAAACAGAGTCACAGCGCTTGGTTTTAGAGGACGGAGGATATGAGCAGTGGATTAATGTTCTTTTTAGTGTCCAAACCTTTTCCTTTAAAAATGAGCAATAATTCTAACAAACACTTACAGACTTCCCAAGGATGATAGGTATTTAATAAAAATGAAATATTTCCCTGTGCTTCATCGGAGCGGTTGTTTCTGTCACCTGTTCTCTTCAATAACCAGGAAAAGGAGCTGACAGTTTTCCAGTCAGTTGAAAGATCCTCATGATCAGGTAATCAATGAGCCATGCTAGCTGTCTCTAAGATATCAATCTCACATCGTGTCGGGCTTGATCAACCAGAAATCTTCCGAGATGATGTCTCATAATCTCACTTTCAAATGAACAGGAACAGCTGACTGAATTTATAACAAATATTCAATAACATTCACTTCAATTTGTCCATCCATCATCCCCACCGCCCATCCTGTTTAGGCGACAGGTCAGCGGCCAATCACAGGGCGAGCATATCACAGACAGTCAGTCAGAGTGACAGATCAACCTTTCAAGCATGAGAGACAGCTGCAGTAACCAGAGGGAACTAACGCATACATGCAAAGCCCACCTGGAGAGGACCCAGTCAAGATCTGAACCTGCAACCCTCTTACTTTTAGACAACAGTACACCACAGTCTAACCCCTTCATTCAGGAATAAACATCTTAACAAAACTAAAAGTACAAGACTCATAAAATATCAAAAAATTTGATCACTATGTAGAGTTTCATTCTGACATCATGCCAAAGATGTTTTTTAATGCCTAAATCAGAGGAAACCAAGACAAAAAAAGGGTAATTAAGGATTCTCTGAACACAGTGAACTGGGGAAGGAGGTTGAAGAGATAAAAACAGGAGTTTGACAGCGTGATTGGGCATTTCCTCAAAAGCAATCAATAGAGATTCATATGACTAGAAGAAACACAGTTAAAACTTAAACACCGTCTGAGTAATGTGAGAGAGATTTCTGCTCACAATAAAGACTGAGCATGTAATGAGCGAATGATGTTTACGAACATCCAAAACAATCTGTCTTATCACAGGACTGATGGAGAGCCACCCAAGCAGCAGATATGAGAAGACATGAGTTAGTCTTTTACTTTGGTTTGGTCTTTTCTCTCAGCTTACCAAGTCCAAAAATGACTGAAGTATTTAAAGGCTAAGAAGAAGAGAGTGGTTGTTGTGCACAAAAGATTTTTTATTGATAGAAGTTTTGATAGAAAAACTCCACAGAGGATCATACTGATCATGCATCACAGGAGCTTCTTGTCCTGGAGGACCACTGTTGCTTCTCAAGCTCTGCTGATGGGAGGGGTGAGCAAGGGAGCATTACAGTGTAGAGTAATGCTGAATAATCCCATTTCTACATGCTGTACCTTTTAAAAATTGGTCCAACTTTGGCCCCTCAGATGTTCATGAAACTACTAAGGACATGCCCAAAAAAGGTTGGTAACCTGAAACTCTTTGAAATAAAACCAGCCAAATTATTGAAATTCATTTGAAACTACTTAAGACATGTTAACTTGTAGTCAGTGGTATTGAGGGCCATATTACTGAGAGTGACTTTGGCTTGTTGTGATTTGATGCCCACTCCTGAAGTGTAACAGGTTGAGTATACACTCTTTTGCTCATTTTGAATGATGGGAACCTTAACCGAAGTACTTCACTTTAATACTTCCTACATAATATCCTGAATGTGCTTCCAGTTATTGAGTTTTGTGCTCAAAGCCATCCTTTCTCATGGCAGTTTTTGAAGTAGGAGGGGAAACTATTATGTCATCTTCAAAATAACTGTTGTTTTTTGCATCTCTGAAATAGGCTGCTCCTACCAACCCTTATGAATTCATTTTTAGCCCTCTGTCTGTATGTTTTTGGTCTTTGTTTAAAGAAAAGGTTGCCGTATTGGAAGCTCTTGCAGCATCCAAGTATACAAACCTTTGTTGACCCAAATAAATGGGCATGACATACAGAAATGCACACACAGTTTGCATGGCTGCGTCTTTCAGTTGGATGAGCATTTATGTTAGTGGCCAAGGTTGACAGATCTCTCTTTCTGAACAGACATGCCCGAGCACACACCTAGTAATGGCGACCACAAAGTATTACGTTCAAATCCGTGAGGTTGGCAGTGCATGTGCCAAACATTACATATTGCCATGGGAACAGCGCCTGCACAGATGATCCTGCAGCAATATTTCCAACTCCTTTAATCAAAAGAACTGAAATCCCCTTTCTCTTTGTGCATTCGTCTTTCTGTTTTACTTTAATTAGCCTCTGAGATTTCTCCAAACCTCTCTCTTCTCCTGTCTTGCACCCTCTCTAGCTCTCCTCCCCTTACTTTCTAGTTAAGCCCAAATCAGCTTCACTCTGCCTCTGTACCTCTGTCTGTCTTCCTCTCCTCCTCCTCCTACAGAATTTCAAACCCTGTGAACTATTCTTGTGTTGCTGAAATATTATCAGCAGGAGTGGGTGACGGGAGAATAGATAATGACTACACTAGCACCATGGCAACTGCTTCAGCTCATGTGTGTGCCTGTGAGGAGCGCCGGTTTGCAGGAAGGAGAGAGAAACTCAAACATATGATGCCATGGCTGTCACATGAAGTCAATCCGACATGGAGCGGCACAAAGGTGCGCTCTGCATCCATGACAACAGCATGACTTACAGCCTCTAATCATGTCTGATTCATGGACCGCTTCAGAAGACACGTCTTTATTCAGAATCTTGCAGTCCACTTGTAAACAAAAATCTTCTCTTGCTTTTGTGGCTCTCTACCACACTGAATCATTCATGCAGAGAAAAAGTGGTGGTGGTGATGGTGGTGGTGGGGGTGTGTGTGAAGTAAAAATAGCAATCTCACTTTGAACAAAGCAAACACTGCCCCTCTTAAGTGAACCAAAGAAACCTCAGCTCCTGCATCAAATCCACAGTGAAGGTTGCAAAGCATCGGTGCGAGGAACACCGTCTGGCTGTTTGTTACACAAAGGACAGAGCCTGAAAGCTGCTGGATTAATGAGTGTACAGTCTTGGTCCGGCTCCTCACTCTTCGTGTTTCCCTCTCAGCCATCACGACAAGCATGAAAGCATTACCAAGTGAACAAAGACGGTGCATCCCTCACTGAGGCAGTTCACACCCCTCTGACTAGCCCTAACAGCTCATATAGACGTGCACTCTTCAGTGGAGTGCTGACACTCAATGGACAAAGGAATTACCACAAACAGCTGCTCTGCTATTCAGAAAGGGAAGGGCTAACATTGAGGGGATTGTCTCTGCAGAGGTACCACTCGCACTGACAAAAATACCCATGCCAAGTTGACTTAAGGAAATCTACCAAAGCATGCAATGAAATCCCTTTTTTTTTTACCTTTCTGGGTCTGCCCCTCATCCATGTCTTCTTCCATTGTGCTGATTCTGTTTTGGATCTGCAAAGAGAGCCTGTTTGCTTTGCAGGTTTAATACCTGATAAATTTAAACGGGTAGTCCACAGAGCACTTGCGCTTGTCTTCCCCTCTTTCTCACTTTCCTACTCTCTCTAGATGTCCCTACTGAGCGCTGAGATTGCCTGTCAGCTGTGATTTCTGTCAAGCGTCCGAGCGGCGATGCAAGGGTTCACTGAGTCTTTGTGGTGCTGTCCATTGCGAGTTGCCGTGGCAAGTGCTGAAAACCTCCTTGGTCCCTGGTGGAGAGGAGGAGGAGGAGGAGGAGGAGGAGGGGAGCAGGGGGGCTGGATGGAGCAGAGGGTGGTCTGTGTGCGAGGCAGGAAAGCGCATGTGTGATGGGGAGGAAACAGCTTAAAAGGCAGGTGTTTGAAAGATGAAGCCCTGAAACAATCCACTAATGGTGAAGAGACTGAGCAGTCAACAAAGACCACATTTTCTGTCATGATTGGACAAGACTGTTATAATCATGTCTCACAATTACTTCCCAGACTCAACATAAACACCCCTTGCTCTCACACAGAATGGTAAAGCCTGTCGCCCCCCTCCTCTGCACTGACTACTGCATTAAGTCAACCTCCTCTTAAATAGGGGAGGGAGATTGGGGGGGACATCTGATTTGGAAATGGGATTCTCCTAATCTTGTTAGTCATACAGATTCAATTATGCGATCGCCTTGGAGGTGTCATTGAATTCTTCGTATGAAAAAGGCTGTTATGTATAGACATTCAGAAGAAACGCTTTCCCACTTTTTCTTATTTGAAAGATTTTCACTGAAAGTTCACGTGGTTTTCTGTTCATGTGCAGCTCATGGTCTTGGAATAATCTTTGGATAGATTATTTATCATGATAGTGGATCATAGCTCAAAAAATAAAAAAACAAATCACATCTCAAAGTTTAGGAATATTTAATTTTGGGTTTGAATTTATTAGTGTCCAAATAGTATAAATACACTGCAGACAAAACCATAATCATGGTTAAGACTGCTGGCATTAGAGTTATCCAGAAGACCTTTGCTGAGGTGATACCGAACACGACTCTTTCCCAGTGGTCCCAAATCCCCTTATCTGCTGAAAGTCAATTTTTGATTGAGAAGTTAAAGTCCCAGAGTGTGGAGTAAGTGGGGAGACACAAAATCCAAAGTGTTTAAAGTCTAGCTTTATGAAGATGTGGATTTCTTTTCTTGCAAGATTTAGCACCTGCCCACAGCGCCAAAACTACCACCAAATGCTTCGCTGACCATATTTTTGGTGTGCTTGATCGGCTGGTGAACTGGTCTTACCTGAACCTGAGAATCTGTGGGGTTATCTGGAGAGGAAGATCAGAAACACGAGACCTAAAAATACAAGCAGAAGGTCACTATCAAAGCAACCTGGACTTCAGTGACCTGGACTCAACAGAGCAGGTTTATCACATCCATGAAAAACTATGCAGTGATTTATGGGAAAGGAGCCCGAACAAAGGACTGAATGAAAAAAACAGTCCTTCTTTTAGAGGTTGGACATGACTGTATTTTAAACACCTTGTTTTACTGACCTTATAAACTATTCTAACATTTAAAGATCTGTAATCAACAAATTTCAAACAAAAATATACTTGAAATATTTACCTATGAAAAAGTGACTCTCTTCTAATATTTTTATTTATCGGGATGAACCTCTACTGTATTTGGAGCAGAGGTTTATTGAGAGGATCGGGTAAACTTGTAGTAATAATTGAAAAATCACCACACACTGAGCTTTTTTGGGATGAATGGTCTGCAGCATGGACAGATGGATGAATGGAAGTGCGATCAGACAGGTGGATTAGATGAAACTTTAATGTTCCCTCTGGGAGTGTTGAGCTTGTAGAGCGTGAAGAATCGGAGGCATGTAAAGATTTCCCGTAATGATAAGAGTAAAAGCATGGAATGGGATAAAAACTGGGGGGATATTAGGGGGAACTTCATGATCCCACTTAAATGTGATGCATTTTTTGCAGCTTAACCCCTTCATCCTTTGAGAGGGGAGCTTCATATGATTCAAACCCCCCAGTTTTGTGTTCCCAGTTGCTTCATAATACTTTTCCAAGACTTCACCATTCCCAACTGTCTAACTTTAGGTCAAGACCCCACCAGGTGCAGCTCAGCCTCTCAGGTATGAGACATATTTGATGTATTAGTATGTGCTTCCATACCTGGTATTAGTTCAGATTCTCTGTGATTTCTTGTTTATTTGGCTCCAGTGTTTGTGAGGAGTGTCTGACTCCCCTGGTCTCTTTCCCATCTGTCTGTCAGTGCCGCTGTGTTGGCCTTTTAATATTTTAATAACAAACTGTTTATTTGTGATACGTGTTTGCTCAGATTGTCCTCAAACAGTGAAAACTCCAGTGGGGAGTATTTGGGCTATATGACATGTTGTATCTGTAAACATTGGAGGAAGTGTGGCTGGAACTCGGTGACCATCCCTCTCACTGTTTGATTCTTAAGCTTTCCATACTTATCCCACCATCATCTTTGCTATAGTCTTTGTTAATGGTAATTACTGCTGTACTTCATAATTAAGATAATGATTTATTAATTAGAAAATATACTTCTGTATTCATGTTTAATCTGTATTTTAATTAATAATTCAATTAGCCTTCTGCAGCATCACGTCTAACCAGATGGTCTTACCTCATGTGTCCACTAAGTAGCTCTTCTAATTTTTATTTGGCAGTTTGCCTTTAAATAACCTGAGATGTGGTGTGGCTTATAGGAGAATGATGTCTTTCTCCTGCAATATGTAGCTGATAGATGCAGCACATAGATCCAGATCAAACTACCCTGGACTTTTATATCTGCCTGTAAAAAGACTATCTACCGTTTACAGGAGGTCATTGGCAGCGTAGGGAATTTGAAGCGAGTATAAAGATCGGCGTTGACTGATATCCAACATCTCCTATTTCCATGTCTTACTCAGGTTAGTTAGAATAGAGTTTTATTGCCATTTGTACAAGTTAAACAGGCAACAGGTACATTGGAATTCTTGTGGGTGTCCCTGAGTCTTTAGAGAGAAAAGATGTGAAAAAGAGATAATTAATATAACACAAGGTAAAAAAAAATAAAAAAAGAATAAAAGCAGTTCTTCAAAAGCAATGAAATAAACAGTATGTAAAAGCATAGTTCAAAAATGATGGTTATTTGCTAATTCAAATGACAAAAAAACTCTTCAATTCTAACAAATTAGATCTCATAACAGCTGTAGGAACAAAATGTATCTTCAGGAGTTCGATGTGTTGACTCTGTTTTTTAAAAGATAAGATATTCCTTTATTCGTTTATTAGTTATTAGTTTTAGCAATAAATACAAAAGAGAAATTAAAGGATGAAAAAACTTAGGAGTTAAAAAAGAGATATACATGAGTGTTATTCACAGCTGTTATATCCATGCTGATATATTACAGTTGGAAAAATAAAGATATTTATATGTATTACTATATACACAGAATATGCTTATATCTTTACAGAATATACATGAGACATAAGTTCAAATTGACACTCTACCAGTACTGAGATTTGGCTCTTTTTCATACTGTATGTGCTGTTTATACTTTATATCACCTTTATTTGAAACTGAAGAATTAATAGAGTAAAAGATCTGTATCAAATGAATGACTGTAAACAACAATATAGAAAAAAAGAGTCTCTCAGCCTTGACTTAATTGCTGTCTGTCTGACTAATGTTTTAATATTTGTTGAGGTGGAATTGGTTGCATGCAGCACAATAAATAAAAAAATCTCCTTAGCTCGTAATTAGCTTTGTCTCCTGAGCTTTTCAAAATGAAAAACAGCGGCCAGCAGCATTTTTGTAACTAATGTGTGTAACTAAATTGAAACTAAAGAAATAAATCAGAGCTGTTCATCAGTAGATACAGAATAATTAGGTCTAAATATTAGTCTGACATGCACATGACCTTTCGAACATGTGTGTGCATGCCAGCGTACAGACGCTCAGAGTGCCCCACCCTTGGCCTGGATAACATGGCCACACACTAGCTTACCATGGCTTTGTTAATAGGGGTGGGAGATTTGCTGCAGGGGGAAAAGGGGGGAGGGCTTTTTTTTTTTTTTTCTTTTTCTGGGGGGAATCCTCGGCTCACAAAGACCCACAATATCCACCCTCCCTTCCTAATTGTGTTCTCGTCTGTGCTCCCAACAAGGCGTTGAACCCCCTACTCCCCCCCCTGCTCCATCCTCTCGCTCATGCCAGCAGGGTTTCCTTCACACTGCGGGCACCATGACACTGATAGGAAAAATCAGCAGATGGTGAAACACTTTCTAAGGGCGTTTTAGGCAGCCTCAGTTTTCAAACATCAGTCGTCTGACGTCTCAGATTAGCATCTGAAATGATTTCTGAGTTTTACACATGAATGTAAATGTAGATTTATCATAATGACCGGCAGTATATGCATGTGTTTTTGTATCCTTGCATATGCAGCATGAAATCCACCAGCCTCTGCCTGCATTCATGACCAACAGAAGGAGCCAAAGAAGCTCACAGTAAGCTTATTAATGTCTCCTGGTCGCTTTCCAGTATGGGCTTGCTAGTTGCCATAGCAACCAGGCCCCAGATATTGTTCTGTAGAGGAGGTGTGTGGATGTAGAACAAATATAAACATCACCCTGTAACCCTCCTTGTAAATCAGACTACCTCAGTCATCATTATAGGTGTTTAAGGAATCATTAATGATCCATCATAAAAAGGCAGCGGCGGTTTACACACATACAACACTTGTCACTCGCTGCAGACTCTTGTTGTACCTCACTAAATGGATATTCAGTATGAACCAGTGTAGCTGAAGGTGAGCTTCGACACAGAAAATCCAAATTCCGATGCACATCACCCGGCGGCTGCAGAAATCAACAGGCGACAGCGCTCTTCGTCTTAAGTGCTGATGTGTGTTCACGCCCAGTCAAGCTGAGGGAAATCAAAAGACGCTGAAAGATTAAGGAGGTCAGGTTTTACAGCTCCACTGAGGGAGGCAGGGAAAGAGGCTTTACCAGCCATTGACTACCACTGAAAAAAGATGGGGCGTGAGATTTATTACAGGCTAGCTAATGGCAGATATCCACATTAACTCTAATGAATGGTCGGCATTATGTCCTCTCATTTTGTTAGCAGTTCACTGGAGGCTGTTGTAATTGTTTTTTCTTGTTGACCCAATGCTGCAACAGTTTCAGAGTCATTTTTTTGAGCACTGTTGTGGCATCAGTGAATCTCACAGTTATCTGTAACTAATAGTCTGTTGAGGCTGTGGAGATCATATCATTACAGCATTGTCCTATCTCTCTATATTGAAAGCCTCAGCTCTTAGACCACATGAAAAACCAGGCAGTCAGCCAGAAACACTTATCATCCTGTCATTTCATTTTTCACTGGCCTCAAAGCTCAGCTGTACTGTACACTGAGCATCCACCAGTGCTCACAGATTTGGGGCCAAGTCAGAGTAAGAATTATTTAGTTAAAGCTCCTGTGAGGATCTTATGATGGCTTATGAAACAGACCGACTTGAACAGTGATGTGTAGAAATTTAATAAAGACCATTGACAACAATATTGACAATTATGAGGTAGTTTTATCACCTTTTGTACATTTTTCCTATTCCAAAAAGTAAAACACCCGAACACTGTCCAACTTGCAAAGAGAGATCAAATTTATTGGCAACGTTTTGGTGCCTTCATCAGGAAAAACAGTTTTGCTCGTACTAGCCTAGTGCTGAGTGTTTCCCTTTGAATCATTTGTTGGACAACTTACTCTCCGACGCACCTGTCTTAAATAATAAACGTGTAAAGTACCCCTCCCTCCATAAAAGAGCATAAAACCTATTAGAATTTTGAGTGCAACCTCAAAGTTAATGTCGTCTTTAATGATTAAGGTTCAATTCCGGATCACCCATCATCTCTGAAACCAAGCTACCCGTCTGCTTTGCACATTTACATCGAGGGATTCTTTGAAGATGGAGGAGTTGGAAAAACTAATAAAATTACATGACTTTTTAAATAGAGACTTTGAAAAAAGGCAAACTTCACAAGAAGACTTCTGAGAAATCTCCTAGAAGACTAAGCAATCATTGGGAAGATGGCATCAATAAAACATTTTTGATGCAAAAGGACTAACTCGGTTTAATCTATATTTAGTGCATTATGGCAATTTTCTGTAGAACATGCATTAAAAAAGTTGTGAATATGCAGATATTTTTGTGTAACTACTGTGTTGCAACTGTTTGGATAACTGTGGTTGGAATTTCAGGGTATTGGGCACTCAAAAACAGCATGTAGGGCTAAAATAGAGGAACAGAAGAGAGCCTCCATTCTCTCAGTATGAGATAGATTGAGGTTGTTGTTGCATTTCAGGATAAAGTCAAGCAATGGACCACCAGCAGAGTTGTCCTCTTGTCCCTCTCTCAATGGCTGAATAATTAAAAGCATGAAAATGTGTCTGTCAGGATGGAAACTTTCGCATCCATCTCCTTTTTGACCCAGCTCTGCAATCATTTTAACAGGGGAATCATTCCACACGGCAATCAGAGAGTCTTCACTGCTGCCTTAAGATGTTCAAGCATTTCAGCACTTTCTATTAAAGTCATCCAGGAAGAGTTCAAAGACTTTTAAGATTTTCATCAGCAACTTCTTTTTGAGAGTCAAGGCCAGAGATGCGTCACGCACAGACACTCCAGTTCGTACAAGTGCTGAACTCTATTCAACCAAGGGTGAGGGAATTTGGAGCATTAATCATTCAAATGCAGAGCAAGACAGAGAAAGGCTTTCATGACTACATGCCACGGTGACTTGTTATTCTGCAGATCATGCCGTGTGCTCAAATGAAGAGCTCAGACATCAGGTTTGGTTTTCTTAAGTGATGTTGACTCAAGTGATATCATGAGTTATATTGTTTTTAATTTAGCTGACGGTCTATGATCATTTCTTCGATTGAAGATTGGGGAAAAAGGTCTGAATGTGGCGTCACTGATGGATGCACATTAAGTGATGGACATGGACTCCGGTGTAGACTTTGAGTTCAACAGATCAAGAGTGAGACCACTTAACTTCTGCTGCTACAGTGATTTATTTCCTCTTTTTTATCAGTGGTGCATGAGTGTGTTTTTAGATATGATTACCACAGCTGTGCTCGTGACATGATGCTGCCATCTAGTGGCACAAACACGCATAACACAAGCAGGATGATGGAGCCAGAGTGGCATTACATAAGCTTAATAAACAGTTGCGTCATCTGTATTTTCAAACATATTTCAAGTCAGTAGGTATTCCTGTGGCAAAACTGTCAAACAGGCTTTGCTCTAATTGTGCCAACATGTCTGGAAACACACACACACACACACACACACACACACACACACACACACATGTTACAATAACATAGTGCAGGTCTTCATCCAGATGTGTTAGTTAACCAGGGAGCGTCTGACAGGCTGCAGCACCTTTATCTCCTTAAAGGGAACAACAGCTCCACTCCACGTCGGTGAAACACATGACTCTAGAATAGCACAAGTTTAAGAACAGACCAGTCAGATTATTTGTTGGATTATAAATATTATACAGATAAATGAGATTAGATAAAATAGTTTTGATAGTGCTTCCATTCTGCCTCTGTTAATTAAAATAGAACTTTTACAAAGTTTTGAATCGATGTTTGACACTCACTTGATGTGGAGTCTCCTGATGAACGGCGATCATGGTGCCCGTCACTACTGCTTGGTGGGAAAGGACTCTTGGCTGCGAGGTAACCCAGATTAGGCTTGACTTTGAGTCTTCCTGTCACCAGAGAAAATCCTTGCTGTCAAAATTGCCAATACTCAGTCAAATTCATAAAACATCTTAACATTTTACTTTTGCATGACATCATTATGTCAACTTAAGAGACTTGTGTTCACTTCTCCTCCATCATTGTCGTAAAAAGGAGTATGTGACATTTCCTGACATGAAACTGATGAAAGGACCTGAAATGATAAAGCTGTGCGCTGTGATAATAGCACTCTATTTCATCCCCCCGCTGAAAGCTCAGTATCGCCTCCGGGTGACTCACCGGGGTTGTGGACCCTCTCTGCAGCTTGGTGCCGCAGATGCCTGTGGAGAATGACCTCTGCCTTCCTCTGGTTTGTGGTGATGTCGGGATCAGCCATGATCTCAGATGTCCTCAGGTTGTTCTTGATGGTCTGGGAGGCTGTGGAGCGGACCGCTGAAGGCAGATGATCTTGGTGCCCCCTGTCAGAGGAGTCTGGGCCCTGGACACTCCTGATACTTTAAAAATACATTTGATTTGACAACAAGAGGCATTCAGTAATACAGTATATATGTTTGATTCAGTGAAATATGTGTGTATATCCAGTACATTTCGTGCATTAAAGAGGAGTGTGTGTGTATAACTGAAGGGAGCAGGTGCTACACCAAAAGTTAGCAAATACTGAATCAGACGAATAAACAGCTCACACACTGCAACGCCACCGGAGTGAAACTTCAACCACAGTCTACCAACACTCTATCCTAAATATACATGACTAATATACACATGAATAATTTAGATTTAGACTTTTAGTGTGCAGATATTTTTATACTGTGAAATTGTGCTGCAGAGAAACTGTCTGGCTTCTTTGTTGGCTAAGTTTAGATAGTATAGACGACAGTTTATATACTGTTTATGTTCTTTTTTACATAGCTGACATTTTGTTGTTGAAATACCTTAGAGCCGAGACCATATTCAGTTCAGCTTTGACATCCAGACTACCAAAGGACAGGTTGCATTATGTTGTGAAGTTGTCTATCTCTGGGTCGGCTGAGTTGTTTAAGTGTCACGATGACCCAGTTGTTGATTAGTTTTCAGTTGAACCACTGTGGCTGTTCATGTTTTATAGGTTTTTTAAATAGCTGAATCTGTACATCTATTCCTTTTTATGTCCAACATCTAGGCGTGTGCATAGAAAACAGACAGATCTCCTCCTAATTACAGTGACACTTAGGTTTTAGCTGACTGTACCCATCATGTTTGGTTAAAAAAAAAAAAACAAGCAATGATGTCCTTCAGTTGTAAAAACATCATCCTCCTCTTCTGAATTTCAGCTGTATTAATTAATGTCTGTATCAAGGATGCAGTGTGAAGTGTGTAGCAGGATCTGACAGAGCAGACTCAGTAGAAATAAAATATAATATTCATAAGTATGTTTAAACTTGTATAAACCCAACTGAATATGAAAATCATTTTGTTTTTGTTCACTTAGAATGAGCCTTTACATCTACAAAAGAGGAGAAGGCTGATCTCTTGTACTGCCATGTTTCCATGGTAGCACAGACAGGACAAACTAGTGACATCTGCATCTTTGGTGAGACGTAAGTGATGAAAGGTGGCTGGAAGGGCACAGAAAGAAGAGGGTGGTTGTTAATGTAATTATTGACATTTATGATGGTAAAACTTGAGGAATGGAGGATCAAACTTCACAGCAGCTTCTTGTCCCCTGATAGGAGGGGTGAGCAAGGGAGCGTTTCAGTCTAGAATCTTAAAGATATACCCCTTATTATGTTGCGTTCTGGTTACCTCGGAAGTCGGAGCTGGGAACTTGGGTGACATTACACTGGAGTTGATGATGTTCCAGTTAACAAGTCAGAAAATCAAGATGGATGCCTACAGTTACCCATTGTTAGCTGTTGTTTACCACTGTCAGCTGTCGTTAGCTGATGTCAGTTGTTGTTAGCAGTCGTCAGCTGTCGTTGGCCGCTGTTAGAGGTTGTTGTTGTTAGCGATACCAGTTGTAAACGACGCATAACACAGTATTTTACTCTGACAAACACCATAGCACTGTGTTCACAGTTAGACGTTGGTCAGTACATTTACCACTTATTTAATTTCACAAAAACAAAACAGAAGTGCAAATAAATAATACATTACAAGAGCTTTCACTGTTACTCTCTACTGACGATGCACTGCACTGCCATCTTGAAATATCGTCAAGTCGGGGTTGGTGAGGATTGTCTGTCTTTCCGGGTCTGAAATCTGACTTCAGGGAGGCATTCTAGATGAGTACAACTAGAATGCAGCATTATTTCCTGATTTGATACACTGTACCTTTAAATGCATTGAATATGTTGATAAACCCTAAAACAGAATTACAGGAAGCTTACACTGATATTACATTATAGTGTAAAACTCTGAAGTATCTGGTTAATTCATACCGAGGCCCACCGGCCTTAAAATAACACTGTGCAAAAGTTTCACAAGCTCCGACTGCCTTTCTGACGCATTTCTGGGCAGCAAAAGTTTACGTACTGAAATGGAATCATCACAAACATTACTCCTTTTGGTTTAAGAAAGATAGAAGTTAAAGGTGAAAGAAGGATACTGTGTGCTCTCGGTGGTGGGGTGGTGGACTACAGGTAAATCTAGCTGAAGTTTAAGATGAAAAATCTAACTTCAAAAGGAGGGAAAATAGCAAGGCACTCTTGCTTGAGCCAAGGTTAAAGTATGATAACTTTATTCTAACAAGGCATTCATTATTGAAACCTTGCTGAAAGGAACATGGAAGGTCAGTTTTCAGAGCAAGGCCAAGTAGAGACCTAGCCAGACCCCGAAGGAGACTAAGTGTGGTCAAAACTGGTTGGTGTTTTTCCCTCCTAACTAAGCAAATGTTGTGTCTGTAAAGTCCCTGAGCTCAATATGTTTCTCACACTGCTTCGTACCGATACTCACCTCCTGTTAGTTAAAATTGTATAAATCTCTCGAACCAGAAGCTCAGCTGCTCCTGGTTTGCAGTGGATGGTTCCATCAATGACCTCTTTCATCAGGTGCAGATTCTTCCTTTGCAACGTCTGAGGAAATATACATTTTTAATCTAAAAAAAACACAGTTTGCATTCAGATCCATCAAGAACAAGTAGACAAACACAACCATATGATGAAAATACAGCGCTGATTATCATAGGTTAGATTGATTTTTAAGGTTTTGTTCAATTGTGTGCCAGTAAGCAGAGCGGTGTCATTCCAACACTTGAGCGGCAACCCACAAAGTGAAGTAATTTAAATGATAATTCAAGACTCTACGCGTGTATGAGCAAAATAAAATGATATTGGATGCGTCACTGTACCTTGAAAATGCATGTAACTCACCTACAAATGGAACTAAACAAAAGACGTTTCTGCCTTTCACATTATATTTTCAGATTTATTCTGTCTTACCCTCTCTATCTGGCTCCAGTTCCCCTGTTTGGCAGAAAGTGATGTTCCTTTATCAAATGAATGCACTGGAAAGTCTTGGGGGTAATAACAAGAGAATATCTCTGCCACAAGGTAACCATTGGAAAAATCCCTGGAAATGAAAAGCAGGGAGAAAAGACAGTATGTTCACTCAACCAGGGAAATCCACTTTGAGCAAGCTGCTGTCTTGGCAGCATTAGAAAGCACTGATGTTTCTCTATCTGTCATAGTAAATCTGTGCTACATTTATCATCTGCTCTGTTTCTCGATCCTTGATCCTAATCTTTTATTATTTGATTCATTTGTATTCACAATATTTTACATCACACAGCGTTACATATTTGCTTATATACACTTTCTATTTTTATTATCAGTGATACACTTTCCAGGCTTAGTCAAGGTTTTATTGCACATAGTTATTTATGGTCTAACACATGCTAACACAGATGATTGGTTCTGGGATATTTCAAGAAAGCACTGATGTGGTTTTTATCATGAAATCGTAATAAAGAGAAATGCTCATGTAAACAGGCAGGCAGGCAAAAGTAATCGCTCCAAATGTGGAAAAGTGAAATGCAGAATGAAAAAGTGCAATCCTCAAGCAATATGTTGATCTGATTAACGCTTTTGGAAAGAAGTGCAAAGAAGTAGAAACTTACTGAATCCCACCATTCTCCATTTATGACTGATTTATAACGAGACTCTTGCCAGCTTGTTCTTCTTTTTTCCTGCTTATTTTCACATATTTTTATCACCAGTTATCCTACAATAGAAATATTAATCTGTCTAAGCAAACAAGCCATAACATTATAAATACCTGGACTATACAACCCACAGAAGTCGCTCCTTCATTAACATTCCTCTTTAGAAGCTTCTCAGTGTTTTGATGACATGATCAGACATGTGATTTTTGTACATTGTATTTATTACTGAAGACATAGTGGTTAGTGGGGATGTACTTAAGCGTGTTAAAGTGAAAGGTGTAGAGCTGTTGTGTTGGATTGCATTAGATATCCCCAGAGCCAGCCCAAGGGCTTCACGGCCAGTAGGGGCCCCCAAAAGCGATCAAAAACAAACAAAAATTGTTTAATATTTTTTATTTTTTGCATGTATTAGTGATGCTTTCTGTATGATCAAATATATATTATTGTAAAAATAAAATAAAGATATTTTAGTGCTGCTGATGGAGGCCCATGATTCTTACTGCCAATGACACTTTTACAGTAAACACAATACTTTATCACTTGGAATGTTGTGAAAATCAACCCCAGGCCACTCTTGTAGCTGAATGTGTTACATTTTGAGATTAAAAACCATATGTGGCACCGTGAACATCATTCATCAGTCATTCATTGGTATTATTTGTATGGTTGCATTGGTGTTATTTATGTTATTAACTAGGCCACCACCTTTAAATGTGTAAAGAAATGTCAGGCGCATTAAATTTGTACTGTAGTAGGTGTGTGAATGATCAACAATCAATATATTGGTAGAAATAGAGGGCCCCAAAATAAAATTTGCCTAGGGCCCCATTGAGGCTTGGGTGGGCTCTGGATATCCCACGTGTTGGTGTACTTAACTTAATTAACTTTTAGTTAACTTACATTGTCGAAATCTTTATTTACATTTCTCAATGATGTTATTGCTTCAGTAAAAATAAAAATGTTTAATGCAGCTTTATTACCAATAGTCAAAGTTACAAGAAAAGGGAGGTTGGATGAAAACTGAGATATTCCTTTAATTTTTATTTTGTAACCTACAAAAATCGAATTTTAGCACCTGATATTCATTCAAAGAACAAAACTTTACTGACTCCATGCTCTCCGTTTACTTTATTGTCTCCGGTTTGAGTGACGTTGCTGTTTACCTGCGCACGTTCCTCAGATCAGATGACAAACGGAGACTCTGCAGCCATTTCAGGACCTCTCTGGGCAGACCTGGCTTCCTCTGAACAGACGACATGCTGCTCTGAACTCCTTTAAAACCAGGCTTTATCAAGACTGTACCCCAAATTTATAAAACCACTCCGAGCCTCTATCAGCCCAACCAGAGCCGCTAGGGCAACGGGCTCCTTTTGTTTACGTTCCCATGGCAACAACACCGCATACTTCCTTGGCACGTCGCAGTACACAGACAGTGCTGTGTCTTGTCTACTGCCCCCTAGAGGATGAAACGCAAGCTTATAGAAACATCAGCCCAAGCCTCAATGGGGCCCTAAGCAAAATTTGATTTTGGGGCCCTCTATTTCTGCCAATAATATTGACTGTTGATCATTCACACACCTTCACAAATTTCATTCCATGACATGCAAACATACCTTTATCTTGGCATTTTTTTCTCTTCTTCTTTCTTTTCTCTGCTCCTGAAGGATATGTCCTTTTTTGTGACATTGTTTTGCCCCACAACTACCTGTGCTTTGGATGCTCTGTGCACATTGCACAGCAGGAGGCACATAACTGTAGCAGACCTTTAACATATCGGCATTAAGAATCATAGGCCTACATCAGCAGCAGCAATAATAATAATAATAATAATATAATAATAATAATTACAATAATATTTGTTTGGTCATACAGAAAGCATCACTCATACATGCAAAAACTAAAAAAATATGTGATTTTTTTTCACTGCTCTTGGGGGGCCCTACTGGCCACAGGGCCCTAAGCAGGCGCTTAGTTCGCTTATGCCTTCTGTGTAGTATGATAGAATGAAATTGAAATAATAAAAACTTCCAAAGATGAGGTTATCATCCATACACTTTCCCTTCATGCCTCACATTGAACATATTGTTCGTGTTAAGCCTAGATTTTGTTGTATGATGATTTTCATGTTGATAAATATCATTTTGTGACACGATTCCTTAATGTTATGTTAATGATAAACTTTCATTTTTAAACTTCACTCCAAACACCTCAAAACATAACAGCTTAAATTTCAACAGATCACATATTTTTTGAGGTTTCACAAAAGTTTAATCAGTCAGTATTGTGCAAAGTATCAGTGGGTATCAATAGCAAACAATGAATAGTCATTCACACATATTTTGTGCATGTATGTAAAATGTTACAATCTCTTTGTAAAGGTTTCAAAGTGCTTCACTCTCTGGTAGCTATCGTAACTATCAAAGTATTTTCTAAATACAGCAAACCTGAATCATAGTGTTGCTTTATTTATTATATTTCTGTCACTGTAGTTTATTTGGGGGAGGCTAAGCCTGCATGTTCTCTTTTAGCAGCCCCCGTTTCACATTCCTACACGGTAACATAGTGTATGTGATACAAACCATCTCCACACAGCTTGTCACTCTCCTGTCAGGTACTCAGTTTGACTACCCTGTTTTTATAGCATCGACTGGTGGTGAAAATTAAAGGTAAGAAGAGTTTTTGGAGTTCATTTTCTCATAGTGTTTTGTCTGTAAGTCCCATTGAGGCAGGCGGTGTGTCATTGGTACTGCAGGTAGCTTCTGAGCCTGGTGGGCAGGGGAAGGTGGGAGATGAGGTGGAGTCTATCACAGCCGACGCAGCTTCTGATGCACTGACGACACAGCTGGCTCAGCAGTCGGGGCGTAGCTATGAAAGGAGACAGTGAAGCATTATAACAAGTCTGGGACGGTCATATTGAGCTCACTATGAAGTACAGCGGAGAGAACACTTAAATATCCCAAGGGACGTCCAAACACAAGCATACACATGATGACATAGACAAAAAAAGATGCAGACACAGGCCTGTAGATGCTTGAAACATCTAGATGCAAGTGTTACTGTACCTTCATAAAGGAGTAGAAACCCTTCTGTTAAACTGCTGGGTGGAGCCACATCTACTGGCCTCTGAAACTCTGTGTTTCTGGCATTAATGTCTGCACCAAAGTCCAACAGTAGCTTCACTACAGCTGTGCAGTCTTTTTCTGCAGCTGCATGTAAAGGTGAATCCAGAGATCTCCCTTTCTGTACATTTGCTCCTGCATGAAGGACAACATGATTATTAACTTCAAACCAAGCCAGATAGTTTTTTAGCGTCAGGTTCCTTCACTCTTCAACATCATCGATGCGTGATGTTGTTGTAATCTAGAAGGTAGTGTGACCTTATTTTCTCATTTGAATTTTGATTTACCAGTTTTCCCTGACTGCTCTTGTCTACCTAACAATCTCTTACATTTCCAATAAACTGCTTTCAACAGCCCTGTGAGAAAGGATGTGAACTTGTCACTTTCAATCATAGGTAGCAAGCTATACGGGCATACAAATAGCTTGAAAATGTGATCAGTCAGCTATGCCCTACATGTGGCTGCAGTGCCACTTCTTATTTAAGTTGCAGTATGCAGTGTGCCTGCATAACAGAAGCAAGAAACAGTGTACAAAATACATGCACAGTCTGATTGCATTGTCCTTATTTGATCTCCAGAAAGACTGATTTTGAACACACAGCCTCACAGTGCTTGCATTCACAGTTTTCTTGATAAAAATCAATAATCTTAGAGGCTTTGAAAATCCACTTTGCATGCTAATATGTTAATTTAATTATTTCCATGCCTGTGCATAATAAACATTTGCGTATCTGTGTGTCTGTTCATGCAAAATATATGTCTGTCTATACGGTGAAGTTAACTGTGCCGCAAACTCACCTTCCCTCAGGAGTTTTCTGGCACACTCCAGCTCTTGGCAGACACAGGCCGTATAGAGCGCAGTGCCCAGGTGAGGAATGTCCATGTCCACATCTGCCCCCCAAGTCACTAGAGCCTCCACACAGCCGTAATGACCTGGAAGTAATGGAGCATGAAGACAGTAATCGGTAAGTGACAATGTGAAATAACTCTCCAAGCTGTCTGCTCAGGTTCTGTTGGGATCCATTTTAAAGGCTGTTTAAATGATGCTGGTCGGCTACAGAGTGCTTTGCAGTGCAGCAAAGGACACAAATATAGGTTGTTACGCAGAGACTAGTGTAAGATGTGACTGTAGAGTTAGAGAGATGTACTGCCTCATCCTTTTTTATATAACACTATTGTGTGGTTATGTTTTAAATCGTAAAATACTGATACATTTTTCTTCTCCCAACATTCAGTCCTTTATTTTGACTTGTTTATTAGCCAGTGTAGGATACCCCACCAATACTGCTGCAAGTAAAACCAAGCTTACAACTATTTTTTACTTTTTGAAAGCTGTTTTTCACTTCCACTTCCACTATAGCTGTCATTGTTTAACGGCCTGGCTAGATATAGTGAGTGAATCCTGATAGAGAAACAAGCTCTAAAAGTTAAAGTAAGAATAGCTGGAGGTTATATGAAATAGAATCTTGACACGGTGAGACCAGTTTCTTCACTTTCATACTGTTTAAGTATGACAGTTAACAAGGAACCCCTTCTGTACGAGTCGATGCATTTTTCCATGTTCTGATGACATTTGATGGCAGTGTACCTCTGCTGGTGGCTTCATGGATGGGTGATGGATGGTATACAAGGCTCTGGGGCTTTGCTCCATTTTCCAAAAGAAGTTCAGTGCACGCCACGCTGCCCACAGCACAGGCGTTGAACAGTGGGGTGACACCATCAATTGTAGAAGCATTGACCTGTAAACATGTTTTTTAGATGCACATTTTCAGGCCTTGTTTAGCCGTACAAGTGGACTAATAGCAGAAGCCCGAGGGAGCTGTTGATGGGGAACAACAGCTTAATAGCTCTACAGTGACTGTAAGAAGAAGAGCGATGCATTAATCATTTGCAACCCGTGACCAGATTTCTCAACCACTGCAGTGACATCTGACCTGTGCAGCATAGCAACAATAAAGACTAATACGTGACTTACATTCGCCCCTGCATCGATGAGCGCTCTGACACAAGCGACATGGTCTCCCACACAGGCTTCGTGAAGGGGTGTCACATGGTCTATGGTCAGAACATTCACACTGTGACCCTGGAAACAGAATGAAAGAGACAGACATTAAGGGGCATAAAGGATTATTTGACCTCTGACAGCCTCTGTTGGCGAATGCCAGAAAATACGAGAACAACAATGAATCTTCCCTTATAAAGCAGAGCCGTCGTCCTCAGTTAAGGTTGTCTGTAACTGACAAACTGTACTGTACTGTAGCATCTGAACAAAGGAGATAAATAAGCTGAAGAGCAGAATCAATAGAAGTCTTGTAAAGACATAGTAAATCACTGTAAATCACACGGCTTTGTTGGCTTTGGAGCTGGGTTGCCTCACTCTCATTTGGCACACTTGTCAACTGCAGGCAGCTGAAACTGCAAATGGGGGAGAGCAGGTCGGCTATCTGTTTGTCTAAGTATTGATCAGCAGCACTATGATCTCCTCTGGCTCAGTAAGGACATATTATAGGCTGTTGTATATTTTATCTATTCTGTGCTGCATGAGTATAAAACTCTTCAATCCCTTTTTTAGTTTTGTAAGATCGGAGATAAACTCCTAACAAACAAGCAAAGAACAGAAAAAGTGTTAAAGCAAATTTCAAAACAACAACCAGTATCAACTAAAAGAAAAGGACAGGGCTGTTCTTACGGCATATTACAGCCACCGACTTGACTTGCACACTGCTAAAGTGTTGTGCTTAGGTTTAAACACTCAGATGGATAAATTGGATAATTTAAGGTGGACCTAATTAGCCTGTGTGACACCTTTCTTCATCCCAACCTCTCTTTCTCCAACATATAAACCAGGACTCTACAAGGGCTTTGATACAAACTGAATTGCACAAGGGACAGCTCTAAAAGGCTCCCTGTGCTAAACTGAGGGGATACACGTGACTCTCCCTGGGGATCATTCTGTCTTCACCTGTAAAATGAGGGTCCTCAGAGCCAGGAGTCGACCCTGGCTCGCAGCATCATGTAATGGTGAGCGGTCTGCCCAGGATCCTGCAGAAAGGAGAAGGATTTAGTGGCTTAATTCCATTTCAGTCTATTATTTCGAGGCGGACATTCCCATCCAGTACTGCTGCAATAAATTCACTGTAGGACCGAATTCAAATTCGATGTTGGCAGCTTTTTGTGGTGGTACTTTTTCTTTTGAAATCAATGAAAAAGTGACGGATGATAAGGCAGTCGAGGTGCATAAATCAAATCTAGGAAAATTATTGAATGGAACTAGGACATATGCTGCCTCCAAATGGAACTTGTAAAGTCATGGAGCTGAGATGTGAAGTCGGGCAAAAGAAAAAGTTTGAGTTCAAGTGGTGAATAAATGGGAACACCCTTGCTATGTGGCATGAACGCCGAATTATTCCATGAGCTTCACCAGACACTCTTCATGAAGCCGTAGCTTATGACTTACGATGTTGTGATTACCATAAGAGGAGAACACACATATGATGTATGATTTAAAGGTACAGTGTATAGAGATGGGAACATTTAGCCATATCTAGAGGTCAGATTTGAGCCGGATCTTTGATTCTAGATTAGAAATGCTCCCTTGCTCAGCCCCACTGCAGTTAAAGCAACAGTGGCCAAGCAGAGGACAGCCATGATCCTTACTTTGTGCAGTTTTTACCATCAAAAATATCTATCACTACGAAGTATTCTGTGCAGAACAACCACCCCTCTCCTCTTCATTGTCTCTGTATTCGCACCAATCGGGGCATTTCGCATGGCCACTCATAATTTAAAGATGTTACTCGTTCATTTGGCGGTCTCTGTGGGAACCCCTGACAAATTTATGACTCTTGATCTCCATTATTACCAAATCTGCTCTGCTCAATTTTACTAAATACTACTCACTGTACCTTTAACTTCGACTCTGAAGCTGTAAAATGCAATATTTATGTAAATTTTAAATTGTAAGTTAAAGATAAAATCATCCTCGCAGCTTTAAAACTCTCAAACACAACCTACTTTAATCCATACTCCATCCTCATCAAACATTCGTGTGTCATAACTTGACCTTTCCGATAATGTTTTCTCCTTCATTATACGAGAGTTAACGCATTAAGCAGCACATTATTATGTGACTAATAGTACTCAGGAAGCCTATTTGATGTTAATTCAGCATATTCAAGCTCCATTCTCAAGATGAATTAACACCAAGTAGAGAAACTGGCTTTGGCCTGCAAGAAAAAGGAAAAAAGAAGTCATTGAGCACACCTGAGTCAATGTCCAGAATAACAGCCGCTGCATTCCATACATTCTCATCATCATTCTCCCCCTCCTCTATTTTAATCATAATTTATAAATACTAACTGACCTGATGCTATCTTTTTATATTCACAGTTTTATATTCATGCAGCATGCTTTCCTTGACTGACATTAATTTGAAATAGTGGTACAAAGGACCCAGCTACAGACATCAAACAGATCTCCCAGAAAGAGGAAGACCATATCTGCAGGACTGTGACTAATACCCTAAGCCTGGCTAATTAGCATTCCATGGAGTGGGTCCACTTTAAATTAAACATCTCCCTGAATGATAGATACAGATTATGTTGTCGCCGTGTCTCTCTTCCCCCAGAATGTGCCTCCGAACCTCCTGTCCCTGAGAATGTGGAGTGTTGTTTTGGTTGCTGTCTGAGTGCAAAAGGGTGCACTGCATAGCTGGGAATGGAAACTAGGGCAGGGTGGGGGGAGCGGGGGAGCAGGAAGAGGGGGGATGGGGGATATCATGACTATGTTCTATTAATACATTAGAGGGAAAGAGCAGCCAGCCCACAGTGTCTTATTTAATATTGAATATACATTTCAGGATTTATGTGGCTTTTAAGCTAATAAGGGAAAAGCTCACTATCGTTCAGATCTACTGTGTGTATTAATATGATTACGGTTTATGGCTCTTGTACTCATTAGATAAGCATTGCAGTATTAATAGCACATTTGTAAACATGGAAATTGTGAGTAGGTGTGTGTGAGAAGGGGGGAAATTTAGCTTGGTTATAAAGGAAACAATATTTTTATTTTCAGCCTGTGAATCTACACACCCGAGGCCAAACATGCTGCTTTGTGTGCAATGTAAACACATTTGTTTATGGTTACTTGTCTGCCAAATTTGCCTTTTACAAACAAGTATTTCTGACCAAAACAAAGAAGTCTCATAAGTAAGCTATCTATACGGCTTTTTTTCCTCTGATTATTCATTGTACTCACCCTGTTGTTGACCATAGTCATAGAACTCTTTGGATATCCTGGCAGCCTCCTTACGGTTCCCACGGACTATGTAGAAGTATGCCAGCAAGTTGAGCGAGATCTTAACAAAAAGCTTAAAGCAGAAAAGTGCCAAGATGCTAAAGTATACATTGGACAACTGAGCCGCAAAGGGCTTGTTGGTGAAGTCCACACTTGAGTCTGACATTTCCTCCGGTACGTTACAGGGGGTCTTTGGTTATGATGAAGGCAGGATCAGATGCCACTTCAAAAAGCACAAGAGTAGCCTCCTTTTTCCTCCCAGTGTGCTGGCTGGTTGGCTGATCCTGACAACGTACAGGTTGGAAAAATATGCTCAGCAGCTGCTACTGTGCCTGAGAGCATGCACACTGCACTGTTATTGTACAATGTGTGTGTGTGTGTGTGTGTGTGTGTGTGTGAGAGAGAGAGAGAGTCTGTTAGTGTGTCTGTAAGTTTAACAGTTACACAAGTTAAATTTTTGAGGAGATACAGTCTCAGGAAATGTAAAGAGAAGGAAATGTATATGTGTGTGTGTGTGTGTGTGTGTGTGTGTGTGTGTGTGTGTGTGTGTGTGTGTGTGTGAGAGAGTCTGTTAGTGTGTCTGTAAGTTTAACAGTTACACAAGTTAAATTTTTGAGGAGATACAGTCTCAGGAAATGTAAAGAGAAGGAAATGTATATGTGTGTGTGTGTGTGTGTGTGTGTGTAGAGATAGATAGATAGATAGATTGGTATAGGTAAAGACAGACAGATAGATAGATAGATAGATAGATAGATAGATAGATAGATAGATTGGTATAGGTAAAGACAGATAGATAGATAGATAGATAGATAGATAGATAGATAGATAGATAGATAGATAGATAGATAGATAAGAAAAAATAAAGAACTTCATAAAAACTATTTTGTTCTGATGTTTGGACACAGTTGTGGTAAAATACTGTACATCAAAAATATCTGATAGGGAATGCAATGACATGTAAATTTCTGACATATTTTGTTTTAAAGGCGTTTGTTTATGTACTTATATCCAAAAGAAAAAAAGAATAAAAAACGCCATTACTCCTTACAGTGCGCTAGGACTGGTCTTTTAATGTGAGGAGCCAAATTTTTTATTTCTATTTTTTTTTATTGTAATTATACCTACATAAAGACACTGATTAATTAGATCCCAATATATATTTTTATACTAGTTTTTCCTTTTTGCAAACCCAGGTAACAAAAGTCTGAATCGGTTGCTACTTCACTTTCTGTTTCTAAGGAAGCGCCTGTCAGCTGTTGCGCATGCGCCGTAACTTCCATCTCACCTTTCCGCGACCATCACTTCAGAGTTTACTTCCTAACTCATTCACTGATGCTTTTAAACGGCTTTTCTTCGTCAAATGAGGGGCGGCCATCATAATTTAGTTGCTGTGGCGATTGTTTCCACGCTTGTCTTTCCCGTGTGCTGCCAAATCGTGAGCACGGATGACACGGTCACTAAATTAAACAGCTCAGCTGTGGATTTCGACCTGTTCAGGGAACACTATAACCGCACGTATGCAGTCAACAGCGAGGAATTTTTCCGCCGTCAGCTCTTTTATCAGGTAGGAGATAAAAAACAAGAAGGAGACAGAGACGTATAGAAAATCTCTGTCAACACTCTTGAACACGAATGTGTAAACAGACGGCAGCTCTGTCCCTGTCAGAGTTCACTATGGAGAGCGCCCACTGGTGTCTATGAGGGACTCTGATATCTGACAGCATGAGGGACCTGTGTGTACCAGTCTGTATCAAATGGCATGCAGAATTCCATTAAACATGAGATAAACGTAGCAATAACAGGAAAGTTAGAGTCATGTGTTTAATTTAACGTTGCCAGGTGTGTTGCAAAGTAGGGGAGACCGGGTAGGGTTAAACAGTTGTTGCTTCAGAACCTCTAACTCTCCATGTCTTCTGCTGGAGTTTCCTCAAAGTTCTGTTGTCTCTGGATGAATGTTGAGCATCTTGTGAGTTCATGTCAATGTATAGTGTTCCTCAGTTTTCACCTATACTCCCAGTTGCTGGAACATATACAGAAATAAGTATTAATGTTTTTCTCTCTGTGAGTGACCCTAAGAATTTTGTTTGCTCTTGTTTCTAATCTTGCAAATCAGCACAAGCGATCAAAAAGGAAGTGGCTTAACACCAAACCCCTTGAATGGTGGAAATGGTTGTGTTGCAACTCTTTCCTATTACAACAACATCCACTCTTGTCTCTCTTATCACTGAGACATTAGAATAAATGAACTGGCTCTTTGTAAAGAAGACTGAATACTAGCATGATCAGAAGTGCCATGATGAGCAAGTATCAGTTTACTGAGTTATTGTTGCTTTTACGCAGATATTTAAATAACTCCGTCACTTATGTGTAGTGACTTTAAAATAATTTGTAGCATTTGTAATTATCACAGAGTGGTCTAAGCTTACTAACTGAAATCATTGGACATAAAGTTATCAAAATTGGTCCAGAAAAAACCTCTTTTGATTTATTATAGCAAGTTGAGAAAGTTATAATGTCCAAGTAACTTATGCTGTTGCAGTAAAATGGTGACCCTCATCTTTTTAGTTTTCGATGTTTCCATTCGCTTAACTTACCGGTTGTTTTTTTTGTCATTTCAGAGCTCTGTAAAGCGACATGCCCATCTAAACAATCTAACCACCGCACCACAGTCAGCCCAGTATGGCATCAACAAGTTCTCTGACCTCTCACAGGAAGAATTCAAAGGTTGTTTTGGGTTTAATATGCACAGTCATTGTTTATGTGCATCCTTGACTCCAGGTTTGACTTTGAACTCAACCTGTTTGCACAGATCTTTACCTGCATGCCAGTGCTGACAGAGCTCCTCCCTACTCTGGGCCGAAGGCAGCGGGGCTGCCAGCCAAATTTGACTGGAGGGAAAAAAAAGTGGTGGCACCGGTCCAGGACCAACTAGCCGTAAGGTTTAGGCAAATAAATGATATATATGTTGTGCTTGCTAAAACATGTCTGTACAAGGGGGAGAGAGTTTAGTTACAGTCCAATTAAAAGGAGGCAAATGGTTTGCAAACATTTGAAATCAATAAACAACAAAAAAAATGATGTTATAACAGAACAGGTGGACAAACATAACCGGTTTATTCAAGAGGACACTCGAAATAATGAACCTTATTTTGGTTGTTTTTTTCAGTTATTTTTTAAATATCTCAGCTGTTGGAACCTCAAAAATGTTGTAGAGTTGAAACTTCACCCTGAGTTAGAAATTAAATCCAAGTTGGCTGTGTTAAAAGTTTCCTACCAAATCATGCCATCATACAAAATAAAAAGCTTCCAGAACTACATTTGTTTTCACAAAATCATGATTTGACAAGCGCATGTCAAACTGATTTACACAGGGCGCAAACAAACCTGAAAAATGACAGAATTACCCTTTAACTCGCATTTAATATGTTCTGCTCACTGAAGGGTAAACGTCCAAGTGAACATGAGCAAAACACATCCGTAGATTGTAGCGCGACTTAAATAACAGGCACAGAAAAATAGGTGGAAAATGATAAAGTAAGCCATTAAGAGTGACTCTTGCTAAGAGAGCAGAGAGGACCTGGGGACATGACAGGGAGAGCGGGTTAGTGAGATGAAGCTGTTGCTCGTCCGTGCTGAAGGCTCACTTTCTGTTCTTTTTGTCCTTTATCTCTTTAGCCAGTCAATTTGCCGCCGGGGCTGATATTTTCACTGTAAAACAGTTTCCCTAAGGGAGAAAGATTGCCCATACAGGTTTTCACCAGCACTGTAACATATATTTTATTCCCTTTAAGCCAGGTATGGTTTACCACCGCTGGGAGAGCGGGTGCTTGACTGTAGCCGTCTACCACTCTGCTCTCCTGCAGTTTATCCCCCAAGAATTGTTTTTCCTGTTTTCTGTTTTTGGACCTTGGAGAGGTTTCACATGAAAAAGATTGATGGGAAAGAGACACACACATAAATGCAGCACTGTGCACAAAGACGCATAATATCTAACCGTAACTCATAACTTATAAATTCTTATTGATCCACTGCTCCTTTACCTTGATTCCACTTTTTAATTTAAGTGCATTTCATCTTTAAAGGAGAGAGCAGATGGTTGTAATGTTTTGTAAACTCAGCTCACTCTTATTTCTAGCCCAAGCAATAATAACTGATTTGAGTTTCAGTATTGATTTTAAGCCAGGGAACCATATTGAGCAGCTAAATATTGGATTTTTACACCGAGCACTCAGGTTTTCATCACATTCATGGGGATTTATGCTGAGGAGGTGAGCCGGGCTCAGTTGCACACTATCGTTTTTGCCTGTATAAATGTTTTACAGAAAAAGATGAACTCTCCTATGTAATGAAAAACTCTAAAGAGCTGTTTTCTCTGAAAGCCAGAAAGCACCATCAGGACAGCAGAAAGTATTCAGTCGTCTCAAATGAGCCTGGGCATTAAAACCGAATAAATCAAATGAAGCAGAAATGAAGATTTTCCCCGGGACATATTTTACCTTAAGTGTTTCTGTCAGTAGATGGCAGCAGAAAACAATTAGTCACAGTTCACTCAGACTGGACAGATCATCTCATGTCAGCGTCATGCACAACATCCACACCAGCTGTAGATACCCGATCAAGGCGTCTTTAAGGACTGCTGACTTAACCTGCTTTTCGAAGCAAATAATCAAATCAAAATGTGTTATTTTGGGATATTCATTTAATCCCTTGTTGAAAAGGTTGCAAATTGAGTTATTATGCTGAGTGAATGCCAAGCAAAACTGCACTTTCCCCCTTCTGGTGTTTGAAGATGTAATTGCACCCTTGAGTTTTTAAGATATTTTTTAAATTCTTCAGATTTGTCTTGTCCTTTTTTAAAAGCATGATTATTGTAATTCTACATTTGCAGTGTGGGAGTTGTTGGGCATTCAGCGTTGTTGGTGCCATGCAGTCCGTCCATGCCATCGGTGGCTCACCATTAACGCCGCTCAGTGTGCAGCAGGTTCTGGACTGCTCCTACCAAAACAAAGGCTGCAATGGAGGCTCTCCAGTCCGGGCTCTGAATTGGTTGAAACGGGTATGTTGATAATATCTTCACATGAATTGAGGCCTCTCCACATTAGTAAGTTTGCAGTGAGAGCAGAATAAATAAGAATCAGGCAGAATAAACCTTAACACCTAACACTTGACTCTGTACAGGAAATGAAATAATGTTTATCAGTCCCCAAAGTGGAAGAGGAGACCCGTGAGGAGATTAAATGTTACCCTTTTAAAATAAGGCAATATTGTCATGTATTCTAATTACAGAGATATGTGGTGTAGTGGCAATAAGCAAAATTGCCTCTGCTTCCGCTCTACATTCAAGCATAAATTAGAAAACTGCCGGTGCCAGGATCTTTTTATAAGCAAGATGAATGGGTATTTTGTATTCGGGTAACACACTCACTGAGATAAACTGTTTCCTTTCTAGACCAGATTAAAATTGGTGCCTCAGACGGAGTATCCCTACAAGGCCAAGACAGGAATGTGCCATTTTTTCCCTCAGTCACATGGCGAGGTGGCATTGAAGAACTTTACTGCTCAGGACTTCAGGTAAAAAAAAACACATTTTGCGAGTTTCTCAAAAGCAATAAAAGCTCAAAAGTAACAGCGTTATATTTGGGAAAAATCACATGAAATTTTTATTTGGTTTACACAGAGTACCAAGGGCAGCAGAGAGGGGAGAGGGATTGGTTCTGTGCAGTGACAGAGCGCAGTGTTTGCTGAGTAAACATGGGTTGCTCAGTAGCACAGAGGTTCTTTACTGGGGGCCAAAGTGACTCTCTCAGTGCTATCTTGAGTTAAAGTGAATCAAATCTTTCCTTAATATTGAATGTTACCCTCTCCTGTTTATGTAATACTTGTTTTATTTTTGTTTTGCTGCGAGCTAGAATCAAAGTTTAATTTTTTTAAACGTGGCAGAGATCGCCTGGACTCCAAGGCGAGTTTTCCAGACCTATTTTTAAAATAAACTTAACACAATCATTTACTAACACAGTAAATGTCAATGTCATGTCACCACTAAAACATCTCTTTATCTCAAACCACTCAGAGGTCAGAGTTGTGGATCATACTGTGAGCGTTTGGCTATTTCCGCAGGGTAGGGATTGTTGGGTCACGGAGATGACTTAACCTTTTGGTTAAGAATCTCCTAGTCCAGATCTTTACTGCTGCACAGCAAAAGGAAAACAGCATCGTAAAGTTTCAACATGACAAGACGGCTTCTCACCCCGCCATGAATGGGAATGCAAAATGGCTCTATTCAATAAATTTTTGGCACAGACATACACTGCGTGGGCCATATGTCATGAGTGTGGTACAGGAGGGCATCACAGCTACCCCCAGTGGGAATCATCTGCTGGAAGAACAACAAGAGTCTGCAGATGGTGCCTTCATATGGGCCACAGAGAGACTGAGGAAAATAGCAGGATTTTGACTGAGAGAAGGTGGAAAGTGTGTCTTGGAATACAAAGATTGGATGCATGAAAAGGAGAGGAGTGGGTTGAGATGATTAGTCAGAGTAAACAGTGAAAAGTCAGCTCAGTCAGGTGTTAAATTAAGGATATAAGCTATAGATTATGTGTATCCTAATATATGTTTAGGTATTGAAGAGTAAAATCCAGATGAAAATGCCACCAAAGCGTGTAATCACCGGGTCAGTTTTGCAACCTCAAGAGTACATTTTTCACATTTTTCTCTCTCAGTGGTCAAGAGGAGGCCATGATGGGTCAGCTGGTGGAGAAAGGTCCCTTGGCTGCTATTGTGGATGCTGTCAGCTGGCAGGATTACCTGGGTGGAATCATTCAGCACCACTGCTCCAGCCAATGGTCTAACCATGCCGTTCTGGTTGTTGGATACGACACTACGGGTACATGTTGTCACTTCGGTGGAGGAGAGTTTATCTCACCCTGAAAAGAAAGCAGAAATTGTTACCAAAGCTGAGATTTATCTTTTTAGGTCAAGGAGTTTTCTCAACCTTAGGGTACGTGAAGGTAATTTAAAGATGCACTGGGCGAGATTTGAAAACGTGTGCCAGTCTCAGCCTCAGATTGCTGCTGAAAGAGTTTCATCTTCTCTGTAGTTCAAGGCAAGAAGAGGAAAATGAAAATACATAATTGTTCTAAAATTGATTATGATATGTTTTATTTTTCTAAAAGAAAAGGCTTTTATTTAGTAGATTTGCAGTATTTTAGTCACATGTCTTACCCAGTTAGGTCCTTGATTTGAGTTGAAAAAAATGTCATTATATCACATCACAGTTGAGACGTTAAGAAATAAGAAAGATGTTTCTTGGGGTTTTCTGGATCTTAAAACATCTTAAAAATGTTCAACTTGATTTTTGACATTTAAGATAAAAAACAACCCTCAAAAATCCTATTTCTACATGTGACAGGTCTTAAACTTTAAAAAGCTTTTTAACTGAGACATCTGTCTACTTAGCATTATATAATTTTTAAAATGTCTTTTTGTAGCTTTGCTCGTTTACACAATGATTTGAGACTTTCACAGCAGCACGTTACGTTTGTATTTACAACCTACGTGAAAGAGTGAGGGAGAAACGGCTGGTCCAAGGGAATTCAGATTAAGATAAAAACACAAGGAATAGTTGACAAATACAAACTACTATTAAGAGGCAACATGCAGAGAAAAGCTTTGAAACTTGGGATTTATTTGGACGTACAACACCAGACTTGATGCCTTTTGGGTCCTTAAATGAGCTGAAAAAGTCTCATATTTGATTCTAAGAAGAGCCCAGCAGCAGTCTCGATTTTCAGATTATGACCATCTGAGAGCAGAAAGCGAAACTCCAATATTGTGAAAACAAACCTAGAAAATTTGGAGTTTATGTAACTTCACCTTTGCTTCTTTGGTTCTGTTTGTCCTGTTTGGTACATGTTGATAAAGAAGAGCTTGTTAAGTAAACACACGTCTTTTGTTATGTAATCGTACACGATTTCTCGGCAGAAAACTCTTGATTGTTTGTATTAACTTTTGTGACGCCAGTTTTATCAGACCCTCTTTACTGTTTATTTCTTGACACAGTTTCCACACATCAGTGTTTTATAGTTTCTCAGAATTAATTATTGACTCATACTCTTGTGTTTTGCGGGTATTACACAAGGGTATGAGTATTATATAACAGCCTAGAACGGTTGCATTTGCAGTAGTCTCATACAATCACTCAAAGACATCCACATATACCTCGTAAATAATTCATTCTTGGGATGCATGTTGTCTGTTTTAGGAGATATTCCATACTGGATAGTGCAGAACTCCTGGGGAACCAGGTGGGGAAACGAGGGCTATGTTTATATAAGAATCGGTGGCAACGTTTGCGGTGAGTATGATCTTGGCCTCTTGTGATTCTCTGTTTATATCTCCTTTCACTACTGAGTGTGCCTATAACTCGGCCCACTCTCCCCTCAGGGACTAATGCGACATCCTTTATTTCTCTTCCCAGGTATCGCCGACTCCGTGGCAGCAGTTGTTCTTTGATGAGATTGTGTGTTTATTTTAGTTCTGCCATCATGTTTGCGTAAGTGACTGCTGGTGTGTTTACTGCTGCCAAAATTTCAATCATCTGTTTGCCTTAAAGTGTCACTTTGAATAGTGTTTTTTCAGGGGGGGAATGTCACCGTGTTACATCACAAAAACAAAATAAATCACTTCGTATGCTGATAAATGTCGGTTCTTTAATGAATGAAGAAGACTTCAAGCACAAAACCACAATAATAAAGAATAAAGAAGAGATGCACTGTACAAAAATGTATCTTATTAAATACATAAGGTAGATACATAGTAAAAGTAAGACATTTATCTATACAGAGATCACATTAATCACTGCATAAATACATAAAAAATGAATTTCACAACATACAGTGAACTATACAAAATTCATTATTGCACAACTACATTATCAACATTATGTACAAATCTTCTGCTTCATATTTGAAAGCCTCATATTGATGCTGTGCAAATTGTTCTATTCTAGGTGTTGAGATTGATTGTTTATACAGCGCTTTATTGTCCTTTTATCTTCTCCTCTCGCACCTAAGCCGCATCCCACAAGTCTGAAATGGCTTCCTCTCCGACACCCCCCACCCCCCGACCCCCTCCTCACGCAGACATGAAAGATAACGCGTTTGTAAAAACCCATCATCGCACACCGGTTTGATCACTGCTCTCAGCGATCCATTTGCTTTCAGGTCAGTCACAGTGAATCTGCATAATTTTATAGAGAAAACATGAAAGCACATCTTATCAAGGAGCCATCTGCTACACTCTGTGACCGGTCAGAATTAGAGATTAGAATAAAATAGTCTAATTTGACTGTTTGATTTATTCAGAGCTAGTCACGAGTTTGAAGGGTATGAACCTCTGTGCTGCAGCCTGATGAAGGTAATGAACCAATAATGTGCTTTTCTCGTCTGTGCGCCACAATCTCCAGCGTGTTTTGCATGCTTTTAGTGTCACAAGATAAAAAGAGACTTTTGTCACTTGACTTTTTTCTTATAATTAAAGTATTTTTATATTGCGTATCACAACCCTTACACTTTGGATTTCTCAAATAGTATCTCCGTCACGGTCTAGCACATTTTACAAATAGATAATTCAGTGTTGGATATGGGTAGTTCATTGTCAAATATGTTTAAATTTTCCTCCCCCGTGTTTTAGTATGCAAGACGGTCTAAAAAGTTTCATCATCCTGTGAAGTATTTTAGTGTTTTATGCTAAAATAATATTTTTAGCCTGGCCTGATTTCCTGAGAAAGTACACCCTTTACTTTTCTTAGCCTTCTCAAGTACATACACCATGTCTAATGCAAATCTGAGCTTAGAAGATTGAAAAAGTATGTCTCTTTGCCTTTTAAAAGCCTCCCGCTCCTGTACACATCTCTCACCAAAGTATCTAATCTCTGCTGTCGTGAGGTTAGTCATAGAATAAGAAAGGAAGCCAAGGCAGACAACCAAAAGTCTCCTTAGTCAGAGTCCTCACTGCTGCAGTACGAGCTGTCGCAGCATTCAGCCGTGTAGAGGAACGTGTGAACATTGGGGTTCAGCTTGGGCACCCAGTGGCGAGGCACCAGGAACGTTGCCAGGTTGAACAGATCCACAAACACTTTGTAGCGGTCACTGAAGGTGGGGAAAAAAAATCGTTTATGTATTCATGTCATGTACTCGTGCAATTTGATGGGGCATCTGTTATAAATTGTTCTTGGTGGAGGACAAAAGCTAACTTAAACTGTTCTAAAATTTATTAGATAATAAAGAGCTGTGTCACAGCTAGTTTAAAATGAACTTTTAGTGAAGTTTGCGGCTGTCAAGAGGAAGCGGCTACACGACAGGTTAATTTAGATAAGCACAGAGTAGTTGTGTGCTCCCCTTATCTAAATTAACTCTGAAGTGTTTGAGATACCTGCAGTGTAAAGTGTTTAATCAGTAGGTTAAAGTTTTAAGCGTACAATACCTGACAGTTGATCTAAGGTAGTGGTAGCCGGATGAGCCCCCGGTGCCGGCCTTGCTGCCGATCATGCGATGCACCATGCATACATGATTGTCTAAAAAGAAAAAGCAGAAACATCCCCCGTTACATGAGCAATGTTTGCTCTGCGTCTTTGACCTGCAGAGTATTAGTAATACATGGGTTTTGGAGTGATCAGCAGCTGCAGAGGATGTTTTTCTGCCTCTGAGCTTCTCTGCTAACTATAGCTCAGTGAAGTCCAGCTCTGCCCTTGGGCGAAACATTAAAACATCGGTTTTTAGTACTAGAAATCTGCTTTTTTCTCCCCTCTGAGATTATTATTTCTTGTTTATCTGTGAGGATATTTCACAACAAACATGGAGGCTTCAGCACTTACATCTCCATTTTGTCATGAGGGTGTCGATATCCATGAGGGATGTAAGCAGTTGGAAAGGAACCTGAAACCTCGGCTCTTCCCTACAAGGTAAAATGAAGAAAGAAAGAGATTTAAGTTCTTGAGTTTGTGCAGAAATTGAGGCGGCGCATGAAAATGCACCTGAGAGTTGTTGCTAGAAGTTGTAAAACAGGAGCAAGTAGAACCTCCCCATGACCCCACCGGGCAGTGAACATCTTACACTATCAGTCTCAGATCAGTTATCACCTTTCAGTGACTGTTTCACGAAGCCGTTAACATGTTTCAGCTTAATGAGAACACTTGGCTTCTAATCACACCTTTAGGCAAATGTGACAGCTCTCCCTCAGATGAGTGTGGAAATAATATAAATTCCTATATTATGCTAATTAAAGGCAAGACATATATATATATATGGGGATATAGGATATATAGTGTAATGTAGAGCAAGCGTGGTGGAACACTGTGTGCATGTCTGGGTGTATGCTTATATGTCGCCCTTATTTTGTATTTTGAAGTCATGCCCCTTGTGTATCTACAGCGCCTTCATGGGATGTAAAGTCACACACTGGGACACAGATATTACACACTTTTGGAGGGCAATGTGTGAGCACAAAGGTGTGAATCAGGGAACTACTCAAAGGCTACTGAGACCAACTTTGAGAGTTTGACAACCCCTAAGATTCTATGTGTGGTTGAAAAAGTGAGCATTACAAGGTGGAATTAAACCTTTTCATATTTTACAAGTGTTCGGTTAAGTGTTCGATGTGAATACAAGATGAAGGCAAGTTTCAAAGTGTGAAGTAATCAAGGGATGAGGCTGCAGGTTGTTAACTAAACGTGATTTACTCAATTTGTGACATCACTAATTGGTGAATTTTCTTAAAGAGAATACTAAACTAAACCGAGCTGTTCTTTATAGATGGGGATTTTTTTTGTCCCTTTCTAGGTCAGATTTAGAGTCCAAACATGTGACCATATATTCCTTCTTTTTTTATTTTGAATAGAGAAACACCAGTAACTTTATAATAACATTACACTTAGCTTCACAGCACAGGGTTGCCTATAATTTACATGTCATCTTAAAGGGAGCTTACAACTTTTTTTTATCAGCCTTTAACTTATCAATTAAACTGATTATTACAGTCATTTTTTCTCTGAATTCATTGTATTTAAGTTTGTGACCTCTAATTGCTGCATGACCTTCCATGTGTTTATTGGAAAAGGTTTATCAATTTGACTTGAATAAACTTAAATAAAACAAATTTGTCATATGGCAACAGCAGAAGAGGGTTCTGGAGTGCTTTTAGGTCCCATTTTAGACAGAGGCTGTAACAGGGGTTTTAAAAAATACAAATCTGGGATAAGTAACAATATTTTGTTTTGTTTTGAACAAATCAGAAAGATTATAAATAGCCCAAAAAATGAACATCAGACTTTTTCTTCAGGGTTTGGAATTTTTAAAAGGATTCAATTTAAGACCTCGTCTCAAGGACTCACTCTTGGGTGTTCTTAAGACGCTAAAACCTCTGCTGCCCCAGTGAAGCTGTGGTCAACAGTATAAAGCTGTGCATACAAGGCAGTTTGTATGCGTGGAGTCTGTATGAGTCTCTAGCAAACATTAGAGGCACTGTGTCAGCAGAGAGTCGCTGGATAATTAAAGGCGAAGAAACAGGGTTTCAATTGACAATCAGATTCATTGAAACGCTGAATTCACATACCTGTAGAAGTAGATCATCAGAGCACCTTGGAGAGCTTTGTAAGACAGCCGCCTCTCACCTTGTGGAACAATATAAAAAACAGTTTACTGCAAATGAAAAACTCGTCGCCTTATTTCATGTCCTTGTGAGCCAGTGAATGAGTGTTTCAGTTCGCCAAGGTAGTAATACAAAAGATTTTTAGAATGCAAGTCAACTCTGAGTCACACTTGACTAACACGGCACATTTGATAATCAGGCTTTTCAATTCAGACTAAGACACGCACCTTTGCTAACAAGATGGTCGTGGCGCTTTTCATCAAAGAGAGACGTGAACAGCTCTCTCTGTTTGATCAGTTCAGCCATGATTTCCTCCTTCTCCTCCGAGTCTGCCATTTTCTTTAAAAAGAAAAATAAAGAAAAAAAATACAGTTTCTGTCAATCATCTGTGAAATCCGCAGGGAGCAGAGAAAGTTTGCTCTGAAAGCCGCAGTCATATCTTACCTCGATTTTCTCCTTCTCCAGATTCAACCCATCAAATATATTGATTTCCAGCTTTTCCCAGAAATTGAATCCATCCGCCTCCAAGCCAGGAGTTCTCTCCAGCCACTCCTGAGAAGAACAACCCAGAGTTTCATCACATCTTTACCCAGTACAGTCGGAGTAGGGCTGATCCACAGCAACACAATAACAGAGATACACAGGTGTCTACTTTTATGACATCTTTCGTACGTTTAAGTATTCATGACTGTGCAGAGGTGTTTGGTGATCGTCAGACAAACCTCGACCAGCTTTAAGAGAGGGGCCTCCTTTTCAGTGGCGATCAGCATCTCACTCTCATGACCTTTGAAATTGTCTCTGTAATGGCGTCTGTTGTAGGGAACCCTCTGGTTGTCCGGCACCCCGATTTTGTTCTCCAGCAGCCGGAACTGAAGACTTTGGAAACCAGAGGCTGGAGCCAGGTATTCCCTTCACACAAAGACAAACAAACACATGAGTGATAAGGGACACAACAAGGACGCCGAGTCCAACGTCACTCTGAGTGCAAAAAGTGACTCCAAGTTTACCTGAAGTCAAAGAAGTCCAAGGCTGTCATCGTTTCTAGAACGGCGAACTGATCGACCAGCAGTCTGAAGATCATCACAATCCTGTGGATGCGAGTGTTGACCTTGAGCATATTGCGTTCATCTCGGACCTGACAGAAATAACAGAGTTTAAATTTTTATTTTTTTTTATTTTTTGTCTAAATATGAAAAAAAATCTGATTGACTACCAAACAATGATACCTGCTTGATATTTTTAAATTGAATTGTTTAAAAATGTAAAATATTCACTTCTAAATCATGCAGCACAAGTGACCTCAGTTCTTGGAGCGTTTACAAGTTGGGAAACTTCATCGTTACATAACATTCGTCAAGTTCTGTCACCACAGAGAGTAACTCACATGTCCGCTGATGAAGATCTCTCGCACTGAGTCGAGCTCAAACAGAATCTGTTTGAACCACAGTTCATAAGCTGAAATCAAACGAAAACATTTTTAGAAACTTTATCAAATATTATTAATGTAACAAATTGAAGACGTGAGACTTCAAACGCTGATCTGAACAGTATAGTCGCACGTATTTAGCCTTAGAAACTTGGAAAAACCTCAGCTCCTGGGGTGGGATCATTACTGTGATTGTTATTTCAGCTGGAGACTTAATTACTATCTAGTTTAATTACCCCAGGCATTAAGACTCAAGATGACACAAAAGCCAAAGCAGAAGAGACAAAAAGTTTTCTCTTTGAGACAAGAACTAAAAAAAGCTGCAGCTTTACCTTGATGGGTGACAATGAAGAGGTGCTCATCATGAATCTTGTTACCCTTTAATTCACTTTGCAGCACTTGAGCTGTGACTACTTTGTCGAGCTGAGAGTTGAAGAGAAATGATGAGCTCAATTAAGACACAAACCTTTAACACTGTCTTTAGAAAAACAAAGCAAAAAAACTGTGAGGTGTGAAAAGTGATGTTTTCTACCTGCAGGTAATCTCCATAGATGATCCCTCCTTTGCTGGCCTTGTTAACTCCCGCCTGAGAGGCATCTTCTTCTTCTGTTTTGGGAGGCTTGTTTTTGAATAACCTGCAGTATAAAAAGAGAATGCCCTTTTTTTAACACCATGTTTTTCCATCACCAAGTTTGATAGACCAGGAGGAATTATTTCAAGCCTATGTTTAGTCAGATCTCATCATAAAAATGTTGCAAACGTACAAATGCCTCTTCTCAAAGTACGGACATCCACTCATGACTTTTCCAAATCGGTCGCGGCAAAGATGTTTTCTTCTTCCTGGCCTCAAATTTACTAAAATTGCTTACAACACAATCCAGATTTTTAAAGAGTCACCTCCGCCAATCACAGTCACAATCCAGTCATCATCCGGCCCGCCTCTATTTGCCCCATGGAGGTGTTTACCTTGAACCAGGACCACCTTCTGGACTTTGTATGACCTGCAAAAAGAACAGTCACAAGATCCTTCTTGAATAACAGACAAAAAGAAACAAATACACCGACAACTGAGCGTCCATAAAAACAAAAATCAAATATTCATTTAAATAAAGGGGGAAAAAAGTGTCTGGATTTAGATAGAGATCTGTGTACTAGAACAAATTGTGTACTAAGGACACATCAGGGTCTCTCCCTGTTTTGGTCGCAGTCACATGGTATGTATCATGTGTCCTCTCACTAATATTGACATCTGGATGTATAGTCACGAGCAAAATGGGCATGTTTATATAAGTGTCTGGAGGAAGAGTGGAGTTTTTTTATTGTGTGACAGGTGCGCTGCAGTCATAGACTTAACACCCAAACAGACAAACTTTAAGTTATTATTTTACCATTAAAGTTTTAAAGACAGTGATTTTCATATTAAGAGCAGGTCAGCTAATTAATTTATCTATGGGAACTTAAAACACGTCCCAGATTCTTCCTCGCGCTTCAGAATTTGGTCGACTAAATTTTACAATAATGACAACGCAGTTAACACCAACTCAGATCCATTTCATTAAAGGGAAATCTTCTTCTTCTGTAGAAAACCTATCAACATTGAGTCCTGTGTGTTATTTGAGTTTGTCCGTGTTCATCACAAACTGTCCGTCTGGGTCATTGGACTCATCTCCAAATATTTGCCGCTTAGTTAATATTTCCTTTACCTCAGTGACCATTACAGCAGCTTGGCTCCAAGGTCACAGAGCAAGTGCTTTGACTGTACATGTGTTTTTCAGTAAAGTACATCTAGCATATGGGCATGTCTGTGTTCATTCCCAGAAAGGCCAATGTGAACTATACATACCTTTAAAAACAGGAGCTGTTGGCCATCCACAGCTCTTCTTGGAGCTGAAAATGTGGTTCCTGTGTGGCCTGGATTATCAGCTGAGGAGTGCGGTGCAGTTCATTGTAAATATTTGTTTGTTTTCATTCATAAGATGGGACAAAGAGTGATCATTGTCCCGCCCTAACCACCTGACTCATAACACAGTTAACCCAGTTTCATCAGTTTCAGACCCAGACTCAAGAATCCACCCTCTCTAAATCTCTCCAAGATCATTAGCACCCTTGTTTTTCACCCTCTCCCTTTGTAGACTTCTCAAGTTGAGTCCCAACAGCCTGTGCAACTGTCCTCAGAAGATCAGAGGGATGATAACAAGCAGCTATTTCTGAATTGGGACATGGTACAAGCGGAGCAATTTAAGGCCTGCAGAGTGAATAAGAAGAGCAAAGGCAGCCCCCAAATTCTTTGTTCTCGCTTTCTTTTAGCTGGGATGAATGGGATGCTTCAGAGGGCTGGGTGCAGTGGATGAAATATGTGAGATAAGATGAGGCCTCCAATTTAATTCTTCGAAGCCTTTATAGACCTGTCCGTCTCACTGATAGGACACACGTGTCGTTATGCAATTTCTCCAAGGTCTGAGCCAGTCACTCATTAAAGGAAAGTGCAGGTATAGCTTTGTTTTTGTCAAACTATTGCATAAAACTCCCAATGAAAGTTAAACTGTTCCTCCCTGTATCTGCCCCGTGTCTTTTAACTGCAGAGGGTGTGTTTGTCAGGTGTCTTACATCTGCTGTCTCCCTCTATATTACCACATTAATCTTTGTACAACGGCCTGTTAATAAAATAGCTCTAACATTTACTCAAAGTATGAAGTTTCCATTTGGATTTCAGAGAAAAGAAATTTAGATAAAGAAAAGAAAGTACAAATGTATAAGAGCAATGTTCCACATTAAATTAAAGAGATTTTGACAGATGGCTGTTATCTTTGAGCCCTCAAGTGGCATGTTATTAAAGTCCCATTACGATGTTTTTTTTTTTTTTTCACAAAGTGTTATCAGTGGTCTTTAAGTTGTGATTGTGACGTTCTTAGCCAAAGTCACGTTTCTCATGTCATTTTCAAGGGCTATTCTTCTGCAGAGCTCCAGTCGCTCATTAGCAATTCGCCTCTGAGTCGTGGGCGGAGACAGCACTGCTCTGCACACTTGTCTTTGTGCTAGCTTAAAGCTTAACATGGCTGGTGTAGTAGAAGTAGCAAGTTACATAGGAGCTATTCAGCTCTCGGACACTAATATCTTTGGGGGCATGATGAAAGTTAATATCATTATAAGCTTTATTACAAGCATTGCAAAACGCTAACACACACACTTTCCACGATCGCATAGTATAGTATGATAAAAATGTCTGTTAGGAGAATTTTCTTTTGCCCATCATGGCAGCCTTTAGGGTGGTGGCGCTGTGTAACCTAACTACCATGGATACTTTGGTGCTAGACTCCTGGAGCCATGGGCCTCCGACGACCATCCTCAACAAGGACCTTGTACACATGTTTGACATCACTCAGGATCCCAAAATATGTCGTGCTGTGGTATTCCCCTGTATGGGCTTTCCATATTTTCAACTAAGGCTCCCCAAAATATGTTGTCATGTGTTCTCATGGACTCTCCTTCAGGTCAACTACATGTAAGCAGAATGTTTGGAAATGTGGACGGCTATGTAGTTCTGAACAGTCTCAGACCAGTCTTTGTTACACCTGTGGCATGCTGAAGCTGTAACCCAGACCTGCAACCAGTAAAGCTTGTCAAACTGATCATTCGTGTGGACCTTCCATTCTTTAAAGTGTGAACCTGGGCTAGGCATCCTTACAATGTCATAGTATAGTATGCTGAAAAAATGTCACAGTATAGTTTGAAACAAATATCATAGTATAGTATATAAAATTGTCATAGTATAGTATGTTACAAAATGTCATAGTATAGTATGACAAAAAGGTCAAATGTCATGGTATAATATGAGAAAAATGTAACCAACAAGAATGAAAAAAAATGTCATAGTATGGTATGATAAAAATTCAGATTTTTGTATGAAAAAATGTCATCGTATAGTATATTAAAAATATGTCATAGAATAGTATGATAAAAATTTTAAATTGTTGTATGAAAAAATAGGTAAATATATTACTCAAAAAAATGTGATAGTATAAATTGATAAAAATATCATTGTGAGGTAGGATAAAAATTTCCAATTTTTGTATGAAAAAATTATCAGTATAATATGATTAAAATTTAAAGTTTTAGAATGAGAAAAATGGCACAATATATTATCTAAAAAATGTCATTGTTAATTGTGATAAAAATTTCAAAATTTGTGTAAAAAAATATCATAGTATAGTATGTTAGAATTATATCATACAGTAAGATAGAAAATTTTTGTTTGGAAAAATTGTTATAAGATATATATTTTTTAAAATGTCATAGTATAGTATGATAAAAATTTTAAATTTTGGTATCAAAAAAAGTCATAGTATAGTATGATAAAAATGTCAGAGTATAATGCGATAAAAAATTAGAGTATTGCATGGTAAAAATGTCAACGTATAGTATAATAAAAATGTCAGATTTTTGAATGAAAAAATTATTATAGTATAGTATGTTATAAAATGATAAAAATATCACAGTGAAGTAGGATAAAACTTTCCAATTTTCATATGAAAAAATGTCATAGTATAGTATGATTAAAATTTAAAAATTTAGAATGAAAAAAATGTCAGTATAGTATCTTAAAAAATGACAAAATTAAAATTTTTGTATGAAAAAACGTCATAGTATAGTTTGATAAAAATGACAAAGTATAGTATGAATAAAATTTGAAATTTTTGTATGAAAAAACATCATAGTATAGTATGTGAAAAATATGTCATAGAATGGTATGATTAAAAATTTTAAATTCTAGAATAAAAAAAAATGTCACAGTATAGTTTCTGAAAAAATGTAATTGTATAGTATGATAAAAATTCAAATTCTTGTATTGAAAAAACTTATAGTATAGTATGTTCGAAATATGTCGTAGAATAGTGTGATAAAAATTTTTATTTTGTATGAAAAAATTGGGGAATGTATTACTATAAAAATTTCAGTATAAAATGATGATAGAATAGTAAAATAAAAAAATTAGTTACTGTATGAAATAATTGTTCTGATGTATTATTCAAAAAAATGTCATAGTATTGTGTGATAAAAATGTCAGTATAGTATGATAAGAATTTTAAATTTTTGTATGAAAAAACGTCATAGTATAGTATGACAAAAACGTCATAGTATAGTATGTTAAAAATATGTCACAGAATGATAAATGATATGATAAATATTTTAAATTTTGAATGAAAAAAATCCTTTATTTAATACTCAAAAAAAAACCTATAAAATGATAAAAAATATCATAGTGAAGTAGGATAAACATTTCTAATTTAAGTATGAAAAAATGTCATACTATAGTATGCAATTTTTTTTTAAATTTCCAATTTTTGTATGAAAAAATTATCATAGTATAGTATGATTAAAATTCAAAATTTTAGAATGAAAAAAATGTCACAGTGTAAGATCTTAAAAAATGTCATAGATTAGTATGATTTAAATTTCAGAATGAAAAAAATGTCACAGCGTAGTATCTTAAAAAATGTCATAGTATAGTATCATAAAAATTTAAAATTTTTGTATGAAAAAAACGTCATAGTATAGTATGTTAAAAATATGTCTTAGAATAGTGTGATAAAAAAAATATTTTGTATGAAAAAATTGGTGAATGTATTACTAAAAAAATGTCATAGTATAGTATGATTAAAAATATCATAGTGAAGAAGGATAATGATTTCTAATTTCTGTATGAAATAATAATGGTCATAGTATAGTATGATAAAAATTCAATTTGTTTTATGGAAAAAATATCATTGTATAGTTTGTTAGAAATATGTCATAGTATGGTATGATAAAACTTTTAAATTTTTGTATAAAAAAATTGTTATAAGATATATATTTTTTTAATGTCATTGTAAAGTATAGTAAAAATGTAACTATATAATTATATATACTATGATAAGAATTTTATATTATTGTAAAAAAAATTCACAGTATAGTATGATACAAAATGTCATAGTATAGTATGATAAAAACATCATAGTATTGCATTATAAAGATGCCATAGTATAATATGAGAAAAATTTAACCAACTAGAATGAAAAAATGTCATATTATAGGATGATAAAAATTCAAATTTTTTGTTTGAAAAAAATATCATAGTGTAGTATGTTAAAAATATGTCATAGTACAATGTAAGAAAAGTTTTAAAAACTTGTATGAAAAAAATGTTCTAACATATTATAAATAATGTCATAGTATAGTATGATAA